CGTGTGACTGAGCTCCTCACCCTATCTCTAAGGGAGCGCCCAGCCACCCTGTGGAGGAAATTCATTTTGACTGCTTGTATCCATGATCTTGTCCTTTCGGTCACTACCCAAAACTCATGACCATAGGTGAGGGTAGGAACATAGATTGACCAGTAAATCGAGAGCCTTCTCCAAATCCACATGTGCTTTGTGGATTTGGAGATGGTATTCAACCGTGTCCCTCGTGGTGTCCTGTGGGGGGTGCTCTGGGAGTATGGGGTTCGGGGCCCTTTGCTAAGGGCTGTCCGGTCCCTGTATGACCGGAGCAGGAGCTGTGTTCCCATTGCTGGCAGTAAGTCAGACCTGTTCCCAGTGCATGTTGGAATCCGCCAGGGCTGCCCTTTGTCACCGGTTCTGTTCATTGTATTTATGGACAGAATTTCTAGGTGCAGTCAGGGGTCGCAGGGGGTCCGATTTGGGGACCACAGGATCTCATTTCTGCTGTTCGCAGATGATGTTTTCCTGTTGGCTTCATCAAACCAGGACCTTCAACAGTCGAGTGTGAAGGGGCTGGGATGAAGATCAGCTCTTCCAAATCCGAGGCAATGGTTCTCCACTGGAAAAAAGTGGCTTTCCCTCTCCGGGTGGGTGGAGAATTCCTGCCTCAAGTGGAGGAGATAACGATCATGTCATGACATCACAAAGTGGAACAGAGCATTTTGAGCTTTGGAAATAGACAGTCTAATAAAACATTACTCAAAATGCAAATAAAACAAAACACAGCTCCTGGTATGTTTTTGATGAGGGAACAACATTATAACATGTCTCAAAGCTCACAAGAATCAATTTTGTGCAATATAGGACCTTTAAAATACATGTTTTGTAATACAGGATGTTCTTATGTCTAGCAAATAATGAAACATGCTTAGGTTCAACATTTGTGAATTTACCTTTTGAATATTTCATGGCAAAGTACAATGCTATCAACAGGGAAAACTGGCTCTTGCCCCCCATCTGGGAGTATGACATCATCACATTCCGGAATCTAAAAACCACCAATCTCTCCCACTCCTCTTTCTCTCCCTCCAGTCATACACTCCAGTCTGCCTTTTTATCCCCCCGCGGACAAGACTCTTGAATGCCAATCTTGCGGTGCTGGGAGAGTATAGTGGAATTGAGACTAGCTGAGATTCAATACCATTTTTCCAAATCAAATTAAACCAAATGGCACAATGTTATCTTCATGGGGTCGCATTGGTCACTCAGGTGGGCTCCCCTGATAGACAGATAAAGAAGACCACTTACTTTTTATCTCAGATTACTGATATGTACATAATATGTCATAGCCCCATGTGGTTTGTTGTCATCCTGTGCACTGTAAAAATATATATGTCTGTATGGATTAAAATTTGTTATATTAAATTATTTATTTTATTGATCAATATTGAATTTTTATTTATTTTTTTCTTATCTAAAGCAACATTATGTGCATTTTGATCAAAAAATGTTGCACTTACACCGGACAACACGGCATACTGACTATTAAAAATCTCTACATCTTCGATAGATCTATAAATGACAAGTTAATATGTACAAATCCAGACAAAAAGAACTGTATGGATCAATTAGATGTTTAATGTTTAAATATTACCTTATTAGTCTAACCAGGCATCACAACTAAAGTCAGGCCATAGACTATTTTTTTTACAGTGTTTGTAGCAGAGTTATTTAGCATTCCGTTCAAAGACTAGATTATAATCCACTAGACAATTCTTGTATTCTTTTCGCGACAAGCTTACAAGCGCGGCTGCATCTCTGATACAGCAGCATAGCAGTCGTCTGTGTTCACCAGATAAAGAGCAACAATGGTTTTAATAGGCAGCCCAGAGTGTCCACGAGCAGCGACACACATTTCACACATTCTCACAAAAGCCCAAATGTATTTTGAGTGGCAGATTAAGGCTATTGGTCAGGGGCTCTGTATTGTCGACACTAAGAAGTGGCTAAATGTGTATTGGAGTGATAATTCACACATTCTTTAACTTCGAAAAGGCAAACAAAAAGGCATTTGGGGAAAGGGGGTTTCAACAGCTTGTTAATTATAACATAAGCTTATTAAGTAATCTTGCTTCGTGACTTAATTTCTTTTGTAAAAATTAGTCATGACAGAGTAAGAGGTTTCTCTTTTGTCTGAGTTCAATGACTCCGCCGTCATCGGAGAATATTCAGCTTTGTGTCCAGTGGCAGCCTGGATAGTTAGACGGGTAAGGCTGGCTTCAGTCATACCAGCCTCTCAACACAATTAGCATTACAAAACATCAGCGTTTACGACTATTTTTAACCAGAGCCACTGAGCAGCCTGTCAGTTGCAGAGGCCACTGGCATGTCTCCAGTAGGGTTGTCAAAAAATTCAAATCGCCTATGCTAATGCATACTAAAACTATTGAACCTAGATACTCATTTGAAGTATCAAAAAATCAGATAGGACAGAACTGACTTTCCTGGAGAGTTTTAGAATGAAACAAAAGTTGAAGAATATGTGTTGAAAATTCTGTAAAGTTTTTTGGTAACTCTTTAAATTAAGGTTCCTTGGTAAAGGTGCTAGTCATTGTTTTTAACCATGTATAAACATTTAATTGGAATGAACCCAAAACTTGTGAGCTGGACACAGCTCTGGACAAAAAATAAATAAAAAAAATCTCTAGCGCCCTCTAAAATTTTTATTTTGAAAATGTCATAAAATCATATCTGTTTGTTGTGGACAAATTCCAGAGAGCTTATTTGTTATGGAAAACAATCTGACAAAGTTGCCTCTTTTTAGAATTATACTTAGACTTTCAAGAAAATAAAGCATGGAACATGAGTTTCCATAGGTATTAGTATGCAATTTTCTACATCAAATTTGAGGTAATAACAAAGTTTTCAAATATTTAATTAGTTCATGTTTTGTTTTTAGGGGTAGGAGTTGGAGATGCAGAGAACTTCTGTAGGCTTATGTAGGCTTGTGGACAGAGCCTTAGAGGAAAAGGAAAGGAGGAAGAAGGAAAGTTTGAATAGTGTCAGAGAGAGATTGCATGATCCCTCAAACATGCACAAATGATTCAGAAAACCAAAATCTAGGAGAACAGGCTCAGGGAAAAAAACGGTTTAACACCACAACTGTTTTTTGTATGTAACGTGATGACACATAACACTAAAGTATTGCATAAGCTATTTATGATAGATGAATTAGGATAGGGGGCTCTGCTGAAGCCATTTGAGAACCTTATTACAGGCTTGCACAAGTAGTAGCCATGCTGTAAAAAGTGGTCGGTGGTGCCATTGTGCAGTGTTATTGGGCCCTCTGTTATGTTTTTTATCAATTATATTGGCCATATGGAAGGCTGCTTAGTTAATTTGTTGATGTTGTGATTCATGTGTTTAGTAAAACCTTAAAACCCTGATTTGATAATTGGTTTGCCCAAGGGAGGGGCTAAGGGGGTATTTATTATTTTTTTCTGTCTGCAGGGAGGAGCTAACTACAAAGTGAATTTCTCCTTTGCGATGGATGACTGAGGGATTTTACACACAACCGCAATAACATGTGTTCTATGTAACATGATGACGCATCACAACAAAATGTTGCACAAGCTATTTAATGCATAGGGAGCTCTACTGAAGGATGAGCTCCTCTAGAGGTGGCATCTGCTTAAGTCCAGTAATTTACTGGAGTCCTGGTAGGGTCTTGAGTCTTGGAAGGGTCTCGAGTCCAGGGATCTGCTCGAGTCCTGGGAGGGTCTCAAGTCCAGGGATCTGCTCGAGCCCAAGAATCTGCTCGAGTCCTAGGAGGATCTTGAGTTCAGGGATCTGCTCGAGTCCTAGGAGGATCTCTAGTCCAAGGATCTGCTCAAGTTTTGGGAGGGTCTCAAGTCCAGGGATCTGTTAGAGTCTGCTGCGTGTCTCGAGCCAGCCTTAAAAAGCTTACCCTGATTGGTCGATAGAGACCCTTTATTTGTGCAAGAGAATCCATCACAAAAGCTGTAACCACAATGAAACGCAGAGAGACCATAAAGTGTGCACACATGACAAATGACTGTATATTGTGTATATTGTGTAAGCACATAGAACTGACACATCACGGTTACTGGTGCTATGCAAGAACACATGAGTGTGAAAATAGGAATATAGATGACTGCCTATAACTGTAAAATAGGCATTTTTAAGTATAGATCTGAACCAGCATCACACTGCACTGTGCATGAAGAGATCATTAAAACATTTTATAACATTTATTATGCCCAGTTTCTCTACAGGTGTAGGTGACAGTGGTAATGCTTAGAATAAGGCTGCTGTTTGAATAGATTTTTGAGGTGGTGCTGAGACATCTTTCAATATTTTTTCTTGGGCTCTTCGCTGAAAATTAGAACTCACTGAGTTTTAATTTTTGATTCTAGTCACAGCATGCTCATTCTTGTTTACTACTTGACTTCGAGATTTCTGATGCTCTGGATGCAGTTTTAACACATCTACATCCTACATTCCATTTATGTTGTTACAAAATTATTCTGTGTGACTTATTAACAGGCATGTTTGTTGAGGCCTAACTTGGCTTAAAGTAAAAAATTTGATTTTCATAGTACAAATATTCATGGTTACAAAAGTAGCCGTACTTGAGATTAGGGAACTGGAACACCACTTTATAAACATTACAGTAATATATAGTCACTTTATAGCCTTTTGTAAATGTATTTATTAAACCACCCTCTGTTATAATCAAATTAAGCATGTTTATTAAGGGCTTGAATACAAACCATGAATCCCTTGGTTGGTTGATAATACAGTAGTATAATAAGCCTTTTATTAATTTATTAATGTTATAAAATATCTACTAATGATAATTAATGCTTTGTAAGTGCTCATAAACAAATCATTAGTGCTTATTATATAAATAATATAATAAGATACATTCTTTATTAAGGAACTTCATTTTAAAGCATTGCCAGTTTTTAAAATTTATTATCACAGATTAATAGCGCAAGTGGTATCGATTATCAGACAGTTTTTAGACCTCCACAGAAAGGTGCTATACACAAGCAAGGATCAGATTCTTCTTGTTATTTATTTAATTATTCATATATATAAATGTATATAAATATAATATACATTTATTCATTTTTTTATTTAATTAATGTAAAAAAATAAATTAATTAATTAATTTAAAAAAGAAGAAGAAGAAGAAGTTTGTTAAAAAATAGTGAAATCATATGGTTAACATTACCACACCATCATTAATAAATAAACTGACTGCCAATCAGTTAGATATTCTGGTATCTAATTGTCATTCTTAGTCTAACTGGAACTCACCACACGTTATTCCCCATGTAATTATTTGTGTAGTATTAAACTGGACATATGTCATTAATATCCCCATTCACAGTCTTGAGTAAACCCTTTAGTCCTGGTTATTCCCAGGATGCTGCCCTGCCTCCAAGTGTAAACACTGAGAAGACAGATTAGTTCTGCCGCTGTGGCTAAAGCAGATTAGCAGAGATTATTGCAAACATGCTGGATTAAAAAGACAGTATCACTCATGTCATTACACACTCCCTTATCCCATATACCATTTGCTTTTGTAAAAAAAAAAAAAAACTTTGGGGGCAAAACCATGAACTCTCAATGATAGCTGGAGCAATCTCACACTGCCTTGCGAATTCAGTCTCCTAATTAATGACAGTTTAACAGACATCAATCACACCTCATCACAGTAATTATGGCTAAAATGTTTTGTCAGTGAAATGTGTAAGAGTGCACTTTGAGCCCACCCATTAACCCTATTCCCACAAGAAAACATCTAGAATTCATCAATACCTCTTGACAAAAGCTTTCCTGCTTGACCAGACCACTTAGCCATAAGGCATGAACATAAACAATAGGGCTGCCTCTCATATACCATAATGTTATCTGCCGGTTAGATATAAACGTATTGATTTGCTTACATGCACAATATTCATTCATCTACAAGGAAAAGTCAATATGCACCTTGCAGGGACTTGATAAGGATAGATCATTTAGCACTGGGACTGCATTCAAACATAGCATTCTAATTATGTGTTGTTTAGCCAAAGGTTAAACTGGGTGACCTGGACTCATTGTTTGGTATGGGATGAATTTAAAGCAATTTATATGTAGTTTATAAATGCAATTTTTTTTTCTTTAGGATTTCAGTTGTTGCATTATGCACTGCAACTATATTTTTTATTATTTGTCAGACTTTGTATTAAATGGCCCATATTATGTTATTTTCTGATCTATGTCTGTACACATTCACTAGAATCATTTGGAGGATTTCAGGGCTGGAATTTCCAATTTCTACTAAACAAAAGATAAAAGGTAGGAGTTAACTCAAAAACTACCACTACATGACATCACAAGGTGGAAAAAGGGATTTTCAGTTTTGAAGATGCAGACAGAATAATAATAAAGGGTTTCTCAGAGATGTGTGAATGAAACAGAACACAATTCTGGGTATGTAACAACATTCTATCATGACCTAAAGCTCACAAAAATAAATTCTGTGTAATATAAAACCTTTAATGTTTTTATGAAGTATGTATTTCTGCAGATGTAAAAAGTTACTGAATTCATCACAGAATAATGCATAACATATTTGTACAGTCTCTAATACATTTATCTGATCTGCTCTGTCCGATTTCATTTTATGCCTCACATTAGGGAGAATGCTGCCATCAAGTGGTCTGTATTAGTAGGTCATTGTAACCTAAATGTTGAAAAAATACATATTATTTAAATGTTATAAAGTCAGTGGTGAATAGGCTTAATAAGAAATAAGTAAGTAAATTTAAAGCGCACTTCTGTACTTTGGTCCATTTCATTTTTCCATTACATCCTCTGATTTGTCCTTCTGGTCTATGTTCAAATGCACTCTGTCTTCAGCAGTCCTCATCTCCACTGCTGCTCTGTGCTTCTCCTCCTCCACTTTCCTGTAGTTGTAGTAATGCATGATGAAGAAGAAGAGTCCAGGGACCAGCATAAACACTCCGCATGTGTAGTACATGTATTTGTAGTCTCCAAAGATATCCACAAGGGCCCCTGCAAAATAAATAAATAAATAACATGAAAAAAAAACATGCCAACTCATCATGTTTATGCAAATTTGTGAGGAGTAACTGACCTGACATGGGAGGCCCCAGCAGCACAGGCCCACACTCTATAATAGTACAAAGGCCCACAGCTGTGGAAAAGCGCTTAGCTCCAACCAGGTCCATGAGAGTCTCAAAGAGAAGGGCCGACAACATCCCAAAAGCAAATCCAAAGAACACAGCATAGACCACCAGACCTGCATATCCAGGAAGCAGTGGGCACAGGAGATGGCACACACCATTGTATGAAACTGCAAAGGCAAAGAAGTACTGGATCTTTGGTCTGATCCATTTAGTGTTGCCAATAAAGCCAGTCGCTGGTCTGATAAACATATCCGCGAGGGCAAATATAGAGAGCAAAAAAGCTGCAGAGTATTCATCTATTCCCTGATGTTTGGCGTACGGTGCAAGGAAGACAACAGGAGCAAAGAAGCCAAAGAACATAACAACATTCCCGACCAGGTAAATGAGGAAGCCTCTGTGTTTGAAGAGGGAGAAGTCGATGAATCTGTGCACACAGCTCTGGCTCTTAGGGTTGTCCTCAGTCCTAAGGGCCTCTGCAGCAGCGTCCTCTGCTCCATTAACCTCTGCAGGCTCTGCCTTTGGTTTAGGCACAGCCATTTTATTCACTGGCCTCATCAGAGAACCAGCTACACAGCAGTTCAGGACTATGGCTCCTAAAATGAGGAAGCTCCCTCTCCAGCCAAACGAATCAAACAGAAACTGGTTCAGAGGAGCCAGAGTGAACAAAACCACTGGGCTGCCTGTCATGGCAAGACCATTGGCGAGTGGCCTTTTGGCCTGGAAGTAAGTGCCGATTATGGTCAGAGCAGGCTGTAAGTTGAAGGCAAGTCCAAAACCTAGTGAGAAGAACAAATACTGAAAATAAAGTAATGCATTTACCGTCTGTAATTGTGAAAAATGCAATTAAGATTACCCCCAATTATTCCAACACAGAGGTAAAGATGAATGATGGAAGTGCCTAAGGATGCTAGGATCATGCCAACGCCGAGAATCAACCCACCCACCATCACCACAGGTCTGCTGCCGTAACGATTCACCAGAACACTGCTGATGGGCCCTGCAGTAAACTTTTGTTAAACCATTTTCACTGGTTAAATTATTAAAATATAGTAAAACATTTTTTATACAGCCTATGAGTAAAAAGTGACTAACCTGCTGCATACATGGTGGCAAGCATGACAGAGGACACCCATGCTATCTCACTGTAGGACACGCCAAAATATTCCTGAATCTCCTTGAAATACACAGTGAGGGACTTGGGGAAAGCGTAGGAGAATCCTATAGAGATGAAAGAAGCCAGAACGACCGCCCAGCCCCAGCCTCCATCCGGGGGAGTGTAGCCCAGATTGGTTGTAGCTGGAGGAGGCATATTTGGTGCACCTGCTGTGTAGTGGTAACAGAGCAGACAATTCAACAGTGCATAAACTGCAGCTTATTGCTATAATGTAACCACATTGTGCAGGCAATAGTAACATTGTTGACATACCACAATACGTCTCCAAAACGTCTCCACAGTCTGTACAAAAGAAAGTGTGGATCACGGGTTTGTGTTTGTGCTGCAGTCTCGGACTTTTGGGCAGAAAGTCACAGTGGGGAGGTCTTTGATCCCATGACGTGTGCTCAAATAACCTTTAATACACACAAAAGCACGGGGCCTGTCTGGGGGCCGCACTCTTGGGACACATTTAAAGGAGACGGACACAATTCTAATCCATATGGTTTCCTCCAAACCATTTTATTAACAACTGATTCACTATGCACTGCACAACAGTTACATTAGTGACTCAGGGAATACATGGGTAAACAACCTAATGTGACTAACCATATTTACTTAAAATAAAATCACAATTCTTTTACCATTGTTTACCATGGCTTCTTAGTAAAATAATATGTACGTATATAATAGAGTTTATCAGTGTAACTCATCTTAGTCCTATTTATAATAATTTATAATAATTTATATTTTTTTTTTTTTAAGTAACATTATATGTTATGTTAACCTTTAAATGAACAGGTAGGTTTGACTGGGCAACTTAACTTTACCACAACTAATGTTTTACAATATATTAGTTCTAATAATTTTTGAAAATTTCAACCCAGAATGTATTCAGCTATTAACAGCTTAATGGAAAGTCTGTGCTATTTTCTGGTAGGAGGTTCATTTTTCTGTTTCATTTGTTAAGTCGTCTTTTTGAACGAGTTTTTGTTGAGTTGAGTCTTCAGCAGTCCTCATTTCTACAGATGCACTCTGCTTCTGCTCCTCCTCCAGTTTCTTGTAGTTGTAGTAGTTCATTATAAAGAAGAAGATGCCAGGGAGCAGCATTAGCACTCCACATGTGTAGTACATGTATTTGTATTCTCCAAAGGTATCCACCATTGCACCTAAAGACAACACCACACTTTTATTATGGCTGATTTCTACTGTCTCAGGTGTGACATAGTTTTACTGACCTGATATTGGTGGTCCGAGCAGAACAGGAGCACACTCTATGATAGTGACTAGCCCCACTGCACTGGAAAAACGCTTAGCTCCAACCAGGTCCATGAGAGTCTCGAAGAGCAGAGCACAGACCATGCCAAAGGCAATGCCAAAGATGATTGCATAGACCACCAGACCTGTGTATCCAGAGAACAGTGGGCACAGGAGATGGCACACACCATTGTATGAAACTGCAAAGGCAAAGAAGTACTGGATCTTTGGTCTGATCCATTTAGTGTTGCCAATAAAGCCAGTCGCTGGTCTAACAAACATATCCGCGAGGGCAAATATAGAGAGCAAAAAAGCTGCAGAGTATTCATCTATTCCCTGATGTTTGGCGTACGGTGCAAGGAAGACAATTGGAGCAAAAAGGCCAAAGAACATGACGACATTCCCAACTAAGTAAATGAGGAAGCCTCTGTGTTTGAAGAGGGAGAAGTCGATGAATCTGTGCACACAGCTCTGGCTCTTAGGGTTGTCCTCAATCCTAAGGGCCTCTGCAGCAGCGTCCTCTGCTCCATTAACCTCTGCAGGCTCTGCCTTTGGTTTAGGCACAGCCATTTTATTCACTGGCCTCATCAGAGAACCAGCTACACAGCAGTTCAGGACTATGGCTCCTAAAATGAGGAAGCTCCCTCTCCAGCCAAACGAATCAAACAGAAACTGGTTCAGAGGAGCCAGAGTGAACAAAACCACTGGGCTGCCTGTCATTGCAAGACCATTGGCGAGTGGCCTTTTGGCCTGGAAGTAAGTGCCGATTATTGTCAAAGCAGGCTGCAGGTTGAAAGCAAGTCCAAAACCTGATGAGAAAAACAAATAATGAAAAAAAGGAATGCATTTACCATCTGTAATTGTGAAAAATGCAATTGATATTACCCCCAATTACTCCAACACAGAGGTAAAGATGAATGATGGAAGTGCCTAAGGATGCTAGGATCATGCCAGCACTGAGAATCAACCCACCCACCATCACCACAGGTCTGCTGCCATAACGATTCACCAGAACACTGCTGATGGGCCCTGCACGCATTAAACTTTAGATAAACCGTGTTTACATTTAATAACTTTAACATGTAAAAAGTTGTAAAAAGTGACTAACCTGCTGCATACATAGAGGCAAGCATAACAGAGGACACCCATGCTATCTCACTGTAGGACACGCCAAAATATTCCTGAATCTCCTTGAAGTACACAGTGAGGGACTTGGGGAAAGCGTAGGAGAATCCTATAGAGATGAAAGAAGCCAGAACTACTACCCAGCCCCAGCCTCCGTCCGGGGGAGTGTAGCCCAGATTGGTTGTAGCTGGAGGAGGCATATTTGGTGCACCTTACGAGAGGGTAAAAACAATAATATTAGTAATGCAGTTGAGAAGGCTATAAGGTATGGAGCTGTTTCCTTTTCATGTTGGTAGGTTTCTTACACTTTAATATCACTGTAAGAAGCCAGCAAGGCTGCCACACTATTGCTTACTTCAGTCTTAACTGCATGCCAAGGTATTTTTTGAAACAGAAAAGATGTAAAATCTGGACAGCTGAGAGAAATTAATAGAGCTGAGTAACAGAGAATGGTGACTGTATAGTGTTTTCTTCTCAGGAAAGCACACACATAGGCCTACAGAATCTGTATAGCCTATGTAGGAGCAATGTGGGAGTTTACTGTCTTAACTGGAATCAGGACATTATTTTTCAAAAGAATAAGCTAAGTCTCATCTAAATGCAATAAACCTGGGATGAAGCTCTTATTTTTAAATGTATATTTTTGTCTGAGGGATATTGAGCTGCAGACAGTGCTTGCTTAATTTGAGGACCTTTTTCACTTGACTGAATCTTCTTGTTCACCCACCCTTTGGACAAGATTATATCAAATTAGTTAATATAATTGCTGAGTCATGACGCAGGCCTAGCTGTTTCTTTACCTTTCGCTTTTGCGTGATACTGAAGGATCACACCAGAAGGCCAAATATGTTCTGAGTTGGTACTCGTTTGAAAATCTGCACTCACTGGACTCACTGGAGCCCTTCACCAGATCTTGATCCCTAACAGATTTTAGGCTTGCAACGTCACATAGATAAACAACTGTTTTTGTTCATACTTGATTCATATAATTTTTCTTTCATTTCGCGCGAATAAAAACAATGACGCAATCACGTGCACGGAAGAAAAGCGCTTTGGCCACGCCTCCTGAAAACATCTGCGAGAGACAAGTGGGTTACGTGAATCTTTCAATATTGCTAAGTCTTTTTTCATTATCGAGTTTATTAAACACAACTACACAATGTTTTGAGTGTAACGCGATAAACCCAGCTAATGTCTTTTGTGAGGCTAGCTTGTTAGCGTTGTTACCAAACAGCTTGAGTAACAACTGTGTGGTATGGGTGACTGTTAGCTAATGTCAAACCAGGAGCTAGTACAGCACTCGCTCGATGGTCGCAGTTGTTCTACACATATCCGCTAAAATCTAGAAGTAGTTAAATGATAATGAATTTGGTCAGGATGCCTTTGAACTCGGGTTTGGCTATAAGAGCAATGCTGTGCAGACTACAGCTCAGGACCAGTCATACCAGCCCCACGTTTGCAGCACCTGTCAAAGTAAGTGCGCTCCCCATACTTCTCTCTTGACCACTGACAAGCATGCATGGATGATTAAAATAACAATATAAATACAAAATATATAAAACCATGCATACTATCTCTGTGTTAGTTAGGATCAAATTTTGAAAGTTTAGTGGGCGTTAGAGGTGAGATATTTTAGGTTTAAAAGAACACGTGGCTCAATCAGTGACAGACCAAATGGCAGCTGATGAAATCCAAACGTCTGGTGAACAAGCAAAAATCCACATGTTTAGCAGGAATCACCTTATAACTCTCGGTTCAGGGAGTATGTCAGCAGCAGAAGCAGTCTTAAAATACATGTGCTCTGTCAGTCAGTGAAAATATGTGAATCATGCCTATTATGCTCATCTCAGATGTCCCCAAGTTTCAAAGCACCTTTCTCTAAGTGTAATTTACTGTCCCCTTTTGCCCCCCTAAATACAAAAATAGACTCTTTGTACTTACTTGAACTCAGTGGTGGTGGGTTGTCATATGTCCTGTATTGTCTTGATGTGTGTAGGAAACCAGCATATCTTGTTATAAACCAGTTCTGACTTTAAACAGTGGCCTCAACCTGCTCCCAAACTCTGGAATGCACTTCCTAAAGACATGAGAAAGAGAAATCTGGTGTCCAGCAGAGTGTGCTGTGTGGGAAACATGTTTAATCTATTTTCCATGTGTTAGGAAATTCCATTTCTATTTTAATAACATGCTGTGATTAGGACTGTTAGCCTGATATCATGTATAAAATGAAAAGGAAGAAACATAATGATAATTCACTATTATATACCCAACAACAGTGAAGTCCTTTATTTACTTTATATCTAAAAGATTACTGTTCCTTTAGCGACAAGTTTCATGAAATCAAACTTTCTCAATTATAGTAAAATTGTGTCATAAACAGATAAAACTTTGCACTTTAATGTACTTTTTAAAAGTGTACACTACCAGTCAAAAGTTTGAACACAACATCTTTTTCAGTGTTTATTTTTGTACTTTCTACTGTCTACTAAATGTTTGTTTAATGTATTTGTTTAAGTAGCCACCCGTTCCTTTGTCAAGTTATTTTACTTTTTCTTTCCAATGTATATATCTATATATATTTTACTTCCTAAATGTAGAAAGTAGTAAAAATAAATAAATATAAATAGCAATAAGCAATAATAACATTAATGTTTTTTATAATGGCGTATCTTTCTCCTGTATTACAGGTTTTATATGATGGGCTTTGTCCCATATGTGTGACAGAGATCCGGTTTCTCCAGTTTCTGCAGAGGAAAGAACCTGGCAAAGTGGATTTCATTGATATATCTCTCCCAGGTAGATATGCCATGATATAAAATTTTACTGGTAGGATTGTTGTGAGAAAAAACATCATGATTTAAAGATTATTGATTGAAATGTTTATGATTATTAGTTTTTATCAGAATAATCATGATTATCAATTAACCTAATAATCTTGACATTCCTTCTCCCAGGATATGATGGGGCAAACCACAATGGCATCAGCTACGAGATGGCGATGGAGGAAATGCATGTTATAGATGAGAAAAATATGGTATATACATTAACTTTTTAATTATCATTTTGACACTACAATTCAAAAGTTTGGACACACCCTCTTATTCAAATGTTTTTTTTCTTTATTTTACAACTTTTAGATACATATGGAGTACTTAAAATATGTGAAGCAAGATACATGGAATTATGTAGCAAAGGAAAATGTTAAATAACTCTATTAGACACTTATGGAGAGACTTAACCATGCATTTGTCTCCAGTAGATAAGAGTACTGTAACGGCCTGCTCACTTTAAAACAGCTGCTGTACATCCAAAACACTGCTGCTCAGGTCCTGACTAGTACAGTCAGTCCGAGTATATGCATCTTGTGCTCAGGTCTCTGTACTGGCTCCTGTGATGCAGAGAATATACTTTAAAACCTCTCTGTTTTCTGACATGTTAGTGCAAAATGAACCATTTCCACTCTGAGGAGCTTAGGGACCAGCCTCCTTCTGGTGCCCAAAGTCAGGACTAAACATGGGGAGTCAGAGGGTGTTTCACAATTGCCAGGATCCTCGGCTTCTGAGCCACATCTGACAGATCCACATCATCAGAGCTCCGCCAAGTGGTGTTCCAATTCACCCAAAGCCCTCATGCTTTCCATGCTCCTCCATTTTTCTCTTTTACCAAGGATGCACGGATGGATGTTAGCCACCTTGGAGCACTTGAAACTGCCCACAATGCACTGCAAGTTATTTTTTTTTAACTTTATTTAAGCAATAAAATGCATTTTGATAAAACTAATTCAACAATAAAAAAAGAAGTAAATATTCTGCTATTTTAGCCACATTGCTGCAAATAACACAATTATCAGCATTAAAATTATTACAAATGCAGCAAAATCTCTGAAAGGAGGGGATTGGGAATACACTTAATCTATCATCCGAAAATGTTTCAGTCTGTGTAATTATTTCTGTAGGCTAATGATCACCCTAAATAACACAATAACAGATGATTCACTCAGCCTTCATTATTCACATGTTTTAATGCTTGTTGACACATAAAACACTTCTGAACACTTTATATTTGTAGAAGCATTGATGCTTATTAAAACACTGAGTTTTATCATGTCTGATTTGGTCACGTGACACGGTGCAGTCGCTCCCTCCAGAGCCTGTTCCACATGCGCTCCTAGGAGCTGTGGGAAGCCGACTTTGGAGGGGTGCTACAAAATAGTCTTTGGAGGAAGGAACCTGGGAACTGAGGAACACCCAGAGTTTCAGTTTTATGCAGCTAGACCCTAAAACACTCTTACTCAATATGTGAGACATCTGCTTTGATAATGTCAAAACAGTTCTGTTTGCTGTGCGTATTACATATTCCACAATCTTCTCTCTTCTCTTTTAGTGTAGTAATCTCCTGATCATTGTTTATGTTTTGATTTGTTTGTATTGTGATTTTAATGGCTTATACAAAATGCCATATATCTTGCGTCATATATTTGATGTATTCCTTATGTATATAAAATGTAGAAAGTGGTAGAAATAAAGAAAAAACAACATTGAATGAGATGGTGTGTCCAAATATTTGACTGATAGACTAAGGGTATGCTTTTTGTTTGTATTTAAGAATCCTAATTTGTTTGTTGATTTTCTAGGTTCACCGTGGTGTTCCTGCCTTCTATGTCATGTATTCTGCAGTGGGACTTGGGTGGTTAGGGCGCCTCCTCATGTGGCCTCCTATAAGACCTTTAATGGATAAATCTTATGACATATTTGCCAGAAACCGCCTAAAATGGACAGGGCGTGGAGGTGAATGCACCACTGGACGCTGTGAAAAGAAACCAAACTGAGCTGAAAACTTTCGCTAGGTACTTGATTGTGGGCTTTACTATGCACTTCATGAACACTGCAATGCAAGTTTAAAATGTGGTTCGATTCACACATTGTTTTTTGTTAAAGCGTTATGCTTAAAATATTACTATAAAAACAGCTTCAAGAAATGTAAGTATGTAGTAATTGAGAAGTCAAAATTATCGAAAATCAGATGCTAATCGGTACTAAAACTACTATATATAATTCACATAACAGAAATGAACCTTTTGTGAATAGCTTTGGAAGCCATGTGGCATAAAACCATAGGGACTAGTATATGCCACGGACCACTCTGGATCCATCCTGAATGGCTGATTACAAAGATTTAAGACTACATGGTAATATAAAAGAAAGTACTATTATTTAATGTGGAAAATTACATTCTATTTTCTAAATAAAGACAGCTTTTTATTATCATTTTGCCTTTGGTATTAAGTGTATTCCTTGTTATCGAAATAGAGATCGAAATTTTAGTATTGTGACAAGTAAATATACTACTGAACATCATGTCTGTGTCACTTGAACTAGCCACAATGTACAAAGTCATGAAAATATGTTCCAAAAATACACTGTTATAGTTACCACCGTTTGGCCACTAGATGTCCATGTAATGCAAGCAAACATATTGCTGTGTGTGCTACCACACGTGAGTGCAAGGATTATATTAATGAACCTTATAAAGAAAAGTGAGATTATACAGTAGATATCTAAATACATTTTGTGGATTTTACAGAAAAAATGTTAGCTATAAGAAGTCTTTTGTCAAGCTGTTTGTATGTGTTTATTGCTCTACCACCGCTGCCTAATTTTAGACTGGAGCTTCCAGTCCTGCTCCTGAGCAGTGACCTTAAGACCTTAAGGTCTTATCATGCATTGGTCAGTGCGGTCCACCCCCACTGAGCTCCACCAATGGGATCTCAACACAGAGTAAGCGAAGGCTGGAATAAGAATCAAAACACAACACTATCCTGACTGGCATGTCAATTTTGGACTGTGAGTTGTTTTTTTTTTACTTTAAACTGACAGAAAAGAAGGCAGAAGTCAACCCTGTGTCTCAGGTACTTTTTCTCTTGTCATTGAGTGAAGACATAAGCTGCTTTGAGGCGTGACCTTCCTCCCAGCAAAGGCAAAACAAACAGCATAGACACAATGTAAATGCCTTTACACACTTTATCCAAGGGCACAGTTGTTAGAAAACTGTTAAAAAAGCTCAACAGCTTGTAGGCTTTAACCTGTGTTTGAATGTCTTAAGAAAGCATATGCTTATTTTTACAGTGTTACAAGATGTTTGTCATATGCAAATGTATGCTACTGTTTTTGTCTTAAGGCCTTTAACACCTCCACCATTGTTATTTATAGTTAGGACACTGTGCCTCTGTACAATAACTAATAGTTTTAAAATCAATTATAAATAAGCATCTAAATATATACCTTACGCACTGAGTACAATTAAAGCAATAGGTCCTGACTGATTTTTAGCATAAATATATCATTACATTTTTTACGCAGATAAAATATGGGCCGATATCTCAACTTATGTTCAAGCTCTGGGAAATCAATCCTAAAATCCTACTGCAAAATCAAGTACTTAATGAGCATTCTGAGGAAAATCCACTGTCGTGACCAATTCAGGTTCTCATTTCAACCTCAACCTTTTTCAACTAACCCAACCAGAAAGACAAGTGGACACAAATACCCCAGGAATACATTCTTCAAATATCACCACACCTCAATCAACATTGAATATTCACGTGAACATTTTTACTCTACCTCTTCTAGAAGGGACGAATTTAAGGTTGAAGCTCCAGTAGGAATTTTGGAGGAGACTCAAGAAAATGGTCAACTGAGTAGACTTGGTGGTCGTCTTGGTCAATCATTTAATCAGTTGTCAACACATATTAACATGTATTTCAAAAGAAAGAACACTGAATCTCCAGCTAAAAGTTCAAATACAAGGACAGCAACACCTCTTCAGACAGCTACCCAGGAATGCAATTTACCTCAAAATAAAGCCACATTACAAACATTCAGTAATAATGAAACAATTCCCCCTCCTTCACTCAGCTATTTAGGTGTACAACTTTTTCATTCCAGCTATTTGGCAACACGATTTGGAGAAAGCTACTATTATGTTGCAAAACACATAAATTCATTTTTTTCAAGAGGGGATGCCCAAGGTAAAGAACAGGATCATTTTGATATGCATTCAAGAAGTGAGCAGATTAACACAAGAAAGTTTAAAAATGTCTCATCGGATGCCACTCATGGCAATCAAAAAGCTACAAATATCCAAAATTCTACCTCCAGTAGCTGGGAAGAAGGTTATGCAATGTTTGCTACACACATTAATAAATACTTTGGAGCTCTTGCTACTGATAAGAAGAAACCAGGAGAATATACCCTGCCCCAAACCTCCAAACATTTACCCAACAAACTGAATCAAGTATTTGAATCAAAAGATGGACTGGATGGCCTTTTCCATAGCAGCCACAATGCAACACATTTTGGTGAGAATCATTTCCAAATGGCAAACCACGTCAATCAGTATTTCAAAGGAGAAACATTGGAAGAGATTGATCTGGATGAAACAGAGGTGGCTCCTGCTTTTACAAACTCAGGTCAAATGAAAACTGTTTCTCTTCTGGACTGCCTGCTACATCCTTCCAGTGCTATCCCGGATTTCCTCAATATATATCTCAGACCAAACCGAATCAACAATATAACGTCACCTAGAAATACATGGAACAATAAGGTGAGTTTTGTTGTTTAAACCTTTTTTGGTACTTAACTTTGATGCTTCATACTGACTGCATACTGCTGTTGTGCATTTGGCAAGACACTACCCTCCTCTTGCATCTTTTGTCTGCGTACATTTGATTATGACTGTATAAAGTGTCTAATCATTTTGTATTAAATTATTATTGTATCAGCGTAATTGAAATAAGCATGCATAAAATAACTTTTTAAAATAAAATAGATTTATTTTCCAATAGTTCCTAAGTAAAAGGCAAGCAGAAGAAGTTACTTACAATTTGATAACAACACTGGAACAGACGACCTCTCCAGAAGACCTAGCATCCTGCATTGAAGCTCTCAATGAGAATCTTATTCGGTACCCATCATGCAGAATGGTCTTATGGCAAGTAAGAAATATATATATATATATATATATATATATATATATATATATATATATATATATTATATATATATATATATATATATATATATATATATATATAATAACACAGACACTTAATGTTTCCATGGCTGTATTGCATTGCAATTGTGTTTTTGTAGAAAAAAACTGCTGTGTTACTACTACGAAAACGCCGCTCCTATAAAAATCATGAGGGTCTTCAGAATGCCATCAGAGAAGTCCTTGCCTTGGTGGGATATGTAGATCCTGCAAAAGGCAGAGGCATCAGGGTTTTGTCCATTGATGGTGGTGGTACAAGGTAGAACTTAACATTGTTACTATACAAAATTACCCTTTATTTATATCATAAATGTTTTATTTTCTGTTTTAGAGGTGTAGTTCCTCTGCAAGTGTTAAAAGTTTTAGAGGCTCAAACAGGCAGGAAGATACCCCAATTATTTGACTACATTTGTGGAGTAAGCACAGGTAAGTAACTATTGTAAAGAGAGGCATTTTAACATCTGTATTATTTACTGAGATGACATTTGAGTTATTGTGTGTGTATTCTATATTTTTCAGGTGCTGTACTTGCCTTCATGCTGGGTCTGGCCCATTTTTCTCTCAGAGAGTGTGAGGACATGTATCAGCATTTTGGATCTGAGGTTTTCTGTCAGAATCCATTTGTGGGAACAGTGAAGATGGGCTGGAGTCATTCGTACTATGACACAGAGACCTGGGAGACCATACTCAGGTAGTGATTGTTTTCCTACTCTAATGAAGATTTAACTCCCTCAAGACCCACTATTATCACTATATAAATATAAGGCCCTAGTATTCAGTTCTGTTTCTGCAAAACTAGTACATTAACAATATTTATGACCTGTCAATTGAATGGAGGTTACTGAGTGTTCGGATGTCATCTGAAATCAGTCACTTTTCATATTAGTTTTTATCATCCATAGTCTATCTGAGGATGATACAGAATTGTTAGCCATGTGTAGCCATTGTCAAAAATAAAAACCTTGCGTTTACTATGGTGAAATCCCACAGAGTGTGGCTTTTCATTTCATTTCATATATATATATATATATATATATATATATATATATATATATATATATATATATATATATATATATATATATATATATATATATATATATATATATATATATATATATATATATATATATATATATATATATATGTGATGTTTGTTGACCCTTTAACAGAGAGAAGCTTGGGGAGCGACTGCTTATTAAAACAGCAAGAGATGAGTTAAGCCCAAAGGTAATATTAACATTTGAAGGGTTTTAATAATAAAATCATAAATTGTTGATTGATCATTATTTGTGTATTTTATTTGTAGGTTTCAGCTGTCAGTGCTGTTGTGAACTGGGGAACAAGTCCAAAAGCTTTTGTTTTTCGTAACTACAACCACAGTCCTGGATCACTCAGTCGATACGCAGGAGGCAGTGGGTATCAGATGTGGCAGGCAGTCAGAGCCTCATCAGCTGCTCCAGGATACTTTCAAGAGTTCACTTTACAAGGAGACATTCACCAGGTAGGAAAGTGCAGCTCTTACATATGAACATAAGCCTGTGTTTCTAATTCTATTACTGGGACTGTTCATTTATAAGAAATAACCATAAAGTACCAATTATTTAACTAATTATATACATTCTACTGCTCCCCTTTTCAATGGGCTGAGTTTAAGTAACATTTCAGCATTAAGAGTGTCCAGAGTGGCACCAAGTTCAACATATTTTGTTAGATAAAATGCACTTGAGTGGAATATTTTTACTATTGTTGAAAATTAAGGTGGATTATTAAATTGCACCAGGATGACTTCCATCAATTAGAATTATGAGGCAAAAACTATATGTAGACTTGTGTATCACCCACAGAGTTACACTGACATCATCAAAGAGGCTATCCATGTGTTTTACAATGATAAAAATATAGGAACATTGCCATAGAAATTAACCATTCTTTCTTATTTATTAATAGTCCTCAAAATGGAATCACATACAGGAAATTGAGACGTATGAAGACAACACTGTGATGTAATTTGAAACCCAGTAATACTCTTGTATGACTTTTTAGGATGGGGGAATCATTGTGAACAACCCATGTGCTTTAGCGGTGCACGAGAGCCGTCTGCTGTGGCCTCACCAGCCCTTTCAATGTGTGCTTTCTCTGGGCACTGGTCGCTATGACAGTGTAAAGAGAAACCCAGCCACCTCCACCAGTCTGAGGGCCAAAATCAGCAACCTAATTTGTAGTGCCACTGACACCGAAGGAGTCCACACACTTTTAGATGACCTTCTCGCACCGAACGTATATTTCCGGTTCAACCCCACAATGAGCACGGTGGTTGCCCTTGACGAAAGCCGACCTGGAGCTTTGGAGGTACTCAGGCAAGATACACAAGAGTACCTAGAGAGAAATCATCCTAAACTGGCCAGACTGTGCTTGGTTCTTGGGGCAGAGCGTTCGGCTATGAGCAAAACAATGGACTGGATGAGTGAGAGGGCTTGGGGAATGAAGCAGCGTTGGGTGTGAGTAGATATAGCCATTAAAACTACTACTGTCCATTAAGACTACTACAACAGAACAACATAAAAGACTATGAAATCAAAATATGTACCTACAAGAAGGTAGCTTCCAAAAATAAAGCTGTGTGCTCAAATATATTGACCATATGATGAAAATATTGTGTTAATGTATTTCATATTTATATTATTTGTTGTAAGACTTCATAAAAACATATACTAAAGAAGAGGAGTTAATAACAGTTTAAAGATGCACTGCCACCTGCTTGTTTCCATGGAGATGTTAAAGCTGTGCCTCAAATTCACAGTAATGCATTAAACATATCTATATTGCATTTGTCCAATTAGGGGTATTTTTGTTGCTAAACAAATCTGGCCTGGTGGAGCACACTTGTCTTTAAGAAGAGATCTAACTTCTTAAAGACAAGCGTGCAATACTGTGAAGCATCTCCATGGAGATAAGCGTTTGGCAGACCTACCTCCAAAAAAGTTACATTGTACACTTTTTTAGCTATAATAACTGTATAGATGTACCGTATGTTATTGTAATAAACATCATCAATTGAATGCACATATACTTCATTCTTTTTATTACTGCTTAATAAGTCAGTCATTTCAGGTACCAAATTCTACTTTTGTATTCATTTCTCATTTGGTGAATGGTCTATGGGTTTATCAATGAAATCCTATCCACTTTGTTAGGGTTAAATTCATTGTTGTACCGTCTGTGGGCTGTATCATTTTAATTCACAATAGCTTGGGCCTGACAGAGGCCCTTTGTTCAGAGACCATGTGTTTGTGCCAGCCAGAGCAACGATACAATGTCAGTATCTTAGAATGCGTTTTAAACAATGAAATCACATCAGCATTTTTTTTAAATACTGTTGGACAGTTTACTAAATACTAAACCTTGAATTGTGTCCTCCTGTTTTACTTATTCATCACAATGATTTCTTGTTCAGTATGGATTTCACAATGGATTTATTATGTATGATGGAGACGTGTGACCAAAGCGTGGGACCCAGTTTCTGACGGGTTGCTGAAGTTTTGTTACAGAAGACTGGAGGGACAGATCAGGTCAAAACAGACACAATAGCATCGATTATGGCTGTATTGGAGATGCCTGAGTAACAAGGAGGAGGAGGAAGATCTACATGCAGCTGAGACGGAGCAAAGTACACACAAATAGGTAAGACTTCAACTCTATTCAGTAAATACAGCCAAAACACATGAGGTGTACGTAACGTGTAACTGTGTTGGCAGTGAATTATTACTGGCTTTGAATTAGATCAGGATGGGATACCTTTCTATTTCTTTTTTGACAACACTGTGAATGTTTAGTATTTCTTTTTTTTTTTTTTTCACTTTCAAGATTAGTTAATAATCAAAAATACATGTATTCAATATGCAAATGTTTGAATTAAAGGGGCACCAAGGTTTCTGGTGGATGGTTCATCAGTTCCATATAAACACATATATATTTTTTATCTTTTATTCATTTTATTATTGGTATTTTGTGGTAGACTGCCAAATTTTATGTCCTTTTCTGGACCATTCTTGGCAAAAAAAAAAACAAGAATAGAAAAGGCTTTGCACTCTTCAGTGAAATACTGTTTTCTATCTCTAAAATGTGTGAGTTATTGCCCCACTTGGCCTGAGCTGATGATATTCACTGCTTAAACAAGCTTTTGACTGGTCACAGAAGAGTTACTGTAGTACATTGTGTGCCCGATCGGCCATGACAGTGTGATGTCATAGTGCACAGCTTGTGTGGTACACGCTGCCTCCTACAGTCTGTCTGTTCTGATGCAGGCCGCGCTCACACGTGCCACAGGAACCCTGGAGCATACAGGGCTTCTTGTGGTCACTCAGCCAGCTCTGTCTGCCTCTTGACTGTGAAATCTGGTGCATGGCACTGATCACTGCTGATGGACAAGCCCCCTGCTCTTGAGTGTAAATGGAGAGAAAAGCCCATTCTCAAAACCAGGCTCACACGCCCCTCTGCTGATGTGAAGGTCAAGAATGTGTTCACTTGTCAACACTGAGGGTGATCCACTGCATCCACTTTAATTTATAACTTGAAATTTGTAGAAAGACAAGATGTTTGTGTGACATCTAATAATCTGGCAAACAAATTTGTCTTGAGACTCTACCTCTTCAAAGCTGTTTTTTATGCAACAACAACATGCATCTGTAAACACATAGTATAAAAGTAGTCAGTCTTTATAAAACAATATATAGCGTACAATATAATACCCAATGAATATTTACTGTTACTCAGGCTTGACAATGGCATAGATCACTGACTTTATACTTGTCTATACAGTCTGCAATGGAGCAACCTACACTCACATTATTTCATAAGGAAATTAATCGAAACATTCCATCAAAGCTATTTCCCACAATTTCACAGCAACAGAAGCATGTGACGATGTTATATTCATATGACCGGAACAAAAGCTGCTTTCATACAACTCAACAACAGGCCCACAATTTGATGTCATCAAAACCAACAAATGCTTTACAACTTATTGCATCTCCCAAGGGCAAGTCAACATTTTCAGATGAAAGTCATCACTTCTTAAGTAAATAAAATAAATTATACATATTTTATGATAATATCTTTATCTTGTATAGACAATGCAATATTATGTAGAGAAAGTTAGAAGAAGGTTGAATAAATGTGAGTCAATGCCAGTGGTCAGTAGTAGGTGGTGTATGGTGCTCATTCATTATTCATGGGGAAGGGTGGGCAGCGTGTAAGTGACAGGGACAGACAGAAACTGCATTAATGAAATGTTCCGATTCCCTAAGGGCTTCTGACCTGGTGTTTGAAGGACTGCTACTAGTTTTACACTTCATCGAGGGGTATAATTCTGTGGAAAATGATCCTGAAAAGTCCAAAAGATGTGACAAGCAAAGAGAGTCCTGATTTGACTTCATAGGGAAGGTAGGTGTTGAAAACTACATTGTAGAGGCCTATGCTTAAATATGCTGTGTATTAAAATATATTGATCATTTATTGTATTATATTTCACGTTTTTCTAGGCAGTTGGAGTCTGCATCAGTAATAATGGCTTGATACTGCTTTAACTATGGACAGACTTGTGGTACTAGTGTTTTTTCTTCTCTTATGTCACCCTGTGTGGATGTTTGATGTCCCCTTGGAAGGTAATGTCTTGTGGTTTATTATTTAATGCATTTATTCAGTTATTCATCAATGCATCCATTCCATTAACACTTCCACAATATTTCAATTTTGTAGTCAAACAGCCTCCAACCATCACCAAGCAGTCTCTGAAAGAACACATTGTTGACCCAAAGGAAACTATGGTCATAGAATGTGAGGCTAAAGGAAACCCCTATCCCATGTAAGATTATAAATGGCCTTGAAATACGTATGATTACTTGAATTTTTGATTGTCTTAATAGTACTGAATTCTATAAAACATTTTAAAACATATTATGATTATTATGACTAGTATGATTATGATGATGATGATGATGATGATTATTATTATTATTATTATGTATTTCAAGTTTCTCTTGGAGGCGCAATGGGAAGTATTTCAACGTAGCACGTGATCCCCAGACGTCGATGCGCAGACGGTCAGGGACGCTGGATATTTACGCCAAGTACAATCCCGAACAGTACGAAGCAGAGTACCAGTGCATCGCCTCCAATCAGTTTGGCTCCGCCTACTCCAACAAAATTAGACTCATGCTTTACAGTGAGTTTTGAAATCTGTTTTGTTGAACTTTATTGCGCAATGAACGGATATGACTTCTTGCAGCCAGCAGGTGTCACACTAACTCACCTAATCGAGCCTGCCTTTGGAACGTCTCTTGGGGCCCAAATGAATCTCTCTTTCTTCATTTCAGTAGTGCTCAACTTAATGCTTAGTTATTATGCACAAATTTTGCATTATTAAATCTGATATAAACATAATATACTTTTTGACAAAGTTCAGTTTATTCATTCATGTATTATTGCTTTTTCTACCGTATATCAACCTGCAAGCCTGTTTTTGCATACGTTTCTAATTCTTTATGTTTATTTACTATTCTTCAGCCTAATGTCTTATCAAAAACTTTCTTACACTTTAGGAGCTCCAGTCTGGCCGAGGGAGATCCAGGAGCCTGTGGTGGTCAGTGCAGGTTTACCTCTGGTCCTTCCATGTGACCCCCCGCCCGGCCCTCCGAAACCTGAAACTTACTGGATGAAAAGCTGTAAGCCACTTATAAACATTTACTGAATTAGAAGTTTTCATATTCCATTATTATTTATCTTTCATCTTTACTAAACACTAGATAGAAATGAGTATTTTCCTTAGAATACTGTTAAAAACATATGACTCAAGTGTAAAAAAATAATAATAATAAAATTGTTAGTTACAGTAACTGTTTCATTTGATATAGGAAGAATGATTTAATTAGATATATTAAAAAAAGATTTAAACAAATTACATAAAATACTTCTCCAGCATAAAGGTTTTGAAATAGAAACACTTACAATATAATGACATTGCTCAATTTATATTATACAAAAGTATGATAAAATAGCAGTGTAACCTAATCAATAAGTTTTTAGGATAAATGTAAATCATCATTACTGTCCTGCTGCAGGCTCCTATGCCAGACCTTTTAACTGGCCCGTTCAGACGGCGTTCCCTACCATGAAGGCTGTGCCACAGGACCGCAGAGTTTCTATGGGAGTCAATGGAGATCTGTACTTCTCTAATGTACTCTTCAATGACTCTGTGTCTGACTTCTGCTGTAACACCCGTTTTCCGTACAAGAACATCATCCAGCAGAAGATGCCTGTGGTTGTAAAGGTGTTAATTGGTAAATATGAAGCAATGGACCCCACGTTTGGCTTTGGTGTAACCCATCTTAAAAGTGCACTATGTAACTTTTGGTAGGGTCTCCTTCAATAAGTGCATGTTGGATATGTTTATGTAACCTTATTTAATTTTTTTCCTCAGTTACACCAGTTTGTGTAATTGAATGATCTAACTCATCCCTTAGAAACCCTAGTCTAATTAATAAAAATTCCCAACTAACTGCGAACAAATAGGACTGCGTTTATTTTAATTATCATAACCCATTTACAATTGAAGTACTTTGTTTTGATTTCAGACTGGTTAATTTGTCCCCACCCTCCTGCTTTACTAAGTGTGGTGAGTGTGTGCTAACTTGAATTTAACAAGCTGCAAACTTTATTAAAGTAATGGGAACACGTGAGAAGCAGTAACGTGTTGTTGTTTATAGCACGCTCAGTGGTAGAGGCTGCCCCCACCTGGCTGTCCCCTGTCGGTTCATCCAGCTCTGTACTGGTGCTACAGGGGGAAGAGCTGCTGCTGGAGTGTATAGCTGCAGGCATGTAAGTCGAAGTGCAATAACCAGAAATATTCTACAGTTTATGTCAAATCTGTAGATTTGTACTACATAGATTTTACTTATTTTATTTTGCACATTACTTTTTTCAATTTCAATTATAAATTATTAATTACCTGAGGTGTGTTAAACTACTGAAATATCAAATATTCATATATCATGATACTAAATTTAGCATTATACTATTGACATGTTTTGGTATGTCACCATTAGTATTTTTAGGTATTTTGCCAAATGATTTTGTGACAGTGGTACAATTTTGTTGCTTGTTTATAGAGAGGACACGTATTTATGAAATACAGTTCATGTATTTACTGTTTTCTTGATTAAAATGGATATATTTTGTAGTACAGATAGTGGTTTGACAGAGAAATATGGTTGTTAAAATGATTTTATTTGATTCTTAAAAATATTGCATGTATTGTAACATTGTTACATAACATTGTTATTATAACATTGAAACCTATGATTCCCAGACCTATTCATTACTGTTCAATTGTTCTTGGTTACTAAAATAGTTTTTATACATTCTTAAATTAACAAAGTTTGTCTATGACTGCTGTCACACTCCCTGGTTTGTGTCCTGAAGTAGGCTTGGTTTGGTCTTTTTCTAATCCAGGTTTAATCCAGGTTTAGTCCAGGTTTAGTCCAGTTTAGTTCTGGGTGTTGTCTCAGTTTGGTAATGTGAGACACCTGCCTGAAGTTTATTTACTTTTCAGGCCAACTCCTCATATCACCTGGACCAAAGATGGCGGAAGTCTGGACGTGACTTCACGAATGAAAGTCAAGAATTTTAACAAGTTAATTCAAATCCCAAAGGCTGCTTTTGAAGATGCTGGTGAATACATTTGTAGAGCCACGAATAGGCTGGGCTATATTGAGCACACCATAACAGTAAAGGTCAAAGGTAAAGCTTATAGCCATTTAGCTCTCATTAAGTACAGTGATATAGCTAATTTGCATTGTACTTTAGCGGTTCCTTTCTGGTTGGAAAAACCCACCAACTTGATCTTGGCTCCTGAGGAAAATGGCCGTCTAGTTTGCCAAGCAGATGGTGTACCTCGTCCCACTATTGAATGGTTTATAAATGGAGAGCCTGTTGAATGTATGTATGGAAATGATATGCAAAAAACACTCCATAAACAACAAAATATCCTCTTATTCTGCATAAACATATTCTGAAATGTGATTAATGTGTTAGTTAATATTCCAGTCAATTGTTCTGGAAGTAGTTAAAATGTAAACTGTAAACAGAATCCTACTCTAACACATACATATCACATCTAATCACAGTCGCAAATTGGAATCAGATATTTTTCCAGTCATTATCACAATCATTGCTATATTTTGGTATGATTTCTGCATTTTTCTTTTCATTATATTCTATGCAGTTGCCACCCACCAGCCCAACAGAGAGGTTTCAGGAGATGCTCTGATCTTTCGCAGTGCAACAGTAGAAAACACTGCTGTCTATCAATGTAATGCATCAAACCAATTTGGGTATCTGCTGGCCAACGCCTTTGTCAATGTACTCCGTGAGTAAATCATCATACTTAAAGATGCGCTGTGTAACTTTCCTGGTGATTGTGTTAACTTGCTTATCCCCCTGGAGATGTAACAGCTTTACCTGGAATGTTCCATAGTATGGAATTAATTATTGGATTCTCGTCGTATTATATGAAAAATATAATATTGTGCTAAATTGTTTGTCACTATGGCAACAGTCCTAATTTTTCATTATTCTGAAATCCATGGATACTTTTTTGTTCGGCATTACTTTTATCAATCTTGACTGTATTAAACTAAACGCATTTTTTTTTTTTTTAAATAACATGTCCATGGAGATAAGCAGAAAAGGTACATTGTACAACTTCAACTGCAAGTCTGACTATTGTAATGACCCTGAACAATTTACTGAATTTACTACATTGTTAATCTCTTCATATTCAGATGCCACACCTCGTATTCTTAGTCCTAGGAGTGAGTACATGAAGGTGATAGAAGGCACTCGCACCTTTTTAGACTGTCTCTACTTTGGATCACCACTACCTGAATTACGATGGTAAGACCTGTTTATGTACCACCAAAACTGTGTAAACTATCCTTTATGTTTTGGGTTGGGGAATAAATCTGTATACACACTCACATTATGGAAACCTGCCTCCTTTATGCATTATGATAGGTACCCATGATGTAATTATTATGAAATCACCAACATGATTGATGAATTTCAGATATGGTTTAAATAGTTTAAAGTTAGGGTTAGACAAAAAGTGACTATAGATAAGGTTAGGATCAGTCTCCAGGAAATAAATGTGATGTCAATGTGATGTTCCCTAGAAGCATAGAAACCTAACTTATGTGTTTGTGTGTGTGAAGGTCAAAATATGGACAGGGGAATCTGGAAGGCAATCGATTTAAGACCCACAGAAATGGCACTCTACAGATAAATCGCATTCGAATCGAGGACCAGGGGACCTACCTCTGTGTGGTCAGCAACATTGCAGGAAGAGACGAGAGCCAAGTTCAGGTAGAAGTTAAAGGTAAGCCATGGTGGTAACACTTTATTTAGACTTAGTAAAGCATTAACAAAGACTTCTCTTATAATGTACAACATTTTAATTAATCATAATCAGAAATTTTTTATTGCCATTGTCAGTGAACATAATTTCTGTAACTTCTGGAATAAGGTGAATGATGGTAAATATAAACGATAATAAAATAAAAATAGGGGCGCACATTAAAAAAACAAAAAACTTTGATATACAAATACAAAATATTACTATGAAAGATATTCAGTTATTATATTTGCTCATACTTTTGTTCATGCTTTATTAAGACAAATTCATATGTAATTATTATAAAATGGGTCCAATTGTGTATTGTATTGAGTTGCAAATTAGGAGTTGTGTTTTAATAATACAACATATGTTTTTGTATATTCTTTTCCTAGAACCTACAGTAATTATCACAAAGCCCCAGAATATGAAGGTAAAACGTGGAACAGATGTACGTTTAGAGTGTGTCATTAAATCTGACACCACTTCCTCTGTCACTACAAATTGGATGAAAGATAAGAGATACGTCACTCTTGGCTGGAGGTGCGTCATTAAAAATGTACAGCTTTTAATTCTGTAATAAGGTATTAAAACAAAATATGTTGTTATTATGTTAGCAAATGAAAGCAAGTGCTCCTATATTTTCTGATCATTTCAGTATTCAAGTTCTCTTTATTTAAAGCTTTATCTTTTAGAAGCTTCCATTTCCAGATGCAAATTTTTCATGAATGTTAAACAGTCACATTTGTATATGGAGGAACGTAAAGTGCTTTACATAACGGAACCATTCACTCAGCCTGAACATACTTGCTACGATCTTCTCTCACATTTCATACTGCATGACAGCATGGGCTCAGGCAGCTCCCTCAATAAATGCATCAGTTTATTTCACAATCAAGCAATAAAGATCATGGACAAAAACCTTTTCATTGTCACCACTGCAATATATTTAAGCTTAGAAAGCCTTAATAAATTATATCCTCTTAAGCTATGTCCAAGTATGCCAACAAGACAAACTGGCAAGTCACCAGAAGCATCTCCAGTAATAACTGTACAATCCCACACCGCAGAATAACAGAATCACATTCAGACAGTCAGCCTTTTCATATCAGTATTGTAAACTATGGTCTACTAGTATATGTACTGCATCAGCTGCATGCTCTGCCCGTGACTGTCAAAGTAATAACATACAGGTGAGGTGGGTTAATTATCTTGCTCAAGGACACAATGGCAGTATTCACCTGAGAAAGACGATGAAACAAAACATACATCAATCCCTACTGTTTCCAGCAAAGACAAATAACTAGACAATAATACATTTTCTATATCAAATTCAAATATGTACAGTTTTGTGATGGTTTCATCTTGTCTAGGTTTAACATGGAGGAAGCAAATCTACTTATCAGTAATGTGAACAGAGGGGATGAAGGGAACTACACGTGCTTAGCCAAAGGGGAACTGGATCAAAAGTCTGCCTCAGCACAGCTACTGATCATGGGTAACACAAGATGATGATGATGATGATGATTATTATTATTATTATTATTATCATGGTGTTTTAGTCAAGTTGAAATTATTTAAACTTAAAAACCTTTAAACACTTTTCATTAGATCGACCAGACCCTCCCACTGATTTGCAGCTGTCTGATCCATATGAGCGCACTGTGAGACTGACATGGGTTCCTGGAGACAATAACCACAGTCCCATCACAGGTTAGAACTAGATGAAATTAAAAACAGCAGAGGGTATTCAACATGACTTTTGTTTATACTGCAGTTTTGTTATTTGATTAAATCTCTTTGTCCCATAGAGTATTTGGTGCAGTACGATGATGATGACTGGCTACCGTGGAAGTGGAGAAATTTGTCATCATATCCTGGCAACCTCAACTCTGTGATTCTGCACCTCATCCCCTTCACGTACTACGAGTTTCGGGTCATTGCCATCAACGAGATCGGCCCCAGTCGCCCCAGTCGCCCCTCCTCTCGTTTCCAGAGCAGCGGTGCACGTAAGTCTTTTAGTGGTCAGAATATAGGTCAGTATTACACAGGGTTACATTTTAACTTTTTATTTGATTTTGATAGCATGTACACTTTTATAACAATCTCCACTTTATTGTGGATTAAGAGAGGCCTTCAAAAGTGAATTACTCCATTGAATAAAGTTCATCTAGTTCATTAGTTTTAGCACAGATTTTTTGACAACTCTGTACTACTGAATTATTTATATATTACTTGTACCACATCAAACCTCTTGCTTTTTTTATAGCACCAGATGTTATTCCAAAAAATCTAAAAGGTGTGGGGACATGGAGGAATAACATGGAAATCAGCTGGGAGGTATAGGAAAAACACACACACACACACACACCACACATCTGATTTAAAATAAATAAATAAATATATATGTATATATATATATATATATATATATATATATACACACACACACACATATATATGTATATATATTAAAGATGAAACATTTTATATTGCTTTCAGCCTCTGTCTTATCGGGAGTGGAATGGGCCTCACCTCAAATATCTAGTTTGGTGGAGACGGAGAGATTCTAGAGAAGAATGGAAAAACGCTACTACAAAATGGTTGAGATATTACATTTATGATGCAGATACTTTTACCCCATATGAGCTCAAGATTCAAGCTGTCAATGAATTTGGGCTGGGGCCAGAGTCACCTGTGGTCATTGGCTACTCTGGGGAAGACCGTAAGTATATCACACTACAAAATAAGTAGTTTTTAATCTTGATATGAGTAGTTCCGACTTTTTTAAAGGTCCTTTATTTTACAAAATAGTTTCTTGTGAACTTTAAGCTATATTATATTATCACCTTCTCAAAAACATACCCAGAGTTCTGTGGTTGTAGTTTTCAAGTAAACAGTTATCTTTTACTTTTGGTTTAGTAGAGACCTCCAGTTTCAGGGCTGAAATTATCCAAATTATTTTAGTGAAGGTATATTCAGTTTGTTTCAGAGTGTTTTCCATTTGAGAATGAGAGAAGAATTCAACCTAAATATGCAGGGTTTGTGTGTTCAACATGTATGAATGAAGCAAAACACAACACGGGTATGTTTTTGATGAGGAAACAACATTTTGACATAGATCAGAAAATGATCTATGTTAGATTAATCGCAGTCTAATCCAAATCACAATTTGAATGGATGTAATTAGCATACAAAAATATTGTGTTTAATTCTGCATAAAAAGATCTACCTAGTCCTGTAATTTAAGGCAAGGGAAGTTTATTTGTATAGCACAATACACAAAGTAATTCAAAGTGCTTTACAGAATAAGAAATGCATTAAAATCACAATACAAACACATACTATTTAACTTCAGTCTGTAAAAACATGCTCTGAAATGTGATTCTTATATTAGTTTGTAAGCATGTTTTTATTTTAGTCTTTTGATCAATCCTTCTGGACATGTTTAAAATGTAAACTGAACAGAAAACCATGATTAAATCAGCTCTATCTATTAATAATATAATCGCATGAATATAATGGCATGTTCTTATTTGTTCTCGGTCAAAGTCAGTAGCCATATTAAGCCTAAACTTGTCTGAACTGTTTTTATTTGTTCATATCTGTTAATATTAAAAATGTACATATTTCTTTTTGAACTTCTTATTTAATTGTTTGCTAGTGAGATTTGGGTACATTTGGATTAGGCATAGATTTCTGATAGACTCCTCTTTTCTCCAGGTCCAGTTGCTTCCCCCCTGAACCTGAGAGTGTCAGACATCGAAAGCACTCAGGTCACTCTGCATTGGGACACAGTCGATAAAAGCTCTCTTATGGGTGAACTGAAAGAATACAAGGTAAATTTGGATTTAAACAGTTTTTTTTCCCTCACAGTACATTTATCAAAAAAATATTACCATGCACAAACCAGTACATAAATTAGATTCGCTGGGTTTAAGCCAAGGCACGCATGCCACTTTACCAGACCAACATGTTTTTCATAATTTATGAAATGTTCCATTCTATCCTTTGTCTGAACAAACAACAAACCCATGACTTTGTGTTTCTGTGATGTCATAACATTATAATGAGCCTCATAAAATGTTAATTGATGGGTAGGTCAGAATTTGTTATGACCTGATTTATGGTGACTAATTACTGTATGTTGTAATTATTTACCATAAACTGAGCAATTGTGAGCTCTGAGATTTGATTTAAAGGCTTACAACACATATTTTGGAAATTGTCTAGTAGCCTTTCCATCATTATCTTACTTAGAGTTGTTTTTTTGATTCATCATGCCTGTTTGAGTAATCCTGCATTGCCCTGTATTGAGTCATAAGGACACAGAAAGTTTCTGTTTTCACCTACCTCCCACAGTCTTGAACTTACTTTAAATTCTTTGAAAAATGCAGACTCCAGGCCATACACATAGGGTTCAAAAATATTGCTACAGTGAATTGGCAATATGAAAAGGTGCGACTGGCAGGTAAAACCAGTTGTGCAATTTTGAACAGGAAGTCAATTGACCTGTTTAAATTGTTATGCTGTTTTTCAATCAATATTGTGATTTGTGGTATGTGAAAAAGCAAATATGTCTTCCTTAAAAACAGTGACTCATACAAAGAGTTTTATTGACCCCTGCCATCTGAAATCTTGGATGCTGTAATAATGGATTTTGACATAAATTTACTATACTTTGGATCATTAAAACTGTGTCTAAAACTGTCTGTCTATGGGTGCCACATTAGTATATTCTTGAACCTAAAATCATTCATATTTTATGCATCAGGTTTATTATTGGAGGGACAGCAGCCAGTTGAGGTGGCACAGAGTCAACAGAGGCATGAAGTCCAAATCATTTCCAGATGATAGCCCTGAGCCCTCTGGAGTCCTTACTGATCTCATCCCCTACAGCAACTACAAGATGTACATCGTGGTGGCCAACAGTCGATATGAAGGACCGGCCAGCAATTACATCCACTTCTCGACACCTGAAGGAGGTAAGTGCCCAAATGTGAGTGGGATTTTTACTCACTTTCTTTCACAAGCAACCCAAATTAACTTTCCTGCACTGTGCCCACCGTGCCCTGCTGTTTTCTGCCAGTGCCATCTGTTCCAAAGTCTTTCCGGATCCAACAGCGACATCTGGACAGTATTTATGTTGACTGGGAGCTGCCAGCGGAGCCCAATGGAGTTATCACCGGGTACTCCCTCAAGTACCAGACAGGTACTCACACTTCTTCATCCAATTTATTCTAGTCCTATGCTTTTGAGTTATATAATTACATAATCTATTGCATAAATAATCAAACAATAATCATTTGAAAAACAGATTATGTGCAAATGTCACTTCACTACTTCACACTGGTAAAGATTTCTAGTAGAAAATTTCATTTCATCAATTTTTTTTAAATTAACAAAACTGCAGACTACTGAGACCACAGGAGTCTTTCTTCCTAGACTTAAAGGGCCCATATTAAACTATTTTTTGATCTATGTTTAATGACTACCTGTAATTTTGTCTGTGTTTATGTGTAATTTTGTTGTTTCCTCATCAAAAACATACCTAGAGCTGCCTTTTGTTTCATTCACACATGTTTAACACACAAACCCTGCAAATTTAGGCTGAGTTCTTCCCTCAACGGAAAACACTCTGTTTCACGTTGTGAAATCATGCCTTAATATAGGAAGTGCTCTTTGTTTTTAAACTCCATAAATCTTCACTTCGATCATTTCAGCCCTGGAATTTCTAATCTCTACTGAACTAAAGATATAAAATGTAGTTGTTACCATGAAAACTACCACTACATGACATCACAAGGTGGAACAGAGCCTTTTGAGCCTGGGAGATGCAGACAGCTTAATAACACAGTATTACTGTCAATGAAACAAAACACAACTCCAGGTGGTTTTGATGAGCTTAAAGCGCACAAGAAACTATTTTGTATATTACTTTTAATCAACAGACAGAAATAGATGTACATTCATAAATAAACAAGGAGCTACTGTTTTCTCCTCAGTAATAGAAAACACTGCAATATGTAGCCTAAATCCTTGCACACATAATGGTCCACTTGAGCAAGATGCTACAGCTGTAATACTGAACATTCAGTACCTCAACTGGAAAAGCAGAGTGTTACAAGAGGGTAATAAACACTTGGGAATGCAATCCGCAGGAGGTAGTGCTCTTAAAACACTACTTTACTGCACTTAGCCTCTCTAAGGACCCTTATTGCTCAGTGAAACGTGGCCTCTCTTCACAGTGAACGCCACCCGAGGAGAGGAGCTGCGGGTCGAGGAGTTTCCCCCAAATGTCACTAGTTTTTCCATTCGCCGCTTCGACCGCTACACGCGCTACCGCTTCTCCATCGCAGCACGCACTCAGATTGGGCTTGGGGAATGGTACACGGAGGAGTCGCCACACTACACCACTGAAAGTAATTCAAAACCTACACAAATACTAGGACTCAATGTTTTTTGCAATAACTGAATACACATTTTTATGACAAGTGTTTTGATTGCGATTAGTTTGGTGATGTATATTTTAAAATTTGGATTCTGTTTAGACTGTAAACAATTCCGGACTTGAGATGGTTGATATATCAGTTCCAGTATGTGTTTCCAGTTTATGCTCAGGACCAGGTGGATATCACGACTCAGGGCTGGTTCATCGGGATCATGTGTGCTGTGGCGCTGCTCGTTCTCATTCTACTGATCGTGTGCTTCATCAAGCGGAGCCGAGGAGGCAAATACCCTGGTACGCCTCCTAGAGGACTTTAACAGAACTGCATGATATGAGAAAAAATAATGTTTATATGTATTTATATCAAGAGTTCTGTTATATAAATTGTGATCAATATTTGTGATATAATTAACTTCTATATAAGATTTGTTGTTGAGACCCAACCTGTTTGGTTGCAGTTCGAGAAAAGAAAGAGATTTCTCTGGAGCCAGTTGACGACAAAGAGCCAGAGGGGTCATTTGATTATAGGTAAGCATTTAGTAAAAGCATTTGCTGAGCTAGAAGTAGATTAGATCAATGGTTACCACAAATTATGTGAAATTTGCTTTGCATTTGTGTTATTAATATTTTTATTAAGATGGTCTAAGGTTCTTAGGTTCAAATCAAACCCATCATAATTGTATTTTTTTCTGATGTTTTCTTGCCCCTTTTTAACTCTACACCTTCTTCTTTTCACACCATACAACTCAAGGAATCTCGAAAGGTTGGAATATTTAATATGGACATTTAAATGTCTTTTTTTGTTTAAAAACTGCATAGTTTTCATAATGTTCTCATTTCAGGATAACCCGTGTGGCAACTTTGCCTTATCATCCACGACGGTAAGGGTCTATTCATTTCATAGCCAGTAAACAATCCATCACAGTTGTATACAGTGTGAATATATAGGTTTTTAACTGTAAAATGTAATAGTTGGAGCTTGTGTCCATGTTTTTGTAATTGAGATAAAACAGCATTACTAATTGTTTAACTTTTATCTGAGAAGACATACTTTGCAAGTTTTCTGTTTTATCTAGAGAGGAAGAGCGAGGGATTCAGCGAGGCCAGCCATCTTTAGATTCCATGATAAAGCGATCGTACAGTGATGACAGTCTGGTGGACTATAGTGAAGGAGGAGAGATCCCCTTTAATGAGGACGGCTCTTTCATTGGGCAGTACACAGGGACCAGGAGGGACGTACGGGACCTAGACTTTAGTGGAGGCCTCAACAGCATTTACTCCCTTGCATAAAAAACTCAACCAAGACAGAAGTGGAAAGAATATTGTCTGAGATAGTTTTTTTCATTTTTTGTAAGATTTGTTGTTTGAAATAATGCATTGAATATTTTGTTACACATTTTTGAAACCTATAAAAACAGCCAAAAGACTTTATAACACTGGTTTAAGTGGCATTTGCACAAGGATCATTTTGACTCGTTTTGATGATTATGATGACATTTGTGAAGAATTTATTTGTCATTACATTTTTTTAAACCAACCAAAAGCCACAAACAGACTTGAAAACCTTTTGAGTGTTGGTATAAGTGACATTTCTGAACATTTGTGGTACGTTTTTGTGTCAACTCTTTTTGAGCAATGCATGAACTTGAAACTCCCATGTCACCTGCTAAGGGAGTGGAACCAGCACACCTCTGCAATTTTTGGAAAATACAAAAAACAAAAAACTTTATTGGATGGGACTGCCTGACATGTAGTGAAGTGAGATTGTTGAAGCTGAAGCTGGTGAACTTTCAACAATGAGGCTGGCACAGAGCTGGCAGCAGGTCAAACCACCAAATGACTGTGTACAGGAAACTTCAGATTTTGTCCCTTTCCTTCCTCAACAAATTAAAAGCGCTACAAGATGTTTAAAGGGCCCATATTACGCTGTTAACTGAGCTATGATATAATGTTGTTGTCCTCTTCACAGTTGAGTTTTGTTTGATCACGCACATGTTTAATACACCCACCCTGTGTATTAAGACTGAGTTTTTCTCTCAGACAGAAAGCATTCCGTTCCACCTTCCTTGTGATGCTTGGGGGGAAGGAAGTGCTCCACTGTGTTTTTAATTACCATATACCGTCACTGAAATCATTTGGATGATTTCAGCCCTGTAATTACCAGTGTCTACTGATCTAAAAATAAAAGGTAGCTGTTAATTTGAAACCTAATAGTAATGGGTAAAATATGTGTGAAAGAAAGAAAACAACTTCAGGTATGTTTTTGAGGAGGTAACAACATTATAGCATGGCTTAAAACTCACAATAATACATTTTGCACAATATAGGACCTTTAAGGGTATAACTTTTAGGGGAAGTGGCAGACCCTTCACCAGAAAAGTTCCAAACTGTACCTTTAAATATCTACATAAGAGCACCTTTTCTTCATTTCATTTCTAGGGTATAGTGGAGCATGGGATGTGTACACAATGGAACTTTTATGTTTTAAACTGATGTTAAGTCGTGGTATTTTCAGGCTACAACATTCCAGAGGATGAGCAACTTAATTATATGACGGACTTTTATTTCAGTGAATCCACCCTTTTGTGTTCATTCATTGTAAACTCATTGACCTATATATGGAAATGCACAATGTCTTTAAATGTTTAACTATTGTAGAAGCAAAAATGGTTTGTTGATAAAAAAAAAAAAAAAAAAAGACTGAAAAAGCCATCTAACTAATTACAAAAATTTGTACTAACAAAAGTCTCATTGTTGCATTTGATTGTAGTGTTCATAATAGAATAATTTTAAGTAAAACTAACTGAGAAACACCTGATTCTTTAATTATCTGGTGATGACGTAGGTGGATTGGGCATCAAGCTTTAGTTGGTTGAAATGGCAAATTCATTATATTATTATTTAAGTTAAGGATTGTTTTCAGTAGTGTAGTATAGAGTATGGGGCATTGATTTCACATAAGCATTAGATTGAATACTTTAATATCTAAACTAAGGGCAAGGAAAATATTTACTTTTTTTCTAAATGGTGTAATTTGGTTTGGAAAATTACTGGTATAGAGTCTGTGACATAGGGGAGCGGCACAACTGGAAAGCCAATGTGTGTTTAAATGGTAAAGACTATACTGGGTTCAGAGGAAGTGTGAGGCAAAGTAACTGGAATGGATTACTTAAAAAAAAGTAATAATAATAATTAAAAAAAATATATATGTGTGTGTGTGTGTGTGTGTGTGTGTGTGTGTGTGTGTATGTATATATATATATATATATATATGTATATGTGTGTGTGTGTGTGTGTATATATATATATATATATATATATATATATATATATATATATATAATTCTGATTGCTTTATATACTTATACTTTACTTAAAAAAGTAACAATCAAATAAAAAACGTCATGCTCTTCAATTCTATTGAACAGACTACAAAACATACAAGATTATTCATATGAAGAAAATAAATTACATGTCTTTCAGAACTTGACAAACGTTTCAAAGAGTTCACAATATTGACAATAAATAGAATTGCAAAATCTAATATTAATGCATAATTTAAAAATCTTTATTGAAATTTGAATGGTCAAATTCTTTTTGTAATCCAACCTGCTAACCCAGTACTTTAATTAAAATACGTATGATTCTTATACTTATATTTGTTCATTTATCAAACTTCTCCCACATTCTGGTGGTGTTTAAAATGTACCTTTTGAAATTAATTTAAAACAAAAGGCACAAATCTAATTGCAATAATATCACAGGATTTATAGTTGCATATTTCTGTCTATTTTAAATATGACCTTATCAACCCAGTGCATTTACATTAGTTTTAACGATGTTAAGCTTGTGATAAAATATAACAATCTTAATGAACCCTGGACCACCAGTGCAAGATAAGAAGTTACATCATCATTTGATCATCGCACAATGGCAAAAGGACACCTTATCTTCATGCCATTTAGCTATGAAAGACCCCTATTCAAATTAGCATAAATATCTAACTTAAAATTGTGCATGTTTTTATGATGAAGTGTTAATTATTATTTTCCTTTTATAATTTTATAATGAAACTGGAATGTCACATAACTTGAAGTTTCTTTAGTTCCCCTTTAAAGAAATGACCCATAGAAAACCAGAAGTAAAGCATCTTCCTCCTTGCCCACAATAATGCCATATAGTTATGTTTATCAGTAAATACACATAGTTACATGGGTTAATATATGAACAAGCCTCCATATAAGTTACTGTGGCATTTCCCTTAAGCTTGAGTTACACTTTGTCCTGATCTTATCACATATATATAGTGCAGGCATTTCACCTGTCTCTTTGGACAACTCCCTGGCACAGACACCTGTGAGTATTCTTATCTTAATATGTTTAGAATATCTTCATGCTAACCTGTATCTCTATTATTATTTGAGGCCAATCCAAGAAGGACACAACATGGCAAGGCTAATAACTGGTAAATACATATTAAATTAATTCAGGTTATTATTATTATTTATTTATTTATTTTGCATTTATCATTTTTTTATATATATATTTTTTTATTTATTTAAGTAATTTATGAATCTCATCAAATGCTTTTGTGTTTTCTAGGACTAGTTCTTCTGGTCTGCCTTCAGTATGGTAACCACTAAACTCTGTCAAATTATTATACAGAGAGAAATTATTAGAGCAGCCTTACAACAGTACATTTAAAATTAATACAATAGGTATTAGGTACCTTTCTAGAAGCTCAATGTGACCTTACAACAAATAAAGGCATAGATCTAAATAAATAAAAATTGAATAATGTCTTTTTTCTCCTTTCAAAGCCTCTTGTTCCAAACTTGTGTGCTACTTCACCAACTGGTCCCAGTACCGACCTGCAAATGGCAAATTTACCCCTGAAAACGTGGACCCAAATCTGTGCACACATTTGATCTACGCCTTCGCCATCATCAGCCCATCCAACGAGCTGTCTCCCTACGAATGGAACGATGATGTCCTCTACGAGCAGTTCAATGGCCTCAAAAATGAGTGAGTCCAAAATGAAAAATGTTTATCAAACCTTACCTTACAGGACCACTAATGTGATGTGAACTTGAGAAAGAGATTGTGTGTTAACAATATCCATACTATTAACTATTAATCTCCATTTCTGAGATACTACATCTTGTGGTATAGTTGTATAATCACCAAAAGTACCGGCTCCTGGATGCAGGCAGTCAAAATGAGTACTATCTGTAGGTTTACTGGGAGCTCCCTTTGAGAAACTACGTCTCTGTGGGGAAGACCCTGAGCATGCTAAGACTGCTCAGACTGTTGTACCCACAACCCAGTCTAGGATAAAGTAGATGGTTGGACAGAGCTCAGTTGTCACAAGCCAGATTAATAATTGTCAAAACTTTGTCGAGGTCCCAGACACCCCTTTGGCTCCACATTTTCAAACAATGTAATTTATATTCTATTGCAGTTTCATGAACTATTGCCTTTTTGTTCTAAAAAAAAAAAAAAAAAAAAAAAAAGGATTTCATATTTTAAATTTAAATCACTATGAATTTCTCTGTATCATTTGTGCTGTGGACAGAGACAGTGGTGCGATGATTCATGATTTATGTAAGGAATAATAGATGGTCTTAACAGTATGCCTGATTGTTGTATACACTTATGCTAACTGGAATTTTAATCCTTACAGAAACCCGCAGTTGAAAACTCTGTTGGCTGTTGGTGGCTGGAACTTTGGGACAACACAGTAAGATCTACACTGTCTCTTTTACATTAAACCAGTTTCTATGAACTGTCAAGAACTTATGTCAACTTCATGTCTGCAGGTTTACGATCATGGTTTCATCCCCAGCCAACCGGCAGAGGTTTATCCAGTCTGCCATCAGGTTTTTGAGAACGCACGGTTTTGATGGATTGGACTTGGACTGGGAGTATCCAGGATCTCGGGGCAGTCCTCCTGAAGACAAACAAAGGTTCACCATACTCTGCCAGGTCTGGAAAGCTGTTCATTCACAATCTAAAAGGAGTCATTTACATGGAATAGTCAGATGTAGTTGAAATGTAAGGAAAGGTTTACCCTATTATTTTAGCTTGGTATATTTACCTACAGTATATGTACTTCCACACAGTATGGTATTAAACTTGTATTGGTTCAAATACAAGCCTTTTATTGCTTAAAAAAAGTACTTGGCCTTGTGGCGTTATCTGCTTGTCTCCATGGAGATAGATAAGTTTTATGCCATACAGTGGAACATTCTTGGAAATGCAATAACATGTGCAAAGACAGCAAGGTGGCAAACTAGAAAAGCTATACAGAGCACCTTTAATTGAGTATAATTTTTTTTATTTATTACACCTGCTAAAAGAGTGCTAAAAGCTAAATCTGACAGAGTAAGAAGATATGGAAGATCAAGTTTCTGTACTTAAGTTGTATTTATACAAAATACTTTTTATATATTTATATATTTATTTATAGTGAATAGTGCAATTACTTCTTTGACTGGTTTAAAGTGAGTACTTATGTTTCATCCTAATCATAATTGTATTAGGGTAGTAAGAGAGGCTGTAGGCATTTTATCTTCTCAAATTGTATTTCTCAGATTCTGCTTGTTAACTGTAAATACATGGTTACATTTCTTATTTACTTTTTTTTTTGTTTTTATTTCTTGGCATTAATTGGTGTATTGTTTATATGTAGGAATTGCTGGCTGCCTTTAAACAGGAAGCTGCTGAGACAAGCCGACCAAGACTCCTCTTGACAGCTGCAGTGGCTGCTGGGAAAGCAACCATTGACAATGGATATGAGATCGCCCAAGTGGCAAAGTGAGTTCCTGCAGATGGTGCTGTCTGTGTAAATGCCGATAATACAAAAACATCTACTTGAGACTAAATGAGAATTTAGAATTCAGTTAATCTTGTTTTAATAGTTTGGATTCATTTAGATTTATTTAGTGTGGACAGTTTTAGTTTTAGTTTTAGTTTTGGAATGGGTATTTTGATTGGCTTCACATTTGTTTCTCTAATTTGAAAACAACAAAAATTGTCCACTGAGTAACACATTTTTTCTTATATTTTCAACCAAATACATGGACCTTGAACAGATAATTTTGCTTAAAAAATTTAACGTATTGTTTGTTATTTACTATTGATTAATTGTAAACAAATATCCAGACACCTTAAGTTCATCTAATTTAGTGAGGAAGATAGATATTCACTTTGTGCAGTGTGGACTTGTGCAATGTCTCTATACACTTTATTTTTCAGGCTGTGTGACTTTTTGAATGTCATGACCTATGATTTTCATGGTGCATGGGACCCATTCACTGGACACAACAGCCCACTGTTTAGGAGCTCTTTTGATAAAGACGATAACATCTACTACAATGTGGTGAGTAGAATTCTCTCTTCAGGAGAGGTCTGTCTCTGTTTGGTTTGCTGTTAAGTATTTTGAATAGCCTGTAATAGTCTGTAATAGTCTGTAAACACACTGGTCTTTTTTTCATTCTCTTAACAGTAAACACTTTTCTCTTTGAGTATTAAAGGTCCACTATATAGCTTTTCTGGTGGAAGGTCTGCAACTTGCTTCATGTAAATGGTGTAGCTTTGCTTGGAATATGCCACAGTATGGCTTTACACTCGTCTATATAGAGTGCCTATATTCAATTACTGTTTTCATTGCCCGATATTCCTGGAAAAACATGTAGTATTGCTAACTTATCACATGATCTGCTTGTCTCCAAGAAAATAAACAAGTTTAATGTGGAGCATTCCGGGCAAAAGAAAAACATCTCCATAGAGACAAGCATAGGACGGACCTTCCAGCAGAAATGTCACACACTGCACGCACCTGTTGTGAAATGGGAGTATGGAATTTACTTTGAATGTAGAATTACAATGTAGAATATATTTTAAGGGTAATAATAGATATATAAATTGTCCCTTCATTTTTGTGCTGAGGGCATTGTTTTGCCCTATGAATAATAAGGCAGTTGTATGAAAGTTAACCTAAGAATAAAAGTGTATATCTTTCATTGAACAGGATTTTGCCATGAGATACTGGAGGGACCAAGGTGCCCCTGTAGACAAGCTCCTGGTCGGGATGGCCACCTATGGGCGCACATTTCGCACAGTGACATCCTCTCACAGTGTGGGGGCTCCAGCTAATGGACCAGCCCCTGCAGGGACCTACACCAGAGAGGCTGGCTTCTGGGCTTACTATGAGGTCAGTACCTCCAACGCACACTGCAAAACAGGAGTATATAAACTGATTTAAAGTGCACCTGACAGCTCATGCCTGATTGATATGTGTGGCACTCTGAGGGGAGTGCTACACATTTATCAGGCTGAAGTACATCTGTCGGCATCAACCATAATTGTTTTGGTTTGCTTGGGCATTTTGCTGCTCTGTTACTGGTCTACACACTAAACCAGGAGCAGGAACATCTCAAGATGAATTCTCATGTGTTTGTGAACTTACAGATATTGCAAGATGATATATTGCTCTGTAAGGTTAGATTTAAACTGTCAGAAAATGTCTTTCTTGTGAGTAAATTGCATTTTGGAAGGGATTTTTGGTGTTGATGGCATATGTAGAGGTATTCTGTTTTAGAATTCACAGCTACTTCCTGTATTTTTCTACTTTTCTTTTTTTTTCTTCAACTTTTTTTCCCACAAACTGACACATAACTGGCATATATTTTTTTAATATGAACAACATCGAGAAATATATTGGAACAATTCAAATAATATAATATATATATAATAATAATTCAGTAAGGCTGCTCCACTGATTATATTCTGATTTATGCCTGGTTTACTCTGGTTCTAGTCCCTGTCTAGTTCAAGTTTAGTCCCAGATCAGTCCCCCTGTGGTGTTTGTGCAAGTGTGAACACAGCCTACTGATGAAATAATGATTCATATGCTGACTCAATTCAAGCTATTTTAAGTCATTTTAAGTCAAGTCATTTGGTCCCCTACTTTTCCACAGATTTGCCTTTTTCTCAGAGGGGGTCAGCTTAATTGGATTGATGAGCAGAAAGTGCCTTATGCAATTCAAGGCAGTGACTGGGTTGGATTTGACAACAGGCAAAGCTTAGAAATCAAGGTAAGCACAGTCATTCACACATTTTTCTACTATTTACTAATAATGAAGGAGCAGGGAAATACATAGGGACCCTTCTCTAGTTTTTTGGCTGGGTCCTTTGCAGTCTATTGATTGAGGAAAGCCATCCAGACATAGGGAGAACATGCAAACTTTACACAAAACAATCCCTAATGGACTGCAAATTGAACCAAAGACCTCATTGTTTTAAGGATACTGTGGTAATTACTGCAGAATCACATTTCTAAAACTGGAAATATTTTTTGATAAAACAATACCTCATGTTTGACACAAGATGGCAACATAATATCCTCCATGCTTTACTGAAGGAAAATGTGTGTATATTTAAAGTGTGTTTGAGCCCACTTAAAGGTTGTATAGAGGATTTTCCAAGGAACGAGAAATCCAGCGACTGTTTGTCCTTTTTCAAATGTTGCGCATGCGTGAAACCACCCCCCCTCCCCTACAGCTCCTACGTAGAAACACCTCCTCCTGCCTCCTCCTTACGCCAGAAACAGGTTTGTTTACAGCCGGTGCGCTGCACATGACTTGTAAACAACTAACTACAGTGTTGGTTAGGCAAGGCGGAGAAGTGAGGAGCGGGGGGAGCGGGTGTGCGGACATTTCGTTCGCGGACGAGAAGTGAGGAGCAGGGAGAAGAGCGGAGCAGGGAGAGAGGAGAGAGGAGAGAGGAGAGGGGAGCGGTGCGCGGAGATTTCGTGCCCGGAGAAGTGAGGAGCAGGGGGAAGAGCGGATCGGGCAGCGGGGACAGGAGCAGGAAAGGGGTGCAGAGAAGGTTGCGCGGAGATTCAGTGCGAATGAACTAGCTACAACACGCAGCAGCAAGCGGACTCTTTCTTTGCCTTGAAAATTACGTTTTCAGACATAGGATATCGCTTTCGTGTCCTGAAAAACGTTTGTCTAGCTCTTGGAAATAAAGTACGTTTTCATAATAAGCAGAAGTTTCCTGTCCAGGAGTAATTTGGCGACCAGTGCGTCAGTCTTTAGACTCTGCGTCTGCTTCAGTTGCGCCATCGCTGGAATGAATCTTCAAGAATCACCTTAGTTTGGCTTTGCTGCTTTTCCCCTTGTCTTCTTCTTTCAGTGACCTCAAAAACGGACTTTCTTTTGCGGCTAACTGCTCCTGGATTCTTGTCGCCATTGCAACAAAACTTTGTGCGAACTGCGAGGAAGATATAGGTAAAAAAAAGCCGCTAAGAACTGTTGCGTTGGTGGAGTAAACAGCGTCTGTGCGTCTTGCGTCTGTGGACTGTGTGACAGGCGTACGTAAACCACGTACCGGCGGCGCGCAGGCAAGTCAGTTACGCTAGAAACGTAGGGACATTGATTGACAGCCTGTCAGCTAACAGATAACGAGGCAGTGTCGTTATCTATTGGCAAATGTTTAGCCCCACCACGTCCAGAGTTGATGAATTTTTATTCTCTTTTTTTTGGTCATCATAATTACAAGGCTACTGCACCTCTATAATGCTATTATTGACAATTTGAAACAAAAAAAAAAATCCTCCATACAACCTTTAATAATGATACTGTTCATAATCATGCTTTAGTCTTAGACTAGCAATTCACTATTCGTTCACTTACCACTGACCCACAGTGCTGCCCTAAAATTGATTAAGTAATTTACATGATAAAGATTATTAAGTTCACATTACATTTCAATTTCTGACACAGTACAAGGTCTAGTACTTAAAATGGTTAACAGTTATAGGTCATAGTAATAGCAGTACTATTTATACTTAATTACTTTGTATGATTTGAGCACTTTTATTTCTATATTAAATTTGTTTTGGATTATGACTCCTCTTGTACACTTGGCTTGTAGGTAGATTACTTGAAGAGGAACCATTTTGGAGGAGCGTTTATTTGGGCTTTAGACCTTGATGACTTCTCCGGACAATTCTGTAGTCAAGGGAACTATCCACTCATAAATCACGTGCGCTCTCTTCTGGGAACAGGTACATTACAATTACAATTATGGGCCTATTTTTATATTAGAATGACCCACAAGGAAATGCACAAGAGTCCATTAATTAACTTTCTTTAGGCTATAAAGGGCACATCAAAATTGTCATTTGTTGCCAACCAATTAAAAATCAATATTGAATAATGGTCATAAATCTGCAGAAATGAAGAAAAAAAATTGAGAGAAATCTTCCAAAGCAGTGCAAGGTCATATTGCATCATATTGTAATACATTTTATGTCAACGCTATCTTATATCTGAATGTGAGCAAAAAGACATTTTATGGATTGCAAAAATATTTGCATTATCAACGTAATTTGCAATGTTTCCCATAGGTTTGTACCACAGACTGTATAAAAGAAGTGGACTAAGAGATTATGACGTCACCCATAGCGTTCAGTGCCACTCAAATGACGCTCGCGATGCTATTGGTTACAGGATAATAGAATAGGATGTTTTTGATGGACAAAATAGCAGAAAAAAAAAAATCAGGATCATGTGTTGCAGGTTAATAGGAACATTTTAAGGCCAAAATGACAAGGCTCAGTGCAGTAGTTACAGAGAGACGGGCGACAAGATGCTAATGTAAGTCCTTTAGAGCCAGAGTCAGAAGGAGCCTGAAGAGCCTCCTGGAGCACTTCCTATTTGGCAGGCGGTGGCTATAGCGCACTAGTTATGTCCACTCATATATACAGTCTATGGTTTATACTGAGACTACATTGAATTTAATTAATACATTGTGGCGAGTGTAAATGAATGGGAACTTTAGTTTTAGGACCAAATTGGACATTGAAGTGGGTTGGACAACAATTCAACAAATCTGTTAATGAGAAACACTGGATTTTATTATTATTATTATTGTTGTTGTTGTTGTTGTTGTTGTTTTTTCTCCCACCTTAAGAATGGAAACTGTAATTGATTTTTGTCTTTACAGATAGACCCATTACAACTCCTGAGCCTACCTTTGTCCCTACTCACACTGCTACTCCCAACCCCACTGAAAACCCCACTTCCAACCCCACTGAAAACCCCACTTCCGTCCCCACTGAAAACCCCACTGAAAACCCCACTTCTGTCCCCACTGTCAACCCCACTCTCAACCCCACTACTGTTGCCATGACAACAACCACACCTGTGTCCGTGACTGATTTCTGCGCTGGAAAGGGAGATGGATTGTATGCAAACAATAAGAACAAAAATACTTTCTATCACTGTTCAAATGGGTTTACATACCTGAAGAATTGCCCTGCCAGTCTGGTTTTCAATGACAAGTGCAAGTGTTGTGATTGGCCTCATTAAATATTAAACATGTGTTTGATTTCTGTTGAAACCTTTCAGTTGATATCAATAGCATTCTCTGAGGGAGGGGGTGTGAAGCTAAATGGAGGTACTGCTCTGTCTGAAGTTCTGTTACTCAAATTAGACTTTAATCTGGGCTTTCTTTTAACACAATCTGACTTTAGAGAACTGATTTAACTGGAACTAACTGTGCTGTGACAAATTCTCAAGACACCAAGCTAGTTAACATTAGCCAACAATTAGTCACAATCAACTTTTTTGGTTGAAAATTAAATACATAAATACTCTCATATTGATCACATCACAGGTTCCAGAAAGTGTATTGTTTAAATTAATTTAGTATTTTTCCTTGGGTTTTTAGACAATCAAAAGACGTGTGTGCGCGCATCGTATTATCGTGGTAACTGCTGAACATTCTTCCATAGACATGCATGCTGCCCCCCTCAGCATGATGCTTATAGTCTGTGTAATGTCACTGCAAAGTATCAATAAATATGCATAGAACTGCAGATTACAGTGGGTAAAGTATGTTTTGTGGTCTGTTTTGAAGAAGCAAATAGTCTAATGTCCTGTTTACATTTGGCTTCTAGTTAATGGTTTGCAAAGTATGTTTACAAGTTAACATTTGTCTGCATGGAAATCACATACAGGGACAGGCACAATGAGGAAACTACTTATAATTACAGGTATGTGTGTAGGTCTATGTAATTTTATTTTACCATTATATTTTTGGTTTAATGTGGCTAAGACACAATCCTATATTTTACAGTTCTCTCTCTTGTTTGCACCAGTTTGGGTGAGTTTAAAGCTGCATGTCATCAGCTGCACGGCAATAAATAAATAAATATGCAATAAATGAAATGTTAAAATGGCTTGAATTCACAATATCTTTGGAGTATTCAGTCCAGTTTATTTGACGTGTTTCAAGATATTTCTAACTGGTTTCAATACATATTTACTTTGAGGTGCTATATGCTAAAAATGCTAAAAAACATAAATAAAAAAAATCCGAAAGGTACACTATGTGACTTTTACAAAAATACTCTGTAAATAATTAGATATATAATACAAATGTACCTAAATCTTTGCTGTTATTATAATTCCAAATCACTTTGAAGGTGCACTATTTAACTTTTTGGGTGGAGGATCTGCCACCTTATTAGTTTGCCCAAAATATTCCACAGTATGGCATTAAATCTAGCTGGCATTCACTCAGTTGCAGGTGTTTTTGTTGCTGATAAATACACTGAATAATATGCTTTTTTATTGTGAGTGCAGTTGCTTCTGCACAAATTTGACCTCTAATTTGGCTGGTTGTGAACAGTTGATAGTTAGGGTCAGTTAAATACAATCAATCAATGAATCTGTCCAGGGACTACAGGTGGAAATTAGCACTGATGGTACAACCTGGTACAATGCATCTCTCCTGCTAAGGTTAATGTAAAAATTGTGTGCTGTCCCTCTCTCAAATAAATAAATAAATAAAATCTCCATATTGATAGACTAGTTTAATGCCATACTGTAGAACATTACTGGCAAAACCACAATCAAGCAAAATTTGCAGACCATCTACCAGAAAAGTTGGATAGTGCCCTTTTAACTAATTTTCTGTGTAAACATGTTTTCCCTTCTCCAAGTCTCAGCCACTCGACTGGTGTGCTATTACACAAACTGGTCTCAGTACAGGCCTGAGACTGGCAGGTTTGTACCAACCAATGTAGATCCAAACTTATGTACCCACTTGATCTACGCATTCGCTGCCATCAACGAAGCAAATGAACTAGTCACAGTGGAGTGGAACGACATTGATATGTACAAGCTATTCAATGGACTAAAGCAGAGGTCAGTTTCACAATATCATATGAAAAACATAATAAACAAAATAATAAAGTTAATGTTTTTAAAGAAGTCAAAATCTTAAGACATTATTGGCAATTGGAGGTTGGAATTTCGGATCAACAAGGTAAGAAAAATCTTCTATAAGTCTTCTATAAAATGTTTTTAAATATTGATGAAATGGTGTCCAGATTCACTGCGATGGTTTCAACACAAGCCAACAGAAATACTTTCATCCAGTCTTCCATTAAGTTTCTGAGGGATAACGGTTTTGACGGCCTGGATTTGGACTGGGAATATCCTGGAGCAAGGGGGAGTCCTGCGGAAGACAAGCAGAGGTTCACTCTCCTGTGTAAGGTAAGGAGAGTGGGAATGCTGTATTCGTTAGTGGTCACTTTCATGTTGTATACTGTGATTGACATCATTTCAGATGGAGAGCAGGGGCTTGTACAGCCATAAGGGAGATTTACACCTTTTGAAAGAAATATTCAAACTAATAAATGATCCACAAACGTATCATTACTTATCCAGGATTGGCCCCACAAGTTGTCATATCAATATTGTGATTAAGTTAGTGAGTTAATGACTGAATTGGGACTACTCTCTAGAGCCACCTTGAACTTTGTGCTAGTTTTTGTTTGACATGGGCAGGTCCAATAATTAACTATAAACGCGATCTGACTCTTAAACAGCACATTCCACCATAGAATTTTGACTTGCCCCCCAGCTCAATAAATAAGGATTCTAGACATTTGTAAAGTCTAAACACAACCTATTATTATAAACACTGTTCTGTTTTATAATATCTGAGAACATAATCATAAGAAATAGAACTTAGAAGCACCAAAAAAGGCACATCTGATTTGTAACTGTAAGCTAATTTTGTACAGGAACTTCGTGGAGCTTATGAAGCGGAGGCAGTAGCCACCGGCCAATCCAGATTGCTGCTGTCTGCTGCTGTGTCTGCTGGAAAAGCCACTATTGATGCTGGTTATGAAATAGCTGAAATTGCAAAGTAAGTTGTTTTAAATATTTACAAAATATTACAAGAAGTGCTCTGAAACCTTCATTTTATAAATCTATATCTCCAAATCTACTGGACCTCATCCAGGACCAAACAAAGCTAACCAAATTCAGTAACATTGTGATGATTCTGTATTCATGGGTTTCAGATTCTTGTTTGTGGACTTTTCACCTTTCAAACCATAGAATATTTTGTTTGGAATTGTTAATTGCTATGGCAACAATGTACATGTTTCATCATCCTTCAGAAAGCCATGGATTAATGTTGTGTTTATATGTGATCAGATACCTGGACTTCATAAATGTGATGACGTATGATTTCCATGGCACCTGGGAGACGGTCACTGGACATAACAGCCCTTTGTACAAGAGCTCCCAAGACACAGGGGACAAGGTCTATTTAAATACAGTAAGTAACTAAAAGGCAATGCACTCAAACTGTTCAAAGCTTTGCACTCGGCACTACAGTGGGAATGGCTGCTTTAAATAATATCAATGTAAGGCGGTTTGCATGCATGACTTTTCCTCTCAAATGTCCTTGTATCTTTCAGAATAAAATCTATGACTTTACTCGCCTAAGATCTACTATTTCAGTGTTGTCATATTTCCAGGCATTTTGTTATTAAAATGTCTTTATTTGCAGGACTTTGCTATGACTTACTGGCGAGACCAAGGCACTCCAGTTGAGAAGTTGAATATGGGTTTTGCCACATATGGACGCTCCTTTCGTTTGGCCTCTCAGTCCAGCCAACTGGGAGCTCCAACCAATGGTCCTGGGAGTCCTGGCAAATACACCAGGGAGGCTGGGTTTTGGTCTTATTATGAGGTCATTTTGTATTTCCCTCTCTTTTTTTTCTTTCTTTCTTTTTTTTTTTCTTGAGATAATGGTGGAATGGCAGGGGTCACATTGTACTGTTATAACAATGTTTTACTTTCTCCTATACCCACATTGGTAGTTATACAAAGAAGGTCAAATTAGAGTGAAATATATTGTATAACATTACCTTTTTGAATACATGAATCCTATCTTGTTACAGATTTGTCCTTTTCTACAAGGAGCCACTGTTGAGATGATTCAGGACCAAAAAGTTCCCTATGCCACAAAAAAAAATGAGTGGGTTGGATATGATAATATAATCAGTTTTCAAACCAAAGTAGGTTTTTATTAAATTATTTGTCCAATACTGTTAATAGGTGGCAAAATATTCCATGCTATTTTCACTCTTCGTCTTTATCCAGGTTCAGTATTTGAAAGAGAAAGCCTTTGGTGGGGCCTTTGTTTGGTCTTTAGATTTGGATGATTTCTCCGGTCAGTTCTGCGGAGAGGGAAACTATGCCCTCACCAGCAACCTCCGCTCTCTCTTAATGTCAGGTAGGACAATTTCAACATATATATATATTTTTTAACACATTTTGCTTCATTGTGACTCTTTGAGCCCTTTTGCATTGCTATTTCATGTACTATAAATAAGTATAATATTTTATAAGGGAATTAAAGGTGCCGTACCCGATTTTTCATGCATATTTACTTGTACAATTAGATGTACTTTTTTGAATATTGGTGTTTAAATGTGATAATGTCATACTCAGGACAGGTGACATTGTTTTTCTATTAATTAAATGGTACTCTCATAAGAAATATCCAGAACACAAATTCACATAATTGGTGTGGATCATTTCTATTAATTATCACTAACTCATTGTATTACAAATATGCATTTTAACAATATAAATTTTATCTGTCCCATCTGTATTAAATAATTTAATTTAAATATTATTGGCCTTTAGTATGTTGTGACCTTTAGTATGTTGTGATGTCTTCCAGCAATAATACCAACAATACTAAACACAACACTTCTTTTTCCTCCCCCAGGAACAACAAACCTTGGCCCAACTCCACCTACACCAGGAAAAACCCTTACCTCTGCCAGACCTCCAGTCAGACTTACCTTCGCGCCGCCCACTGGGAGAGAGGACAATTTCTGTGCCAACAAAAACAATGGGCTGTACTCTAAACATGATGCCCCAGAATCTTTCTACAACTGTGCCCATGGAAGAACACATATCCAAAACTGTCCAGCTACTTTAATATTTAAGGACAGCTGCAAGTGCTGTGATTATAGACCGTTATAATCAGAAACATATTACGAAACACTTAATGAATTAAAGTATTAAAACAATGTACCAAATATGTCATGTTTTAAAAGTTAAAAAGTAAAAAAAAAAAAAAGACAGAGAGAATGTATGGGAAGTAATAGAGACAACTAAAGACAGAATTATAGTTCTGTGTTGACTCAACGCACACTGTCGCCCTAGCCTTGTGTCCGTCATTTTTGATTTATGAATCTGCGTCGAGGTCTATGTTCCATGAAGTAATTCACCACCACAACACTTGGAGGCTAGGATTTAAAAATGGCGTTTGTGTTTACAAAATTAAGCGGAAGTTCCGGAAATGTATTTGGAGCGGTGATAGAGAGGACCAATCACAGACCTTGCGTCTGCGTTGCTTTCCCTAGCAGTTTGTGTCATTTGTTAACATGTAGTTAGAACATTTTGGAGGTGCACGTCTGCAGAGAGGATTCACAACAACGTCGTGACACAGACACTTTGACGCACGGCTATCAATTGGGCTTAAGGGTACATTACACTAGTCCTGGTTTGAGCTGATGAAGACATGGTTTGGACCAGTTCAAGTCTTAGTCTAGTCAAGGTCCAGTTTCAGGTTTAGTCCTAGTTTAGTTTTGATATGGTGAAGATGCACTAACTGGTCATTTTGCCCTGTTTATCTTACAGCAGTAGCCTAATCATATATCTTGTTATGTATGCTTTTTAAATTGTCTTCTCCTCATTATTATCATTGTTATTTGTTATCATAATGTGTTTTACAAAACAATCCCACATGTCCTTCCACCCAACCACCGTACTCCCACAACTATAACAAATAACTAGAACCTACATTTTTTTAAAGCCTAAAATAAATGATTATAATACATACATATAACAACAACTCATGAAACAGTTTGTTGGGTAAAAGAAGTTCTAAAAGATAATGATAAACCTAAAATATTATTTTTGGGAAGACCAGAGAGCAGGACATTACTGTAGTCTTGACTAGTGAAAAAGCATGCATCGGTGTCTCTGTGTTGGCCTGAGAAAGAATGCGAAGCACTCTGACTATGTTCTTAGGTGATAAAAACATATTTTAGTGATGTTCTTAATGTGTGGGATAAAGTCAGCTCAGAGTCAAAAACAGTTTTTAACTTGTGGTGATGGATTAAAAGACATTGCTTGTAGTTTGGGTAACATTTCTCTCTCTGGGCCTCAGGGCCAATGACAAAAAAATTTCTCATCAGAGATCAAGGGCAAATGCTTTGTTTAATGTATTTCGCTAATAAAAATACCAACAGACTACACCAGAGGAGATGGTTCTGAAAAGTTGATTAGAAAAGTTATGCTTATTGTCCAGTATCCAGCTGATCCATAAACCCATGAACAGAAGCTTAGTCCATTCTTTAAAGGTGCATTGTGTATCTTTTCTGGTGGATTGTCCATCAAATGCTTTTCTTCATGTTATTGCTTTGTCAGAAATGTTTCACAGTATGGCATTTAACGTTTCTATCACCACATAGAACAAACCAGTCCAAGTTCCTGGACAGATCTCTGGAGAGGCGACCCCACTCAAAGTCAGAATGCTTGTTTAATGTCATACTGTGAAATGTGAACCATTCTAAGCAGAGCAATAACATATCCATAGAGTCAAACAGGTGACAGACTCCTAACTAAAAATTTACATGGTGCACCTTTGAAGCTTACTTCTCGGACATTTCAAGCTCAACTTCTGCTTACGATCCAAGACCGCTTTATGGAACCAAAACAGCAACAAAGGGCTTTACAGTTAACAACTTGCCTGGAACATCCCTCTACAAAATGATGACAACTTCATGGTGTTAAAAAAGTAATACAGCATTGTTTAAGAACCAAACCAACAATGACGTATATAAAAAAAACTAAGTGAGGTTTAAAGTAATTACAAGCATCTACATTACAAGTTCAGATGGCATCTTAAAGGCACTGGGTAACTGTATTATTACGCTATTGTACAGTCAGTCTAGTGTGATCTGACGTCCTTATGGTTTAATCATGTATTAATTAGTCAGGTTTGGCAACAAGCTGCACGCCTTTCATTTTCCAAAAGAATGTCTAATTACATGAGTTCTGGTCAGGCCCTTGACACACACCCTAAACTGGATTATAGCGGGTGTGGTGGCTTTATACTTCAATCATGCTGTATTGAATTCAAGCACCAAGGGAAGTTGACCACAGACAAGGAAAAAAATAAATAAACTTAAAAATACTTACTAAAAAGTGATACACAGCGTATGTTTAGATAGCCTTAAAGGTGTTTAGATTGACTTAAAGGTGAACTGTGAACTATGTAACTTTTCTTGTGCGTGTGTGTGTTAAAACTATATTGTGCACTTTTTAGTAATAAAATAAAATTGGTAATGTGTAGTGAAACAGGCACACCTAAATACAAAATAATGACTCCAGTCAAGCTATTAGGAACATTTTTCTACCCAATTAACCGTAAGGATTTTAGCCAAATCATTCATGCTGTTAACTAACTCATATTAACTTTACAAATAGAAAATGTAATTAACATTGGTCACAGTTCAACATTTTTTAATAAATAAAAAGGAGAAGAAGCACAATGAATAGGGATAAATATGAGTAAAATAAGTACGAAATGTAACTACCAAGAAGAGAACAACAGTCCTGCCCATACATACTACACAATACAACACAACCAATAAACTGATGATTTTCAGAGGCGTTAGTCATCGTCAGTCATTTGTTCCTTTCAAATCCTGTTCAATTAGTACTAGTATTAGTCATCACTTGCTTTGTGTCGTTTCCTTTAATGGATTATTGAGTCTAAGATTTTTTGTGACAAGATTGTGTCACTCACTGTTGCACTGTACCACCTAGGATAATTGCTCTGCCCCACCATTATTAAAAGAATCAATTACGTGTCCCTATGTCCCACACCTTAAACATTATAAAAAGGTAAACAGGTGAGGTTAGCCTCATTTTGTTAGTGGAGCTACAATCTGCGGTAAGTATATATGACCTCATTCATTTGATAGAAATTAAATGAGTTAAATGGCTAAATCTATGTATGTTGTTGCATTAGACTTTTGTATTGACTGAGGGCTTCTGTGAAACATAATTTTATTTTAAAATGCCCATATCACATGTTTTTCTGATCTATAGTTATAATGTTGTTTCCTCATCACAAATATACTTGGTGTTGGGTTTGGTTTCATTCACACATGTTTAATACACAAACCCTTTGTATTTAGGCTATAGAGTTCTCTCAAACTGAAAACACTATTTCATGTCATGTTATGATGTTATTTGGTTAAAGTGCTCCACTGTGTTCTTAAACTCCATACACCTTCACTACAATCATTTGGATGAGTTCACCCCTTGAAATTGCTGATCTCTACTGAACTAAAGGTAATAGGTGGCTGTTAACTTGAAAACTACCCCTACATGATATCATAATGTGGAACAGAGCATTTTGAGCACTGGGCATGTAAACAAACTAATAATAAAGGATTACCCAAACATGTGTGAACGAAAACACAATTCTACGTATATTTTTGAGGAGATAGCAACATTGTAAATTGGGTTAAAGCTCACAAGAGTGTAATATACAGTAGGTAATATATATTGTGTAATATAGGAAGTTTAATATATGCATACAAACTGTGTGAGGTAGTCATCAACAGATCCAGGCCATTGTACAGAAAATAGCTCATTAATGGATGACTGATTAGCTAATTCAAAATAAAAAAAAGTAATTAAGGACTAACAGGAGAGAATGCATTCTTTTCTGTCCTTTTTTATAAGACTGAATGACAATTGCTGGGTTAGATTTTGTTGTTGGTTGTGAGCGCATTTTGCTTTGTTATATTTTTATATATATATATATATATATATATATATATATATATATATATATAATATATATATATTTATTTATATTTGTAAAGTAGAGGCTGATTTCATAGTTAATTTATCATTATGACAGTACACATTGTGGTATTAACAGTTTATGTCTGAATAAACTTCTAATAAAGGGCTTTCTTCTCAATTTTCCTAGAATTTTAAATATAGCTCTAGAATTTAACTGGTCAGTTTCGAGAATCGGATCAAGAATCGGTGGAACAGTTTTTCAAGTATTAATTTGAATGTACTAAAGTGTGACTAAACAATTAATTAGAAGAATTAATAATAAATGTTTTTCTGCTTTTTTGTCCACACAGCACAATGCACGGAATACTTCTTACCACAGGTACGCAGTCATACTGGCAATTATTCTTCTTTCTGTGTAAATATTTTGGGGTAACAGTGCCATAGTGAGAACAGGGAGTTGATGGTTCAAGTCTGGACTAAGTGCATACTATCCTTGTGTCTCTGGACAAAACACATGACCATCGTGTGTGAGTGAGGAGTGAATCAAATGCAAGAAATTTGGGTGTCCTAACACATACAGATGCTATATAGGTCAAATGCATTGTTTTATTATAAAATACAGTAATCAATCCTATGCTTTACAAGCTCTGGAATTCACTTTCAAATTTAATCTCTTTAAGGTCTGTGCCTGTTTATGGCTACCATGGGTAAGATTGTTTGGTCAGTCATCATTATTGTACATTATCATGTTTTAGATTTTAACATTATTATTTTCTCAGCCTCCTCCAACAATAGGCTGGTGTGTTACTACGACAGAAAGAGTTCTCTCAGACCCTCCATTGGCCGGTTCACCCCAGCTAACTTTGACCCGAAACTTTGCACTCACATCATTATGTCTCATGCGATCATTAACCAACACAAACTTGAACCTGCTGCAACCTCGGATACCGCCCTCTATGTAGAAGTGAACAATCTTAAAACCGGGTTAGTGCACAAACAAACTTCTCAGATTTATCAACATATCTAGTTTAAATCTGACATTGTTCTTTGTTTTTACAGAAATTCAAACCTTAAAACTCTGCTGGCTGTAGGTGGCCCAGGCTACAGCAGTCAAACGTAAGGATCTTACAGCTCTGGGTTATTGTTAAAATTGTTATATTTAACATGAAAAAGATCATAAAAACAACTAAAAATATCCATGTTCTACCTTTACTTAACAGGTTTTCTTCCATGGTGGCATCAGCCAACTCCAGGCAAACATTTATCAATTCAGCCAAGACACTTCTTAAAGACTATGGGTTTGATGGGATCAATGTGGATTGGCGTTATCCTGGAAGTGCAGATTCCCAGCCACAGGACAAGAACAGATTTATAAGTCTTTGTCAGGTTAGACAATGCTTTTCTATAAAGCAGTGTAATTCATTACACCATTTATTGATTGGATGTTTTTCCAACTTATCTTTTCTGAATGGTTTAGGAACTCAAAACTGCTTTTGCTAGCGATTCTTTGATCGTCTCTGCCAGTGTGTCTGCAGTAAAAACAATGATTGACAGCAGTTATCCCGACCCTGTTTCTTTAGCCAAGTAGGAGCATCACTTTATATTTTAAAACATTTATTAGGATATCTTTTTACTTCAAACAATCTACTATCTCTTTTTAAATTTTATTTATTTATTTATTTTTTATAGTTCACTGGATTTCATCAATGTTTTGACGTTCGAACTCCACAGTCCAACAGAAACGGTCACAGCACATCACAGTCCTTTGGGTGCATTATCCACAAATCTTACTGACACTCTGACCACGGCAAGTACAATGTTAAAGATGATGTGTAACCTTTATCATTATTCATTCATTTATTGATTTATTTGTAATGCACTTACAGGCATATGCCATGAACTACTGGAGGTCTAAAGGGGTGCCAGCAGATAAACTAAACATGGGATTCGCTGCTTTTGGAGTTGCCTTTAGGCTGGCTAATCCCAACAACAATGGAGTGGGTGCAGCTACCAGCACTAATGCTCCAGAAGAGGGGTGCTATGGCAGTGTACCGGGCATTTGGTCGTATTATGAAGTAAGTTTACTTTTTTTTGTTCTCAATGAAAATATGAAGTAATGTAATAGACAATTGGAATAAGAGCAGACTTAATACACTTTTACAAGGGACTGAGAAAGATGATTATTTTGCTCCCTAAATCAACAACATGAAAAGAAAAGCCTACAGTTAAAGTGATAGTATGTAACCTTCTGGAGGTGAAATGTCAACTTCCATGGACATAGAAGGTTAAAATCATACTTCTCCATTCTCCATGAAGATAGAGACTTTTTGTGTCACAAACAACATCTCCATGGAAACAACTGAGTGAAGGCCCTCCTTCAGACCAAATAAGAGTCTAATTTGTGGAGATGTAAGTCTGCTGCAATAAAAACAACCATAATGAAAAGTATATTTTTGGGTAAAAAATTTTGTACTCTGGTTTTAATGTTTCGCATTTGGGTATTGAAAATGACTCTAAGCTGCCATCTCTCTGACGCAAAGATATCCCATCAGTATTATTTCTTATGTAAATTGTTTAAGAGTAAGTTGAAATAATTAGGTTAATTGTGTGAGGTAAAAAAAAAATAAAAATAAAAAATGTTCTCATTTTTCTTTTCAGAATTGCATCTACAGGCAGGGTGGTACTGAGCATTGGATTCAGGAGCAGAGCGTTCCTTATGCAGTCACTCAAGGGCATTGGGTTGGATATGACAACACTTCTAGTATTGATGCTAAGGTATGTTTCTATTATAATGTTGTGAATGCAGTGTATGTTTACTAATATTGTCTACATCACTGGCACTTGTAATCTCTTTTCAGACTTCACACATCATCACTAACGGCTATGGGGGAGCAGTTGTGTGGTCTGTGGACCTGGATGACTACACGGGACAGTTCTGCGGGGAAGGCACTTTCCCTTTCATAAAATACCTGCAAAGCAAACTGCCTGGTAAATAGTTACTGCAGTTAACTAATCTAGATTGCATTCACAATAAACTTGGCAGTGCATAGAGGACTAAAGGGGAGACTTAGGGTGGAGGAGGGGTGAGTAAGACAGGATGAAGGGTCTGGAGGACTGAAAAAGAGAGTGAGGAGATGACTAAGGAGGACTGAGGGGGAGAGTGAGAGGAAGGAGGGGCTTCAAATTCTGAACCTCCAGGTGCGTGTCTCCCATGGTATCCCATGATATGATGTCATAGGCCTATTAAAAAACATGACAAAGTTTGCCCATAGCTGGCAGCACTCACTCGATTTTTGAATATTTTATACCACAAATCTGTAATTAATAACCTTGTTTGTACTAAAATGGAAAAATGGAAAAGGTACAGTAAAGCATTTTTATTGCCCGCCAGCCAGAAAGTAACACTGGTGTTAGCATGTTAGTTGAGCAAAACTCTGCTCTAACCTCGTAAAGTTGTGAAACAACCTTAAAAAGTCATCACAGTGAATAATTTGGATGCTTGGAATGCACTAGAAAAGTTAGACAAAACCACGTAATATACTGTTTGTTTTGAATGTAATATAAAAATGTAAATGTAAAATGAATATAACATAAACCTCATCAAAAACATGCCTAAAACACTTTTAAATGTTATCCATGGATGTTTGAGTAATCTAGCAATCTCTCCCAGTCACTATTCAAACCCCCCTTAAAGTTAATTAGTTACAATTCTGTCCAAACAAACAGCAAACTACAGCTTCACATAAATGCATGCTGTAATAGAGCTCTGAAAGAGGAGTGGCAAAAATGAATGAAATTTATTACTTGTTTAATACATTATTTTTGGAGAATATAGTCTTTTCAAAATAATAAAAGCTAACATGGTGATCGAAATATGTTATGTAGTAGCAGTTGATACCTCATAGAAGTGTAATAACCCCTCTTTAACGTACACATTTTTCTTCTAGCTACCACTACCACCACCACTACTACTGCCCCCACCACCACCACTACCACCACCACCTCCTCCAATGGTGGTGGTGGAGGAGGAAATGTCTGCAATGGAAAAACCGGGCACCACCCCAACCCAGAGGACAATACCACCTATTATAACTGTGATCACGGCACTGGCACTCTACAAAAATGTCCTGCAGGTTTGATTTTTTGTGACTCATGCAAATGCTGTAACCATCCATTCGCCTGTTGAAAATGTACTGGTGATATTTAAACAACAACTGGATGTCCTGTAAGACTTAAATGGGTTGTGATTGTTCTCAAGGTTTTTAATGTATTGATTATAAGTTATAATATCATAATTTCAACTTCTATATCCAATCACAAAATGTTTTCAAATTATATCAGTGCAATATATATTTTACTAAGTTGAAAATTTAATAAAATTACACTAAATCACAATGTTGTGTCCTACGTTATTAGACAAAAAAATATATATAACACCGACTATTTAAAATTTATTAGAATACTAATAATGCAAGGAGGTAGTGAAGTAAGTGAAATATTTTGAAGGCAGCTCATATCAGATAATCAACACCAACAAAAATATAAAAACAAAAGGTGTCAAACCTGAGGATTCCAGAATAAATATAATAAATAATAAACGAGAAAATTCATAGTTTTGCTGAGGGAGGTACCATGTCTACAAAGGTTTGAGATAAGTAGTCGCCCCTTCCTGTGTAACTACACCAAGTAACTAAGGGCTTTGCTATTGGATAAACATCATCACAAGATTGCCATTGGAAAAGGGGTGAATGCAGCTCTTCTCTTCAAGATACTGCAGGTGCCAAGGCTGTCAACATAATGCAGAGGGGTAAGACAACCAGCTCAGTAATTTGTGTTAAACTAACACTATCAACACCTACTTAACATATGTGTGCAGAACTAGATCTCAGTCCATTTTAAATGGGCCAGATGAAAACTAGCTATCCACTCTGTAACCCAAACAAGTTCACCATGGTCTTCAGATGTGTTCTTCAAGGGGCTCCTCCTGCAGAAGAGATAGGCCTGTCACCATAAATACTACATCAACTTACCATTCAATAACTGATAGGTAATTATATTATTTTGGGCTCAATATATGTTATGTGCACCTTTAATTTTACCAATGGAAACTGTTTTCAGTTTTTTCTTTTTTTGCCTTAAAGCTACCATTTGCACATTTCGCCAGTAGATGGTAGATGAAAACCTTTTGTGAAAGCTGTCTCCCTCCTCGCCTTTGTTCGGGCTCACCTGTGCTCTCTGTCTGTTCTTCTTTTAGACTAAGGCAGATGATAGCTTTAAAGGTTCACTGTGTAAGTGTTGTTTTGGAGGGTCTGCCATCTTGACTCTTTGGAGATGTTCTTTGCCTGAAATGTTCCACAGCATGACATTAATTTTAAATTACTCATGAATCATAAATCTATCAGTGGCACAGTGACCTGTACCTGCTGTCTTTAGGTAAATTAAATGTAATTGTAAATGTAAATGTAAAGTAATAGTAAAAAGTATCTATTTTTAAATCTACTGAAGTAAAGTACAGATACCAAATTTTTCACTTAAGTATAGTACTTTATTACTTTTACTTCCTACCTTCCACCACTGTATATTTGTCAAATCAGTCAGAGATTTCAAATCAGATGATATGAATGGAGTCCACAGGTGGCTGAAATAGTTTTGGTCAATGTCAAACTTGTTTTTCACATTCAGTGGCATTTTAATCTTTCAGATAAACTGCAGCAATTAAATGATGTAAGAGCAATTATATTTTTTCCCACACTATTTAAATAGATTCTGTTGACTGGAACTCTTCAGTTGGTGTTTGAACAGCAAGTGCATCTGTGCTTCTCTTTCAATAGGTAATGCAATTATTATTATTTTTTTTATTTATATATTTATTTAGTCATTCATTCATCCATTCATTCAATCAAATATGTATAAGCTCTGTGTTTGTGTTATAATAAAATCTTTGCTTACAGAAAAATGTCCAGACTACTTCTCATAGCAGGTAATTTCTCAACTTCTCTGTAACTTTTTTGTCATATTAATGTAACAAACTGACTCTGAAAGCTCTTTTCTTCAGGTGTGTGGTTGGCTCTTGCAACCATCAGTGAGTCTTTTTATTATCAACCCAAGCATAATATACGGTAGTTTATCCAATTATAGATTCTAACCTCACTCTTCTATCTTTTGTAGCCTCTTGCAGACTGGTGTGTTACTATGACGGAGAAGCAGCCAGCCGAGACTCCACTGGAAGATTCACCCCAGCTAATATTGATCCAGAACTGTGCACCCACCTCATTTATGCTTTTGCGGTCATTGACAATCAGAATAAGCTTGTGCCTATTAATAACAACATTAGTCTTTATAAAGATCTGAACAACCTTAAAACGAAGTCAGTGCTCAACAAATGCCTCCATAATTTCAGACAATAAATATTTATGTTTGTTACCTCATGCTCTTATATCTTCACAGGAATTCACAGCTGAAAACTATGCTTGCTGTAGGCGGCCCCAATTTTGATAATCAAAAGTGAGTTTTATTTATTTACTATTTAGTGTAAAAAAAAAAGTGGTTCTGACCATATAAAATGTTTCAAATAACTTTTTCCATTTAAATTTTGTTTGTTTATTTGACGCTGATTATTGAACTTCAGTTGTCAGTCCAAATGTTTCAGCTCTAGTTCGATTTGTGAAATGGCAGATCAAGAAGTTTAATTCCAGCTCTGGCTACTGCATTGCAGATCAGTCATTTATAAGGAAGTGTGGTCAATACAAAAGTCTTTCATGGCTATTTTCTTATCTAAAAGGTTTTCTACAATGGTGGCAGCAGCGAATACCAGAAGTTCATTTATTACTTCAGCCATTGCACTAATTAAAGACAATGGGTTTGATGGCCTCAATCTGGACTGGCAGTATCCTGGAGATGGCCAGCCACAGGACAAGACTCGATTCACAAGTCTCTGTCAGGTTCAAACATTTTCCATTCCTTACATTTAACTTTTGTCACAGTTTACAAAACCAAATTTTCTGGATCCTTTTTAGGAGCTCAGAACTGCATTTCAGGCAGAGAATCCACCCTTGCTTCTCTCCGCCAGTGTGTCTGCAGTAAAGGCAATGATTGATAAGAGTTATGAAGTCGCAAAGATAGCCTCGTAAGATACCTCCTAGCATTTTCTTATTTTTATAGGAATAATGTTTTAAACCTCAAATATATTTTTCACAGTGAAGTGGATTTCCTAAATGTTTTGACCTTTGGATTCCATGACACATCAGAAACGAAGACAGCACATCACAGTCCTTTGGGAGCCTTAACTGCTGGGGATATTCTGACTACGGCAAGTACAGTTTAGTGTATATTGTTTTGTACATTGGACATTTCTCATATTAATTACTTTTTAATGCATTTATAGGAATATGCAATGGCATACTGGAAAAATCTTGGGGCGCCAAAAAATAAACTAAACATGGCATTTGCTGCTTATGGAGTTGCCTTTACTCTCACTGATCCCAGTAATAGTGGAGTTGGTGCCCCTGCCAGTGGTCCTGCAGAGCCAGGCTGCTATGGGGGAACGGCTGGGATTTGGTCATATTACGAGGTAAAATAATCACACATTAAGAGATTAAGGTTTTCCATTAAGTTGTAACTAAATTATTATTGTCCTTTTTAGATTTGCCTCTACATTAAAGGGGGAGACTTGCGTTGGATTCCGGAGCAGAGCGTTCCTTATACAGTCACAGAAGGGCAGTGGGTTGGATATGACAACACTACCAGTATTGATGCTAAGGTACAGTTATCAGTTTGTGAATGCAGTTTATCATGATTCATTAAAGGTGCAGTATGCAACTTTTCTTTTTCATCATAACATTCTATAGGCCAATATTATTTAATATTAATATTGTTAGATAAGTAAATGCATTAGTACTATTCACCTCTGCGCATGAACACAACCTATCGTCTTCTCATATTTTCAGGTGAAACATATTGTGGATAATGGTTATGGGGGAGCGTGTGTGTGGGCTCTGGACCTGGATGACTACACCGGACAGTTTTGTCAGATCGGCAGTAACCCCTTCATAAGCCACCTGAAAAGCAAACTACCAGGTAAATTGCATTTAGCATATCCCTAGTATTTAGGTCGCATTCACAATCGAGATTTTTCTTTTTGGTATTGAATAGTCTATTTATAACGCAAAAGTCATCTCACAACAGAAAAATCTGATATTTTTTATTAAAGAAATGTTACCACAAAGGTACATTTTGCCTAAAATATTCAGCACCATATTCGAGTCTAGGGTGTCAGCCAACCATCAACATCTTACTATTCATGGGTTACACCTTCCTTTATGCAACATTTACAACGCACAATGGTTACACGCCTGACCAAAAAATGACCTTTAACCAAACAAACCTGTACACATTAAACTGCCTTGTATGGATGCAGCAACATGAACTGTAGATATATAAATAGTGTATGGATGTGGTGACTACTTATTGACTGACTGAATGAATGGTTGTAATAATATACTTTGTATTTTATTGGCATGTACACCATTTCTAATGTCAACCTGTCCAGGGACTGAAGTGGAAATTTACAATTTTGCTATAACCTGGCACATATTACCTCTTTGTGTAGGTCAAAGTTTTGGGCTTTTTCCATTCAAATTATATAATATTTTGCAATTGTACATTTTTTTTAAGATTCTTAAACCGAATGATAGGGACTTGTTGATAAACTGGGCAGTGCCTAGCAGACTAATGGCCCCTGATGTACTTAGCATGTTAGCTGTTGTTAACTCTCCTCTAACTTCTTAAAGTTGTGAAATGCCTTTAAAAATTCATCACAGTGAATAATTTGGATGCTCTGAATGCGCTAGGAAAGTGAGAAATAAGTTTAGACAGGCTGAAAACCTTTGAAAATGAACTAGTTCTGTTTTTTACATTAATAAAAATCAGGTACAACACCTTTAACATAAATGTTTTTTTTTCTAGATACCAACACCAACACCAACGCACCATACACTGTTTAAATGTAATATTTAGAAGGACAAGAGCAGTGTAATTCTAGGCTTTCATTTATACTATGCACCAAGAATGCTGTTTTTGTTCTCTAAATGCAACAATAAAAAGAAAAGCTTTCAGTGAATGTTTGAAAAACAAGCAATTTAACATTCAAGTAAAATCTGAAAAAAAAATCTAAGCTGTCATCTCTGTTGTAGAAACAGATGATTCAAATGACCATTAAAATCAGATGCTCTGTCCAATTCTCAGCCCACATGCCTATGTCACACATGCTCACGCACAACAAGTTTTCATATACATACCAAAGCATGATACAAAACAATACACTAGAACAGACATGTCAATCTCAGGCCCAGGGGCCAAATTTGGGCCACGATATAATTGCATTTGACTTGCGAGATCATTATCAAATATGTATTAGGGCTGGCCTGCTGGCTACAGATAGGTTATAGAGACATTATTTATTTAAAATTTTATTATTATTTTATATTCAGCTTGTTCTGGATTCAATGTTTAAGCAAAACTATTATTAAACATTTATTTTAAAAAGAAAAGGTTTGACATTATATATCTCAAAAGAAGAGAATACATACAGATGTTGTTGAAATGTTTCAATAAATATTTAGTTTGGCCCATGACTTTTAAAGTTTTTAATTTTGAGCCTCTGTGAATTGGAGTTTGACACCCCTGTACTAGAGCTTTACAAACCTGATACGATGTGCAGCAGTTTCATTAGTAAAATACAAGCTGATTGTGTTGTGATAGCGCTCTGAAGAGGCAGTGTTTTTCACGAATATAGTCTTTTCAATACAATAAAAGCTAACATGGTTGAAATATACACCTCATAGAAGTGTAATAACCCCTCTTTAATGTATACATTTTTCTTCTAGCTACCACTACCACCACCACCACTGGAGGAGATGTCTGCAATGGAAAAACCGGGCTCCACCCCAACCCAGAGAACAATACCACCTTTTATAACTGTGATCACGGCACTGGAACTCTACAATCTTGTAATGCAGATTTGATTTTTTGTGACTCATGCAAATGCTGTAACCGTCCATCCGCCTGTTGAAAATGTACTGGTGATATTTAAACAACAACTGGATGTCCTGTAAGACTTAAATGGGTTGTGATTGTTCTCAAGGTTTTTAATGTATTGATTATAAGTTATAATATCATAATTTCAACTTCTATATCCAATCACAAAATGTTTTCAAATTATATCAGTGCAATATATATTTTACTAAGTTGAAATTTTAATAAAATTACACTAAATCACAATGTTGTGTCCTACGCTATTAGACCACAAAAAATATAACACCGACTATTTAAAGCTTATGAGAATATTAATGATGTAAGGAGGTAGTGAAGTAAGTGAAATATTATCACCAACAAAAATATAAAAAGAAAAGGTGTCAAACCTGAGGATTCCAGAATAAATATCATAAATAATAAACAAGTAAATTCACAGTTTTGCTGAGGAAGGTACCATGTCTACAAAGGTTTGAGATAAGTAGTCGTCCCTTCCTGTGTAACTACAACAGGTAACTAAGGCTTTGCTATTGGATAAACATCATTACAAGATTGCCATTGGAAAAGGGGTGAATGCAGCTCTTCTCTTCAAGATAATTCAGGGAAGACAGTTGCCATTTATTTTTTTAGAAGTCTAATCAGTACTGTAATTAGACAACAATGACCTCCTACCTGCTGTCCCTGTCTAATCAGTAAGTAAAAAAAAAAAGAAAAAAAAAAAAGCTAAGTATAGGCTTTGTTAATTATGTTTTCGTGAAATGTATTGTCTAACCTGTCATATGCACATTTTTTCCTCTTAGAATTCTGACCTGCCCTCCAGCTTTTAAACAATAGGCATTTAAAAATAAGTGTTACATGAATGCAGCCTATCATTATTTTACCAGGAAATTAGAGACAACATGTGTTCTGTAAGATTAGATGCATGCTTTCTGTCTTCACAGTGAATGTTTTTTCTACTACATCAAATAAATGTATACAGAATGATTAATTGTTGTTTGTTCTATTCTATTTCTTTTCTTTATCATATTACAAAAAGGAGACACTTATTACTTAGCTTATAATTACTATTTGTTTAAGACGGGTGCTATGACGTGGAACCTTTATAAAAAAATGTAACAAAAACACCAGTTATCCCTCCTTTGTGCCACTCCTATGTATACAACAACAATTTGTGTATAAATTCAACCCAGTTTGACCTATAGCTCACATTGTCATTGGAGCTGCTACCTTCTTGTGTGAGTATTTGGATATTATTAATATTTTTCACTCATTTCAATCTGTATCTTTGTATAATAGCATAGAGCATATCTGATAATTGTATAACTGACTCTTACCCTAACCCTTCAACACAATAGAGAACATACTGTGTCCATAACAGAATAAAGCTTGTGTTTAATCCCCACAAATGAAGACTATAGGGAATAATACAACAGAGGACTGTGATGGATAGTAAACAGAATAAATAAAAGAGTTTTTCTAGACACTCAAAGACTAAATAGATGGGTGAACTGAACTACTCATTAAAAGCATTAATTTGTTCAAAAATATTCTGAAGATCATTTTAACTCCCTTCAGCTGCCTTAATTTTGATTTTACCGTTTAATGTAGTTGTATACAGTCTTACATTTGCTCAACAGGTTAGAAGCTATTTAAAGCTTTGTCAAAAGGATTGTCAAACTTGTTTTTCAAACTCTTACCAGCAGACTTAAGTATGTATTAAAAGAACTAGTAATTAACATACCGTAATTATGAGTAAGGCCGATTCGCAGTTTTCCATTTACGTCACTGTGTATTCTTGTAAAGGTTAAAGTGCATATCTCGTTGAAATTTCCCTACAGCACAGTTAATTGTTATTATATTTAAGAGCTCACAAAAATCTTATCTTATGATGTATTTTTTTCTAAACTGCAAAATATTTATTATTATTAAATTAATAATTGACAACAGCTTTTTTTTGTTACATGAAGGTTTACTCTGCTAAAAATGCCTTCCTCCTGTAAAACGTGACTGTGTTTTGGATAGAAATTTTAGTGTTGATGAAATAGGTAGAGGAATTCAATTTTAAAACTCACGCTACTTCCTTAACTGCCACTTGACTCATGTTACACTCTGGTAAATATTTACTACAATTACTACCTTATCAAACAAATGAATAATTAGAAGAACATGAAAATCTGTCATATGCACTTTAAGGTTCACTGTGTAACTTTTTTTGCTGGAGAATTTGCCAAGGGAAATGATTTTATTAATTCAACTTTTTTATGTACATTAGTCTACAATTCATCAATAATGGATTATTCAGGTCACAATATAATTGTGGAGCTTTTAATGTTGCTTCTTATATCACAATAACTTTACTTTTACAGAAGTTTAATTTCATAATGCTATATAGTAGGGGAATGGTAATGTATTAGAATGAAAGAAAATTAGAGATTTCACTTTTCTTTTGCTGTGTGTAAATAATCTCAAATATTTGTTAAATCATTATGGTTCTTCTCACAATAAATGTAAAACTAAAATTCAATATTGTGTGTAGTCTACAAACACCAGCAACAATTTATTCATTTCATCTTTCTATCCACACAGCAACATGCACGGAATACTTCTGACCACAGGTAACCAAGCTTATCTGCATCCTCCTGTCATTTTTAGATCTCGTCCTTTATTTTTAACTCTTTTTTGTTTGTTTGTTTTTATCTCAAGGCCTCTTTGTGGCATTTGTCACTATGGGTATGGCATTTATTTTTACATTTTTATATCAGATGAAGTATCATTTTGAGTATAGAATCTTGTCAAGTGAAGGCTATGGTGTCCCTGACCTGAGTCAATGTAAAATAACTGAATGGAGAAAATGTGTCTTATATCTTACATCTCAAAAAAATACAGCAAAAACTTCAAGAAAATCTTATTTCTAATGACGTTTTAATCTTATTTCTCTTGTGTTCCTCCCAGCCTGCTCCGAAAGGCTGGTTTGTTACTACGACAGAAAGGCGGCCGCCAGATCCTTCCTTGGCAAGTTCACTCCAGCCAACATTAATCCATTTCTGTGCACCCACATCATCTATAGTTATGCAGCCATTGATGACAAAAACAACAAGAACAGACTGATACCAGTAGATCCGGCAGATCTGATTCTGTACAACGACCTGATTAAACTTAAATCGGTGTAAGTGCACAAAACTACTTCACAATCAACTTTCACATAATAAATCTTCTTCTTCTTATTATTATTATTATTATTTTAATTCTCATCTTTTTTATTTTTACAGTAATCCAAATTTGAAAACTTTACTAGCTGTAGGTGACCCATCAGGCAATGACGATCAGGCGTAAGATGTTCTGTAATAATATTTTGTAAATGTATTTATTTTTATAGTTGTAGTAGTATTACAATACATTGTTGATCAGTACAATAGTATTGTTGATCAGTTCTTCTGCCATTATTTCATATTTTAACTTTGCATTTTACGAAAGACTTTTTTTTTCCTCTTCTAGTTTCTCTGTAATGGTGGCCTCACCAAATACCAGAAGGAATTTTATCGATTCAGTCATCCTTTTATTTCGGGAATACAGTTTTGATGGGCTAAATCTGGACTGGCGCTATCCCGATGTCAATGCAAACAGTAAAAAATTCACAACTCTCTGTCAGGTTAGAAAATGCTTGAATAATGGTGAATCTCTCCCTTGGTTACAGTAAAGATATCATTTTTGTCCAGTTTCAAAAAGTCAGAACATGTTACCTGGTTTTGTTTGTTTGTTGTTTGGGGTTTGTTTAATACAAAGTGAGACTGAACTGTACATGACTGATGCATCTGAACTCACATTTGCTTGGTTTCTATTTAGGAGCTCAGAACAGCTTTCTCCAGCGAATCACTGCTCCTCACTGCCAGTGTATCCGCTACGCAGACAAGTGGTTATGAAGTCTCAAAGATTGCTCCGTAAGACCTAAATAATACTAACAAAATTAGTTCAAATGCAAGTAATAGTAAGAATATTTTCTTTTACTCTTTTACAGTGAACTGGATTTCATCAATGTTTTAACATACAACTTTCACAGTCCAACAGAAACCGGCCACAGCACATCACAGTCCTTTAGGTCCATTTATCACAAAACCTAGTGATACTCTGACCACGGCAAGTACAATGTTAATTAATTAGTTAATAATTAAAAATAATCTGTATATCGCTTTGAATGTACATGGGACATTAATCCTATTAATACAATTTTAATGCACTTATAGCAATTTGCAATGAACATGTGGAAGACTCAAGGTGGGGCAGCGCTGCCAGCAAATAAACTAAACATGGGAATCGCTGCTTTTGGAATTGCCTTTAGACTGGTTGATCCCAACACTGATATAGTTGGTGCACCTACCAGCACTGTTCCTCCAGAAGAAGGGTGCTACACTGCTCAACAAGGCTTTTGGTCATATTATGAGGTAAAGCAACTGGATAGGTCATTTATTATATCTCTTGATTGTTGTCTGTTGATGCTTGTGAAAATATTCTTTTCATTGTTCTTTTCAGACTTGTCTCTACAGGCAGGGTGTTGCTGAGAAGTGGATTCCGAGTCAGAGTGTTCCTTATGCGGTCACACAAGGGCAATGGGTTGGGTATGACAACACTGACAGTCTTGATGCAAAGGTACAGTTCCTTTTTATTGCAGATGTTAAGTACTTTGCATTTTTTAAATTGCACTATGTAACCTTTCTAGAGAAGAGTATGCCACCTGCTTGTCTCTATAGATTGCTTTGCCAGGAATGTTCCACCGTATGAATGTTCCATTTACGTATCAGTCTTATCAAGAAGGTATTTTTAAGCAATTAAATCAGACACAAAGCATTGACATTTCTATGAAGAGGAGTAGGTGGTGTACCCTCACACAGAAAAGTTACATAGTGCACCTTTAACATTCTTAGACTTAGAAAAATGTATTTGATACACAAGGGAAATTACTTGGACACAGTAGGGAACACATCACAATAAACATAATAACAAAGAAAAAATATGAATGGCAATAATAAATTAGTAGCAAAAATAGTAAGAGACTGGTAACAAATAAGGGATAATTATATAAACATGTATATGTAAGTAAATAGAAATATAGTAATATATTCACAATTATTTTAAAAAGTGCTTCATTTCTATTTTCAGGTGGCACATATTAAGTCTAATGGCTATGGGGGAGTATGTGTGTGGGCTGTGGACCTGGATGACTACACTGGACAGTTTTGCCGGAATGGAACTAACCCCTTCATAACATACCTGAAAAGCATTCTGTAGCCACACATAGCAGCTGCTCATATACCTTTACTTATTTACCTATATGTCAGTTAATCACTACAGTCTTAAATAATATTTAATATTATTTTCAAATCTTGGTTGAAGTGGCCTCTGCCCCTAATCTGGAACATAATCACATTCTAGAATCAGGAAAACAAAACAATTTATTTAACACCAAACAAATTATTTTTAAGTACAATATCAGAAAACATGGGTGCTGTACCAAAAAGTTAGATTTTATTATTGCCCAAACCTTCTCTAATCTGGTATCATAATGCAACAGTATTTGGTAGAAACTAACATGTCTATAAGATATCCACAAAGAAAAAAATAAAAATCAATGACAATGACAAACATCTCCTCTGTAAAAACAACTGACCTGAAGGTGATTTTTATTTTTATATTTTTTTTCAATCTAGTTGGATAAAGTTAAATAAAAGTAATAATCAAGTGTCATTACTATGCACATCTGAGGTTTGTGGACACAATAGCTAACAAACTTTGCTTGGGTGCAACAGTTGTAGATTTTCTGTATAATGATGCGTCTTCTGATGTATTCAATATGTGTTTGTCTGGAATCTTGATTTATTTAGGATTATTACCATTTATTATTAGTATTAATTTGAATGAGCATCAGTCACAAAAGTATATAATTATTTTGATTCTAATTAAGTGCTCTATATATTACATTATATTCTGTTAATTATTGTTCTATAGTATTTATTAAAATTTTGTGAATCACAAAACATACAAAAATCCTCATGATTGTGTTGTGGTGTATTTTTAGAGTCTACCCTAGTCTTATATCTTATGATTACAGTAAGTGGTTTAATGTGTAAGTGGAAGTTCCTTAATATCCATTTTTGGATAAATGTGAAGTAAAAGAGTCAGGGTTATTTCTAAAGCAGCAATGTTTAAAGAAGACCTATTGTGTTTGTGTTTGCTGTATAGTTATAATCTGTGTCAGCCATGGATCATTTGGACATTTTAAATTGCATATTCATCTAAAATGTCTTAATGAAAGAAACAAGTCTGCTGACTTCTGCGTTAGAAAACTATGGTGCCCAATGGAAGCTGAAGCCATCCCAACAAAGCACCCTGAAATTGTTGGCATCTCCAATGGATAGTTGCACATCATGCTAGAGAGCCATCAGTTTTTGCTGCTGAATCCTACTCTTGCCACAGATTGAGGAAATAAAATTGAAGAAGGAAGTTAGATCAGTGGGTGTATTCTGCATGTTGTAGAAGTTTTCAGCTTGTCCAAGAAAGGGTGGAAATAAAAGGGTGGAGGTAAAAGGCTGGAGGCCAACTGGTTGGACCTCTCTGGGGACTTGTTCTGGCCATGTGCGTGGAGGAACTGGAGGGACTATGTCTCTTAGCTGGCCTGGGCTTCAGGGTCCCCCCAAAGGAGCTAAAGGAAGTAACAGGGGAAATAACAGATTTAAAGAAGAAGTGATGTAATGTAAGGAAGAGGATGATATTGGGTGGCTTAGAGTCCTCAGTATGGCATGAAGAATAATGGAAATTAAAGTTAAAATTAAAGTTGGTTTTATTTTTTTTCATTCAAATTCAAAATTGTGACACCCCTGAACCCAAATAAAATGTATAAAACAAAATGATTTTATTTAGTTGTTACCTGGAACAACAGTCACAGATGGATACAGGTCCAGAACTGTTTTTGAGTTGATATCCCAAAGATGTTTCATTGTAGGGGTTGACAGGCAATAGATCAAATCCTTTAACAATATCCATCTTCACACGAGGGTCTCCAATGGTGGTCTCCACAAACTCCAAGACCTAGATGACATTCTGTGTGTTGATACTGAGCCATTTTTAATAATTTAAAAACATTTACAAAAAGAGCCAGTGATAATGACAAACACAAACTTTGAATTGGGTTCATTTAAATGTCCGTACCCATTTTTGTATTTGAGCTATATTTGTCTAGCTCCAATACAGATATATTGTATGAGGAGCTTGTGTGCTCTGTGTCTCTGCACCCAATAATAAAATGTTTAACTGTCCAAGAAACAGGAATTGCACTGTTAGCATGCTAGTTATAGACAGCTAAATTTTGCACAGGCTCCTTACAGTTGTAAATAGCCCTTTTAAACTCATTGTGCTGAATAATTTGGATGCTCTGAATGCATAAGGTTTTGTTTTTCATGTTTTTAAGAGCGTAAACATCAGCTATAGCATGAGTGTTGCACATGTTACTCAAAACAGACCTGAACCATACAGAATAGTTATTTTTTGTAGCATTTGATATAATTAAGTTCTCAATATTTCTTTCAACCATTTTAATATTACCTTGTATATCATCCACCATCAATATACACAATGTGTTGTACCTCTTTTAGTGACTGTGCCGAGTGGATTCTTAAATTCACAAATGCTTCTGCGTATGAAGGAATCACATTATCCTGCACAAAAAACATAATTAAGACTTAATTCGCTAAAATATTGTTTCCTCTCCATGAATTTAATCTTTATACCTTCACTCCTCCATTAAACATTGTGATAGCTGTAGTGGTCCTCACAAATGCATTGGTTGTCTCATTCATTTCCATGACCCTGAAAAAGAAAGCATATTACTTAATAAACAAAATATTAACCATCTTATATATTTTATCTAATGTGTTTAGTATTTACCTGCCAATCAATGGTGAAAACAGCCACAGATTTGAGAGTTGGAGATTTGAGAGGTCCCGCACAATTGTACTAAGTGATATTTCTGCACTTTTGTGGTTAATTTTAACTTTTTTGTGAGATATTAACTGAACTTTAACCAACACATTTACAAGCACATTTGACCACATTCCTGACGCATCAGTAAAATATATTCTGAATATTTTCATCAAGATGCAAAAGGGCAAAAAATAAAGTAATAAAAAATGAAGATATACATTTTTGTCAATATCTCCCAGCCATATACTCAACTTATTTGCTTGGAAATGAGCAGATTTTGTATCCCTAAGTTGCAAAATGTGTTTTATTGATCACAAATTGAAATGCAGAAGAAAGTACGGGTGCATCGTAACTCGTTGGAGAGGAGCTGATCGAAAAGTTGTTCTAAAACTGTATATGCCCAAACATTCATACATTTGGATAGTATCTATCTGTTAAAAAGTTACCCCAGTTTTAATGCAGAAGTGTTGTTGAATAAGAAGCCAGTCATAAGAGAGAATAAATAATTAACTTACTGACCTGTGCAAACTGATCCCTCCTAAAAGGCTAACAATTTACTGAGGTGCCCAAAGAATAAGAATAACAACATTTAATAAACCTCTTAGATCTACTTAAGAAATGCAAGTTCCAAACAAATGATTGAAACTGATTTACCTTTTAACCGCTGCTGTCAATATGCCAATGATGGTTTCTTGGGGAGGCATTATAGACGGTATATATAAATGCACATAGCTAACAAGCTAGTCGCTGCCTTCATTTGAGTGGAGCCAAACATTATGGTGGGTGGTTTATGGGAGGTATTGACACACTGAGCTTTAATACTGCTGACCCTTTTTCAGTTGTGGTAATTCTGTAAATTTAGACATACGTGTTCCAAGCTATCATTAATGAAGTGACTGAGTGTAAAATGTACACAACAGCAGGTCCATCAAGACTGCCCGAGCCCTCATCCAGGACAAACAAAATCTTAACCTGTAAAGGATTAAATAACTCAATTAGCTCAGTCTTTTTACAATGTTCTCTATGTCTATATTAATTGAGATGGAGGCAGGTAAAATGTAAAAAGAGCTCAACATAGCCAGCCCACTGTTCCAGAAGTAAATTTCCCACTCATATTTCTCATAGACTGAAAACAATCTATATATTAAAAGTCTAAAAGCTTCCTCAGGGTTAATCAGCATAAGACATATAATTTTATTCAAAATCTGTTTCTGAAACTTTATAAACTGATAAATTATTAAAACATTTTTCAAAATATTGCTTTTTAAATGTGCTTTTGGACAACTGTGTTTCTTTCAAACATAAAACACTCTATCTTGTGATGTCATGTGGCATTTACAGGACGTGCTCCACACAACTCCATACACCTTCACTAGAATGATTTGCATAATTTCAGATCTGGAATTATCAACCTCAAAAGAACAAAAGGTATAGAGCTCCTGCATTTGTCATCACGCAGTCCCAGCATGCACCTCCAAACCCCATACGGGCAGTGGTCGCAGCTGAGAACTTCCATAGAAAATAATGGTGTGGGCCATGTGTGATCTGCAGTGAACAAAATTTATAGGAGATTGTGGATTACTGTTGCGCACTGAAATGCACCGAGGACTTTATTATGTCCTCAAAGCTGTTATACGGTGTAATAGCATTGTAATTGTTTGTTTATTATGTCCATGTTATGTCAGGAGGGGGTGTGATGTTTTATGAATGGTTTGGTGCATTGTAAACAGAGAATTAGACTTATGTTTTAGAGGAAGCAGGGCTTACATCTTCGGTCCTGTGTGTTAAAGAGTTCAGTGTGAGCTGTGGCTGTGACAACAGCTTGTATTAAACTAGCAGCTCATCAATAAAGCATAATTCAAAGAGTTCAAGGCGTTTGGTTCTTACTTTTGAGTACTTCTAGTCATTACAATATTTTTTCAATTTCACATCATTTAAACTGTCAGTATCAGTCAACAATATAAGTCTATTTTTCACAAACATCTCCAAGAACCTTTTTTGATGATGAAAGAAGGTCAAAAGTAAACCAGATGTCCAGATATAGCAGAATTAAGGCAAAATGTATGCGACCTATTCTTTTTTCACACCCGTGCCAGGTAAGTGTCACTCATGTTTAATCTGATTAGTTTTAAGATACACCATTGTCTACGATTTCCAATAATGACAAATAAACCCCCCAAAAAACCCAAAAGAGAGTCAGTGCTAGGGTATTGCTAACTTAGTTGGCGTAGTGGTCACTCACTGAAACTTCAGCAAAGAAAAATCCCCCCTGCCCAGAAAGGTTTCCATAGAGCGCATCACAGACTGCTCATGTTCGGTTGACAGGGCACCTACAGTTTTCAAAAAGGTTGGATTTTTGTGGCAATTTTTACCTCTTTTCAGATCATAAACTTTTTCTCAGCTCAAAATCCCTCAGTTGTCTTAAAAACAGCTTTTTAATCATTAAACAGCTTTCACTCTGATCGTGAGCCTGCATGAGAGAAGAGCACTACTGCACATATTCAATGGGCAGAGAGCCATCAGAAGTACCTAGCTGGGCTAGGCTAATCTAGTCAATTCGGCCTATTGACTTGAATGGGCGGCCCAGCCTCTTTTTGTCTCTAAATGATCGTAATCCTTTTGTTTTTGTTTTTTTTGTGGTGGCACTTCCGATTTCTGATTAAACGAGGATCCCATTCATATCGGTAGAGAATTTAGGAAAGGTATTGTATCTTAAATATTAAATATTTTATAACATAAAGTCAGTTCATTTTTGTAAAATGTTAAATTTTTTGTGCTCCAACAAGTCAGCAGTGCACCTGTTCTCTGGGGGCTTTAAAACGGTTTTATAGTTTAAATTGAACTTATTTGCTGTCAAGATCGGCAGCCCCATACAAAAAAATACAACATAAATTGATGATAGCAGCACCCACAGCAATTTCCGGAATAAGGTGGATAAATCCATGGACCATGGCTCATTTTTCTTACCTCACTTCCTCCTCCTTGATGCCTCTCCTTTATTCTGCAGGAAATGGATGAGGAAGTCTCACCCAAAGAGGAGACACAGTGAGGAGAGAGGATATAAACTCTGAGAGACCAATAAAGTTTGATAATTTTCTCTGATGTCTGCCTCCTGAAACCTCCCTCATGTTTACTCCTTCCTTCTGGGGTTTTCTTTGGGACCCCACTTAATGTGACACATTTGACTGACAGCTGAAAAATGCAGGATCGAGGAGAGGAATCAAGGAAAAGGAAGCTAGGAAAGAGAATTGAGACGTGACCCCTGTCTTGCCGCAGCTTGTTTAATTCTGAAGCTGCGCCTGTGCTGTTTCCCTCTAGTCCCCACAATAGTGTTAACATCACCATCTAGTGGTCTGGATGTCTATTGCACCCAAAATAAAAAGTTTGACACAATACAAAACAATAGAAGGGTTGTCTGTTTCCGTCTACAGTACCAGGTAGTCGACATAGGTTTGAGATAAGTAGGTATGTGTGCAATCACTATGCTGTAATTAGACAACAATTACCTTCTATCTGCTGTCCATATCTAATCAAGAAGTACAATGATTATTACAAGTTGCTTCAGGCGTATGCTATGACATAGTGCCTTTACAGAAAATATTTTAAAAAAGTATCAGCCAATCAAGCAATTATCCCCCCTGTGTGCCACTCCTACTCACAGAAGAATTTGTGTATAAATTCAACCCAGTTTGACCTACAACTCAGTTTTCACCTGAGCTGCTACCTTCTTGTGTGAGTATTATTATTTTTCACTAATTTATGTGTCTGTGTATAATAGCATAGAGCATATCTGATAATTGTATAACTGATATTAACTCTTACCCTAACCCTTCAACACAATAGAGAACATACTGTGTCCATAACAGAATAAAGCTTGTGTTTAATCCCCACAAACGAAGACTATAGGGAATAATACAGCAGAGAACTATGATGGATAGCAAACAGAATAAATAATAATAGTACACTGTATTTATAAAGAGGCTTTCAAGACACTCAAAGACACTAAATAGATGGGTGAGCTGAGCAGAGTACCAAAAGTGTTAACTTGTTCAAAAATATTCTGAAAATGGTTTTAACTGCATTCAGCCTCCTTAACTTTATTTTCACTTTAGTTTTAATCTAGTTGTATACAGTGTTACATTTGTATATCAGATCAGATGTTGTTTGTCAAGCATTGTCAAACTTGTTTTTCAAACTCTTACAAGCAGAATAAATTATGTATTAGAGAACTAGTAATTAACATACATGTTGATGACACAGGTAGAAGTATTCAGTTTTAAAACTCACCATTACGTTAACTTTTTTCCACAAACTTCCACTTGATTGATGTTACACTATGGTAAATATTTAGTATGTTCTACCAAACAAATTAATACTACTAAAACCTGGCATATACACTTTATTTCTTAAAGGATCACTTTATAGCCTTTTCTGGTGGAGAGTCTGCCAAAGGAAATGATTGTTTTTATTTATTCAACTTAAAAAAAAAAAAGTCTACAATTAATCGATAATGGATTAATTCAGGTCACAGTGTAATCGTAAAAAAACTAAAGTATAACAATAGTGACCATTTTAGAAGCAAAATTAAGTTATTTCAGTTCAATCTCAACTCCAAAAACATAAGCCTAAATGCATACAGTAGAGTTTTATGTGGCTGCTTATATCACAGTAACTTTACTTTTATATTAAGAAAGTTTTATTTCATAATGGTATATAGTATTAGATAGTAGTAGATTTCACTTTTGCTGTGCTGTCTGTAAATAATCTCAAATATTTGTTAAACCATGATATTTCTTCTCACAATAAATGCAATTTCATTTCATTTCATCTTTCTATCCACACAGCAACATGCACAGAATACTTCTGACCACAGGTAACCAAGCTTATTGTTAACTGCATTCTCATTTCTAGATCGCGCACTGTATTCTAATGAATGTTTTTAACTTTTTTTTTTTTTTTTATCTCAAGGCCTCTTTGTGGCTCTTGTCACTATGGGTATGGCATTTATTTTTACATGTTTATATCAGATGAAGTATCATTTTGAGTATAGAATGTTGTCAAGTGAAGGCTGTGGTGTCCCTGGCCTGATCCTATAGTCAAAGTAAAATAACTGGATAGAGAAAATTAAAATTTTCCATATTCCATCTGAGAAAAATTACTGAAAAAATATAGACTAATAATACAGCTAAATTATTAAAAAACCTTATTTCCAAAGTTTTAATCTCATTTCTCTTGTGTTCCTCCCAGCCTGCTCCAAAAGGCTGGTTTGTTTCTACGACAGAAATGCGGCTAACAGACCCTCCATCGGCAATTTCACTCCAGCCAACATTAATCCACTTCTGTGCACCCACATCATCTGTAGTTATGCAGTCATTGACGACAACAACAGCAACAAGAACAAACTGATACCAGTTGATCAGGAAGACTTCAAGCTGTACAAACAACTAAATGACCTTAAAAAGTCGTAAGTGCACAAAATTGCTCCACAATCAACTTTCACAAAATCAATGAATACATAAATTTTTAAACCTCCTTTTGTTCAGTAATTCAGAGCTGAAAACCTTACTTTCAGTAGGTGACCCAAAGGGCACTGACACGCAAACGTAAGACTTATATGCACAATAAAATTTTACAAATGTATTTATGTTGTTGTATATTGTTACTAATCGGCTAATCACCTCTTCTAGTTTCACTACAATGGTGGCCTCAAAAGCAACCAGACAGGAATTTATCACTTCAGCCATTGAAGTAGTTCAAGAACATGGTTTTGATGGGATCAATCTGGACTGGAACTATCCTTCAGGGCAAGCAGAACGGACAAAATTCACAGAGCTCTGTAAGGTTAGAAAATGCTTTAACATAATGGTGAAAAGTAAAGATACAGGTAAAGATAAGATGTATGTTTTTCCTAACTTAAGATAAGATAAGATCAACCTTTATTTGTGTTACAGCGTTGATATGCAAAGTAAGATAAATAAGTAAAAATTAAGCGAAGTAAGACCTAACAATAGACATGAAATCTAACACAGAACAACATTTGTACAATAAGTGGCAATGACTACGTTTATGTACAACCCTTCAGAGTCTGCCTAATAGACCACTGGGTACAAAATTCCTCATTTACATAATCCAAGTACTTTCCTGTAGACATATTTCCCTTTTCCTTTTTATACTGTGAAACCATATTTATAAATGGCTTTTTCATTCTCAGCTAAGTGACTGTATGAATGTTTGTTAGAGTAAACATCTGTCAATTAAAAGGTAGACATAAAAAGTGGGGGGTCACTATCCAGATCTGACCTGTAACTTGGCCTGCTTGTCTCCATGGAGATAGTAAAGTTCATTGTCATATTGTAGAACATTCCAGGCAAATCAATAACATGGGGACAATCATGTGATTAATCCTCTACCAGAAAAGTTACATAGTGCACTTTTAAGAATTAATACAAAGTGAGACTGAACTGCACATGACTATTACATTTGAACTCACATTTGCTTGGTTTCTATTTAGGAGCTCAGAACAGCTTTCACCATCCAATCACTGCTCCTCACTGCCAGTGTATCTGGGATGAAGACAATAATAGATGATGGTTATGAAGTCTCACTGATTGCTCCGTAAGACTTAAATAATACTAACAAAATATTTTAAATGCAACTGGTAAGAATATTTTTGTAAAGCCTCAACTCTTTTACTCTTTTACAGTGAACTGGATTTCATCAATGTTTTGACATACAACTTCCACAGTTCAACAGAATCGGCCACAGCACATCACAGTCCTTTGTCCTCAAATCCTAGTGATACTCTGACCACGGCAAGTACAAAGTAAAAGACAGTATATGATTTTGGATGTACATGGCATAATACTCATATTTTTACAAATTTTAATGGTCTTACAGGAATTTGCAATGACCTACTGGGAGACTCAAGGTGGGGCAGCACTGCCTAGAGATAAACTAAACATAGGAATCGCTGCTTTTGGAATTGCCTTTAAACTGGCTGATCCCAGAGATAATGGAGTTGGTGCAACTACCAGCACAGTTCTCCAGAAGAAGGGTGCTACACTGCTCAACCAGGCTTTTGGTCATATTATGAGGTAAAGCAACTGGATAGGTCATTTATTATTGATTGATTGTTGTCTATTGATACTTGTGAAAATATTCTTTTCATTGTTCTTTTCAGACTTGTCTCTACAGGCAGGGTGTTGCTGAGCAGTGGATTCAGAGTCAGAGTGTTCCTTATGCGGTCACAGAAGGGCAATGGGTTGGATATGACAACACTGACAGTCTTGATGCAAAGGTACAGTTCCTTATTATTGCAGATATTATAAATTACTTTGCATGTTTAAATTTGAACCTCATAACTTTTCTAGAGAAGAGTATGCCACCTGCAGGCCACAGTACTATTTTCTACCCTCTATAGTATTTTTGAGCAATTAAATCAGACACAAAGCATTGACATTTCTATGGAGATGAGTAGGTGGTGTACCCTCATCCAGAAAAGTTACATAGTGCACCTTTAACATTCACAAAGATTGCTTTTAAAAGTGCCTCATTTCTATTTTCAGGTGGCACATATGAAGTCTAAGGGCTATGGGGGAGTATTTGTGTGGTCTGTGGACCTGGATGACTACACTGGACAGTTTTGCGAGAACGGAACTAACCCCTTCATAAGTTACCTGAAAAGCATTCTGTAGCCACACATAGCAGCTGCTCTTATATTCTTACTTATTTACCTATATGTCAGTTAATCACTACAGTCTAAAGATAATATTAACCTTCAAATCAAATCTTTGTTGTTGTGTGATTCACTACCACAAGTGTCATTACTGCACATCTGAGGTTTGGACACATGAACCAACAAACAACAAAACAAAAATAGTGATTATTCAGGTCATAATATAATAAGTATTATATAACCAATCCTAACCATTTTAGGAGCAAATTTAAGTTATTTCAACTTCGACTGCAAACCTAAATGTATTGCACTTTGAATTTGTATGCGTCATTGGTGCACAAAATAATTCTAAGTGCTTTATAGAATAAGCAATACATTAAAATGAGAACAAATTAAAACATAAATAATCATCATAATATTAACATTAAAAAAGGAGAGTGCAGTGCATTTCGGTCAAATGTACAACTAAACATAAGAGATTTGAGCCTGGATTTAAACATGGTAAAAGTAGGCCTGTCATACTCATTTCTGATTTCACTCAAAAAATCAAAGATTTCACTTTTTTACATGTCAGCAATTGTGAACAATTTTTTAAATTATATAGATCTTCTCACAAAAACTATAGTATTAAAATTTGATAATTGTGACATTCCTAACCTCCTCATATAATATTAGCCCTTGAAATCCGTCTGAACTTATCCTAGTCCATTCCTTTGGCCTTAAATTCATTATAAATGCAAGATTATATTATTTTACTATTAATCTTAATGAACATCAATCATTAAAGCATATAATTATTATTCAATTTAAATTTTCTATATATTAACAGTTATTATCAGAACAATAATTTATTTATTAAAACATGTAATTAATAAAGTCACAAAACATACAAAAATCCTCATGAATGTGTTGTGTATTTTTAGAGTCTACCCTAGTCTTATATCTTATGTTTACAGTAAGTGATTTAAGATAAATGAAGCAACAGAATTTTTATTTTTTGCTAAAATATTAACCACTGAACAAACTATAGCTCATGAACAGAGCTGTGTGGGTCTGGAAGTTTCTTAATATCACAGTTTTGGATAAATGTGAAGTAAATCGTACAAGGCTCTCGAAGTTTTCTTTGGATATCCTTTCATTGATGCCATGGATTCTAAAACAAAGAGTAGAGTGAGTGTTATTTCTCAAGAAGACCTATTGTGTTTGCTATATAGTTATAATCTGTGTCAGCCATGGATCATTTGGACATTTTAAATAGCATATTCATCTAAAATGTCTTAATGAAAGAAACAAGTCTGCGGACTTCTGCGTTACAACACTATAATGCCTAATGGAAGCTGACATTGCAATAAATGCCATTACAAAAAAGCACCCTGACGTTGTTGGCATCTCCAACAGATAGTTGCACATCACGCTAGCAAGCCATTGATTTTTGCTGCCGTATCCTACCTTTGCCACAGATTAAGGAAATAAAATTGGAAAAGAAGTTAGAACAGCGAGCGTATATTAGTGGCAGTGAAAACAGGAGTTGATCAACAAAATGGTGTCTTGAAAATAAGCAATTAAAGCTCAAACATATACGAATGACTCCAAATACAATTTTGGGCAAGTAAATGATGAAAGGAAACAACTATAACATGGTTAAAAGCTCTAAAGTTGATTTTGCATAATAGGTCTGTTTTAAAGTAATAAAATGTACGGTAACTTTTTTATGTCCAAGTCTTACCTTCGCACATCACCAGGTTTAAACCAGACAGGGGTAAAGCGATATATGCCACTGCTCAGGTCTGTATAGTGTCGACTGTCAGTATTTCCAATGCATAGCCCTGTACAGTGAAAACAAGAAAAAAATATCAAACCAAAATAGGAATAGAAGCAAGGCAAAAACAGATTTAAAGAATCTCCATGGATGTTCCTAAGTAGGGGATTTAGTCAATTACATATGGTTTTATTGCTCAATACCTCTCAACGGAATCTAACCTGTGACTTAGCCTGGTAATTTATTAAGTAACCATTTGTCATCATTGAGTTAGACAAGTTAAAGCATTAATGTGGAACATTCCACGCAAAACAATAACATCTCCATGGAGACAAACAGGTAATTTAATCTCTTCACCAGAAAAGTTACCAAGTGCACATTTACATGAAAATACACCACATGAAGAATAATGGAAATTTAACAAAGATTTTATTTTTTTCATTCAAATTCAAAATTGTGACACCTCTGAACCCAAACAAAATGTAGATAAAAAAAAAATTAATTTAGTTGTTACCTGGAACAACAGTCACAGATGGATACAGGTCCAGAACTGTTTTCTTAATGAGTTGATATCCAAAAGATGTTTCATCGTAGGGGCTGATAGGCAATGGATCAAATCCATTAACAATATCCATCTTCACACGAGGGTCTCCAATGGTGGTCTCCACAAACTCCAAGACCTAGATGACATTCTGTGTGTTGATCTTAAGCCATTTTTAATACTTTAAAAACATTTACAACAAGACACGGTGTTAATGACAAAACACAAACTTTAAATTGGGTTCATTTAAAGGTGTGCTATGTAACTTTTTGATTGAAGGTCCGTCACCTGCTTGTTTCTATGGATATGTCTTTGTTCTGACTGAGATGTTCCACAGCATGACATCAAACAGCTAGGGTTGCCTCTCCACAGATTCAACCTGTAACTTGGTCTGATTTGTTCTCCATGAAGATGTAGATAGGTTTAATACCATACTGTGAAAGATTCCAGACAAAGTAATAACATGAAGAAAAGCATTTGATGGACCCTCCACCAGAAAATTTACACAATGTCTGTACTCAGTTTTGTATTTGAGCTATATTTGTATTTGCAAAATTTTGCTCAGGGCCCTTTGGATGCTCTGAATGCATAAGTTTTATTTTTTGTAGCATTTGGTATAATTAGCTAATCTCAATATTTCTTTCTTTCCTAATGCCTCCATTGAACCAGGACCTGCAGCATGCACTGGGGCGGATTGTAGCAGAGTGTGAAGTGGCTAGGATGAAGATCAGCTCCTGGGGGGGGGGGGGGGGGCAAAACAATTCGACAGGTGACATGCGAAACAATTGTGGTGAAGAGAGATCTGAGCCAAAAGGCAAACCGATTTACCAGTCAATCTATGTTTCTCCCCTCATCTATGGTCATGAGCTTTGGGTAATGACCGAAAGGACAAGACAAACAAGTGACCAAAATGAGTTTCCTCCACATGTGGTGGCATGTGCCACCAGAAGGAAGCCCCTGGGAAGACCCAGGACACGCTGGAAGAACTATGTGTCTCGGCTGACCTGGGATCGCCTCAGGGTCCCCCTGGAACTCTGGGAGCCCCTGCTTAGACTGCTGTCCTCATGATCCAGCCCCAGTTAAGTGGAAGGAAATGGTTGGATGAAACCATTTTAATATTACCTTGTATATCACCCACCATCAATATACACAATGTGTTGTACCTCTCTTAGCGAATGTGCCGAGTGGATTCTTAAATTTACAAATGCTTCTGCGTATGAAGGAATCACATTATCCTGAATAAGAAACATAATTAAGTCTTAATTTGCTAAAATGTTGTTTCCTTTCCATGAATTTTATCTTTATACCTTCACTCCTCCATTAAACATTGTGATAGCTGTAGTGGTCCTCACAAATGCATTGGTTGTCTCATTCATTTCCATGACCCTGAAAAGGAAAACATATTACTTAATAAACAAAATATTAACCATCTTATATATTTTATCTAATGTGTTTAGCATTTACCTGGCAATCAGTGGTGAAAACAGCCACAGATTTGACATAATCAAATTCAAAGGGAACCTGAACTAAATATTACATAATTAGTGGTGAAATGAAGGTGAAACTGCTGTAATTCAAACACAATTGTTAATAGTTTTTACCTTATGGGCAAGATGTTCTAACATTCCACGCTCAGGCCCCTGACCAAACAGACGCTTCATTGGGTTGTCCTCCAATCTTTGTAAAGAGAAATCATTTTAAAAAGATGCAAAACTCAACTAGAGGTCCCACACAGATGTATTAAGTGATATTTCTGCACTTTTTTGTTTAATGTGAGATAATTGTGAGATAATAATTGAACCTTAACCAAGACATTTACAAGCACATTTTACCACATCCCTGATGCACTGGTAAAATATATTCTGAATATTTTGATCAAGACGCAAAAGAGCAAAAACAAACGTAAAAAAATGAAGATATACTTTTTCGTTAATATTGCCCAGCCATATACAATACTACATACATATAGCACAACCTATTTGCTTGGAAATGAGCAGATATTGTTTCCCTAAATTGTAGAACTTGTTTTATTGATCGTAAATTGAAATGCTGAAGAAACTCTGGTTGCTAAAAACTAAGAGTTGTTGTTGAATAAACCAGTCTTTAGGCAGTCATAAGAGAAAATAAATTATTAACTTACTGCCCTGTGCAAATTGACTGCTCCTAAAAGGCTAACAATTTACTGAGGTGCCCAATGAATAAGAATAACAACATGTAGTAAACCTCTTGGGTCTACTTAAGAAACGTGAGATCTAAACAAATAACTGACAATGATTTACCTTTTAACTGCTGCTGCCAATATGCCAATGGTGGTTTCTCGGGGAGGCATTGATGAATGGCTTGGGGGCATCGACACACTGAGCTTTAATTTTGCTGCCCCTTTTTCAGTTGTGGCAATTCTGTAAATTTAGACATAAGTGTTCCATGGTATTAAAGCTATTATTAATTAAATAATTAAATGAGTATAAAATTTACACAGCAGCAGGTCCATCAAGACCCTGAAGGATTCCATCAAATATGAGCGAGCCCTCATCCAGGACAAACAAAAGCTTAACCCCACGCTCTTTCAACACTCTGACTATGTTCTCTGCCCCGTTTCCACCACCAACCTGTAAAGGACAAAATAACTCAATTAGCTCAGTCTTTTTACAATATTCTATATGTCTATAATAATTGAGATGGAGGCAGGTAAAATGTAAATGTTACGGAAGTAAATTTCCCACTCATATTTCTTATAGACTAGAAAAAATATATATTACAAGTTTCAAAGCTTGCTCAGAGTTAATAAGCTACATCGTAACTAATCAGCACAATACATATAATTTTATTCAAAATCTTTTTCTTTATAAACTTTATGAACCAATAAATTATTAAAACATTTAGCAGAAGATTGCTTTTTAAATGTGCTTTTTGGACTTCAAACAATCACGTTATCCAATTGTTAGCACATAGCTTCCACAATGCCTTTGAGTTTAAGGGAAAAATGAATGGAAAATGTACTTCCGAAACCGGAGCGGACTTATGGGTGAGACTGTTACGCTCCATTATTAATTAATGTGCAGAAATTCGGGGTGGCATAGTGAAAATATGGATTAAAGGTGCACTGCATAACATTAGCAATAATAACAAGTACAAGATAGTTCAGTTTAATGCCACACTGTGAAACATCCCAGTAATTAATCAACACAGATAATTTGCACCATCATTACCTTCTAGAAACAAACTACTTGGAGTTATATTATTCACTACCTCTTCATCATGTCCTAGACCTATGTAAAATCCTCTCTGTGGGGTATAGCCTTTCATCAGTAAGTACTCCAATGCTTGCAGAATTGCCTGAAAGAAAAATTGAGAATTTAGTTTCACATATACATTTGACAAATAAAGGGTGCTTAGAGCGCTCATTCACATTACACAGTACACAATGTCCTGTATTCATGGGTACTTCACCCACCTTGCTTGTGTATAAAAGCAGTTGGTGTAAATGAATGGTGGTGACTGTAGGGCCAATGATGCAGACTGGCAGCCTTGCTTCCATCAGTCTATCTCAGGACAGCTATGGCTACAGAGGCATAGCCCATTATTACCAAGTGTAAAATGAATAATGACTAGAGTGTAGCACGATGAGAGGCTTAAAGGTCCTATATTCTACAAAGTGACTTCTGAAACATGTTATAATGTAGTTAGCTCATCAAGAACACATCCAGAGTTTTGTTATTTTCATTCACACGTTTGTGTAATCCTGCATTAGGCTGTTTACATCTCCAAGGCTTAAAATGCTCTGAATCATCTTATGATGTCAGAGCATATCATATGTCATAATTCAGAGTTTAAGTTAATGGCTACGTTTTACCTTCTGGTCAATTTCAAGGCTGAATTTATCTAAATGGTAATAGTTAAAGTGTATATGGAGGATTTGTGTGTTAAAAATGTGTGAATGAAACAAACACAACTCACAAAATAGACATGCCTGTAAAGTGCAAAACAAATTAGTATTAATATTATCATTATTATTTGCTCACTAATCTTATCTCACCATGAGTTTGCCCTTGTCATCTAAGGTTCCCCTGCCATATATGAAACCATCCTTTTCCTCTGCAGAAAATGGTGGGAGGTCCCAAGCATCTGACTCTGAGGCTGGGACAACGTCAATATGTGCCAGCAGCATGTAGGGCTCCAGCTCAGGGAGTGACCCTTGAACCCAAAACAGGTGACTGAAGTCTGCCACCAGTTCATGTGTGACTTGGCTCGAAGAGAATACTGTAGGGAAAGCTGTTATAAAATACAAGGAGATCAATGATTCACCTTTGATACAGAACAGAACATTCTGACACAAAACAATGATAATCTCCATCAAAATAAAATAAATATTCTAACTCCAGAAACAGCCCGCGTACTATAGTGCAAGTAAAACACCGTAACCTACATACGGTACTTTAGTGTAGAGTAGTTTTAATTTAGCATATAAGAGAGGGAGAAAAAAAGCAGTATTTAGACATTTAATCACCCACAAATTATGTTTTTTTTTTTCATTCCAAAACTTTTTATGCCAATGTAATTATAGGCCTGCAATGTAATAGGCCCTGCACTTCGCATATGATGTCTGTTTTGACAGGACATTGCTCTTCTTCATTTACGTTAAAGGCACGCTGCACGCAGGCTGTATAATATGGATAATTTGAACAGATCATGTGAGCTAGGTTTAGCTAATGTGTGCAGCTAGTGGACTGTTAGCCTTTTCACCAATGAGTCTACTGTGTGTACGCGGCTCTCGTGGTTAAAATATACTGATAGATAGCTGTACCTTTCCGAATGAACCTGTCAAAATGCAACAGGGCCGATGTATTGAGGTCCGTCTTCGAGAAGGACACGGTGCGGATCGTGATCGCCTCTGTAGGAAGAATAACATTTCGTGAAAGCTTATCATGACTGCAAACACTGTACAGCTGTTATTTCACTTCGCAGGCCTATACAATGTTATCAAAGCTACCTTTTAAATTAGCCAAGAGCTGCTCTTTCTGATTGTGGTCTATGGCATATGAAATGTTGTCGGTCTTTTCCCAGTTTGCAAGTTGAAGTCCTGCGTTAACGTCCATCGATAGAGTCCGTAATGCAGCCGCCGTAAGTAACGCGACTGTTGTAAACAAGATGCAACTAATTATGATCTTTAAAAACTTTACAATTCTGAACTTTTTCCCCTTGTCCGTCATTGTGGCTGCACTGTTCGGACTTCAACATAGACTGAACATGGGACTGGAGCGCTAAAGCAGGCTAGCCGAAGCTGGGGGAAACAACGCTATCTACTGGAGGGTTTGGGGCAAACCACTCCCTCAATATTTGACAATGAGAAGACTTTGGAATAAGGGTGTTGTGCATTGTTATTTAGAAGTAAAAGTAATAATAGGAAAAGAAAAAGTAGTGGACTTAAACCAAAAAATGTTTAAAATACCCTTGTTGGAGCTCCTCAAGTTGTATTGAGACTGACAAAATAAAAATAATATATTATTCGTTAGAAATATGTGTTAGTGTTTATGCATTTCTGTTGTTGTAATGTGTTTTAATTAACACAATATGAAGTTTGTGTTGTTTTTTTTTGTTTGTTTGTGTTACAACCAGTTCAGCTAGGAAGGAGAGAAGTAACAGAAAACCACATGTATAAGGTTAACTTAAAATTGGTAAATTGTCAAATTATTCCTACAAAATAATACGTAATAGTTTACAATGAAATTCATTAACAAATTATTTTTAAATGAAATATTTTTAAATTTTAAAGTTGCACTATGTAACTTCTCTAGTGGGCCTACTAAATGCTTCTTAACATGGACATATTATTAGTTTTCCTGAAATGTTCCACAGAAAGGCATCAAACTTCTACATATCCATGGCCATAAAACAGTAACAGCACCAGGCCAAGTTACAGGTCAGATCTGTAGAGGCAGGTCTGGTAGTTTTAAAAAAAAAAATTAAAACACCTGGAAATGAATAGATGCAAAAATAGATCTGTTTAATGCTATCTTGTAGAACATTTCAGGCAAAGAAATCAAGGCATGAAGAAAATTACGCAGTGCACCTTTAAAACTACAAACAACTTGACATTTTATAAATGGCATGTTTCACAATACAAAGTAAACAATAGCTTGCAGCAGCTGAATATATGAACGAGTGTTTTAAATTAAATATTGCAATAACTTTATTAACACATCTCCAAAAAACAGTAACATTTTAATAAAACAACATAGGTTATTATAGTTTGGAAATGTAAATTGGTAACATTGATAAAACATTTACAAACTTTTGCTATGTGTAATTGGATTTTACTGTGACAATATAACAAATAGCTTACTCCACTTCTAAAAACTCTTCTACTTCTTGTATGCCACTCTCATCTGTATCTAATCCCTGGTTGAGGATATCTATTAAAGCCAACAGCGGGTTAAAAGAATAGTCCTCAACACAAACATAAATTACATACAGAATTATGGCCACAAAGAAAAACACCAGTATTTGTATTTTGAGGGAGACCAGGCGCTTCTCCACCTCTTGTCGCTCCAGAGTGGTAGGGCTGAGGGGGATTTCAGGGTAAGCGTACTGAACAGGCCGACCCGCTGCACCTTTGATTGGTCTGCGTCGAGATGCACTGGGAGAGAATAATAAAAAATAATTTAAAAATTTGTAACAATTTTTAACATAACATTAGAAAACCAACAGAACTAAACTAGCTCTAAAACAGGACTAAACTATGTCTGAACAAGGACTAACTAAGCTACTAAGCTACTAAGCTACACAACAAACAAGAATCCCATGACCAAAACATGAATAAAATGTACTTCAACTACAGAGAATTTCTGGCACCTTTAAAAAACAAAACAAAACAAAAAAAACACACACAACCATTTAGCTGATCACTCACTAGATTCCTGTAGGCGTGTCTGCTAATAAGTCCTTAAATCTTTCCTGAACAGGATCTAGAGCAGGGTCCTGAAAAAGAGAACAACTAAATCAATGCAATAGAAACACTTTAAAAATTCCCATGGTGAAACTGATTGTGGACCAACCACCCATGACCCTTCCTGAAGAAACAATGTGAATTTTAGTGTCATAGGCAAAGAACTTTAAAGTGCATGCATGTAAAAGTGAGAAATAAACTTTGTTAAAATTAGCCAACACCAAACTAAATAGAGATATGAAATACAGAGGTAAACTGTGAAATATCTATATAGTGCCTTTCTTGTCCATTCATTAAATCCAGCCATAGGAGTGTAGAACTGTAGGTCAGGTGAATTATACTTGTCCTCAAATGGCACCTTGACCACAGGCTAAAGGAGAAAGGGTAAAGGGTTATAGTTAGGGAAGTCAGCAATTACAATTGCATAGTATACAAAAATATCATCAAAAAAAATTTAAAACCGGTTCACTTCTCTGTAGATTTGACTTGTAGCCTGGTTTAGTGACATTGTTACTTGCTTGTCTCCAGGGCAAAATTACAAGTGATATTTGTGAAAAGGCGAACCTGGTCATAGTAATAATTTATGTGTTTTCAAGGCATTTTTGTGCAATAAAAATATATGCAAGATAGAAAGCTTAATGCCATACAGTGGAACATTACAGACAAAGCATTAGCATCTCCCTGGAGACAAGCTGGTGACAGACCTTTATGTAGTGCACCTTCAATGCATTTTGATTATTATGCACAAGTAAATTTATGACTGTAAATCGAGGACTGCAGATGGAAATTGCCCATTTTAGAACTATCTTAGCACATAGTTTACACTTTATATGAATGAACAGTCTTTTAACCACGTACAATTAGTGGAAGGTAGAGCTGCATGGTTGGGGATATCTAACTGCAAGTATTTTGGTGTCTGTGTAAGAAATTATGGTACTTTAAAAATTGTAGCTTTTGAAATGTGCTGTGTTCATTGAAATTGTGGTCCAGCTGAAATTGAAATTGTGATTAAAAAAATTAATCTGGCAGCCATAGTTTTTTCTCACAATAAACACAAAGTTAAAAGGTGCATTGTGTAACTTTTCTGGTGGAAGGTTTGCAACCTGCTTATCCCCATGGAGCTGTTATTACTTTGTCTGGAATGTTTCACGGTATGGTATTAAACCTTTTCTATTTTCATGGAGGCCAAACTAAGCCAAGTTAACCCTATTCACAGCCAACATGCCTGTTTTTCTAGGTATTTTGGGGCAATAAAACCATCTGTAATTGAATAAATGTAAGATAGACCTATTTAATGTCATACTGTGGAACATTCTAGGCAGAGCAATGACATATCCATTAAAAAAAGCAGGTGACGGACCCTTAACTGAAAATAATAATGCACCTTTAAGTTGACATTGTGACACTCCTAGTTAGAGTACAATACATTTCCCATCTCCGCCCATCCAGGTGAAACCTTACGACACTTTAACTGAACTGGCCGAATTTGAGTTTAAAAAGTGACTGAACAGTGCCACTACTGACCCTGTTGGACCGTGACCAATGGCTTTGCACAACGCTCTGGTTAATGTCTGAAGCATCTGCAAGAGACGAGCACGAAGTCCGACCCTCCATCTGTTGTTTTGAATAAAAATGTACACATGTGAGACCATAAGTAACAACTGAAAGTAGAATGTAATGTGTAGGATAATTTAAAAAGGGGGTATTTTACTTTTATGTCGGTATTAATTGCTAACACATAACATATTTAGACTGCCATGTTGCCTTTTATTATTCTGAACATGCATTGGACAGAATCTTACAGCTAACCGTGAGATTTCAAATGGGGCCTGGGAGAGATCGCTAAATTACTGAAACATGCATGGATGACATCTAAAACCTCTTCAGACATGTTTTTGATGAGGAAATGTTATAATATGGTAGAAACCAAAAAAAAAAACACTAAACAATTTACATAATACTTTCCTCTTCCACCATCTGTGTAATACTGAAGTTCTGAGATGATATTAAAGAGCCATTGGATAAAATAGACTGTTGTTCTGATAACTGTAATAAAGAAAAAATATATACAACAGTTGTTATATGTTTTTTTTATATATATATATTATATATATTATATATATATATATATATATATATACAAACATTTCTGAAATCCTGACAATATGAGCATGAAACTAAGATGTTAGTGCATATAGTAAGCAATAGTACGTAGGTACGTAATATTGACAAAAAATATGTATCTTTTTTAATATTAAAACTGTATACATATAGTATGTATACATTTGGATTCTTCCACTAACAATAATCAGTTCAAAACTTTTGCAATCCCACAGAAATGTGTGTGAATGTGCTTTGAGATCTTTAAGTATCACACAAAAGTGAATGGACAGTAAAATTATCTAGAACAGTGCCAAAAAAATTACCTGATATACTCTTAAATATTTAAGATACTTTAGATTAGACAATTTTTGCTATTTATTCTTTGGCATTCTTAATTATTATAGTATTATTCATTCTTCTACAGCTCAGGCCTTCTTTCAGAACAGAAAAATACCAAAAAGAAAAACTAACCAGCATAAATACTGACCCCCCAAAATAACTGTTCCATCTATCATATATTATATGATGTGGATATATTAATTATTGTGACAGGCCTAAAAACTTTTTTGATGGAGGGAAAAAGTTGTATACTGGACCTTTAATTTAGCTGATATATCGCCAACCTTTCGTTAGTCATGTCTATAGCAACCGAGGAATGTAGAAAATGAAAATTCAACAGGGAGCTGCCTACCCCTGTTGCTAATCCTGAGGGCTGATCTATAGAGGATGCTCTGCTAATGCCACTGGGAATTTGAGCGCTGTGCGATGATTTTAACACATTCCTTGGATTCCGCTTGGGACAAGGTTTGCTGTTTTTAGCAGCACAGACACGCTGCAAAAAGTTAATTTGGAAATAAGCACACATATATGGATAGATTAGATGAGAAAATGCATGGTTAAACTAACTGCATTTACCTGCCTTGATGACACTAAAAAGCACTGCGGGTAAACATAATCTTCACCTTGAGATGATAACTCCTGCAAAAAAATCTCAGGTATTTACAGATTTTGTCCACAAAGGGGCGCTACAGTAGAGATACACAATGGTATGTTAGTTGCAGGAGATGTTAGATTGCAGTAGAGTGATCCCACCTGTGTGTCATCCTCTTGGCACTGGTCAGCTGGTTCTGTCTGGGTTTGGATCTCTTCAGTGGCTGTGAATTTAAATGCAAAAAAGTTAATTTAAAGGTGCATTGTGTAACTTTTCTGGTGGAGGGTATGCCAAATGCTCTTCTCCATAGAAATGCTATTGCTTGTCTGGAATGTTTCACAGTATGGCATTAAAGCTTTGTATCTTCATGGAGACCAAACCAGGCCAAGTTACAGGACAGATCTAGGGAAAGGCAACGCTGCTCACAGTCAGAATATCTGTTTTTCTAAGTATTTTTGAGCTATAAAACCACCTGTAATTTAATAAATATATTAGAGCCATTTAATGTCCTACTGTGGAACATTATAGGCAGAGCAATGACATATTCATAAAAAAAGAGGGTGACAGACCCACCACCAGCAAAGTTACATAATGCACCTTTAAAGTAAAGTAAAAAGTAAGTAAAAAAGTTAAAAAGTAAAAACAAAAGGTCTGCCTGTTTAAAGTGAGACAGTAGGAATGCAAAACTTTTTTTTTCTTCTTCATTTTTTTCATTTTCATTTTTCAGCTTGCGATCTTAACATACCAGTTTTCCTCTAGTCTGGAGACAAGTAAATTACTCAATCAAACCCAAAGTTGTATTATTATTAGTAAGTACATTCGATACCAATGCACATGAACAAAATATTAAATGATGAAAACTTGCCATCTATTGTTATAAAGTTGCACTATGTAACTTTTCAAGTGGAGCTTCAGCTACATGCTTGTCTCCATAGATGTTATTGTTTAGTCTGGAAAGTTAATGCCATACTGTGGAATATCCATCTCCATGGAGACAAGCAGGTGACACCGCCAAGTCAGTGGTCAGTTCTGTTGAAAGACAAGTGTAGTGTATGTCGGTACCTGGCTTTTCTTCCTCTTCCTCACTGTTTTCCTCTTCCTCACTGTCAGAATACAGCACGGCTTCATCTGCTTCGTCCACTTTGTCATTCACTTTGTCGTGGCCATTGGAGAAAAGCAGGTTTCGGAGTTTCCGTTCATAGAGAGCCCTTGTGGAGGCTAACAAAGACACAGCATACATACAGTTACCAAAAGAAATACAGCAATTCATCTCAGCTCAGTCAAATCTTTCTTTAGCTATAGCCATAACTGGTTCTTATACATAATGTATTTTGGAGCTACACAAAATTAGAATATCAAATACATTGTCTATTATTATAACAAATTTATAAGATGGTGAAAATAAAATATTTTAAATAAAAAAGAAACAGAAATTGCAGTGTAATCTATAAAGTGATTTTTCCATTCACCTACTGTGCAAGACCTAACTTCAACTAAGATAGCATGTTGTCATTGTAATAATGCAACCTTCATTTTAGTTACATAATTTTTTTATAGCAGCATAAATATTTATTTTCCATTCACATTCACAAGAGAGATCTATATTCATAATAACCTTACCAACTATAGGTCCTGCTTTCACCCCATGTTGTAGAAGAGCAGCTTTGAGGCCATCATCGGTCAAACTGCTTGGATCCAGTATTTCTGCATAATTTGTCTCTTCATCCTAGAACATAAACATACTTGAAACATTTAATGTCCATGTGCCACAGTCTGAGAAACAAAGATTTAAACCATGACCGAATCTGAATCGAATTAAATTTCTTAAATTACTAAACTTCTGAATTGGATTGAGCATATATTAGATTCAGTTTACACTTAAAATTCAAGATAGCCAATACAATTTAATACAATTATTTCATAGGGAAATGACGGTACAGGTCACCTCTGACATGCTGTGTTTTTCCGCATATTTACAAAGGATATGAATTATCTTTTAGCCTGGGCTACTTGAGCAGTGGGTTTGCTTAAATGCATGTGACAGGTGTCTCAGTCTAATGCAAGGCACACAGCAAGTGCAATGGTAACTGGGGAACATGTGCAAATATATACCACTCATACAGCTGTTAGCCCACTGACCTCAAGGCCTGGACCAAAGAAAGCTGAGAGGCTGTTTGGGAATGAGTGACCCAGATTCAAGCCCACTACAATATATTTAACTTATATATATATATACAATATTTAACTATAGCTTGGACCATAATATAAAGGTGCATTATGTAACTTTTCTGATGGATGATCTGTTCCCTCCCTGTTTGTCTCCATGGCAATGAAAGCACTTTGTGTGGATGTTAACTTATCCAACTCCATGGAAACAAGCAGGTGACACCACAAGGTCAAGTTAGATGTAGAGGGGTGACACAATAAGAATGCATGTTTTGTTTTGTTGGCAACCAAAACAACACAAATGGGTGACAGACAACCCAACAAGCAGGAAAGTTACGTGGTGCACCTTTAATGATATTTTAAGTCCTTTTTTGGAGGCTTTTGCTTTGTTCATGTCTAGCCATTGTTAATGTTAATTGGTGTTACTTTAGTGAAAATATATTGTACTAAACCTTTTTATCAGGCTAATAGACAGTCAGGTAGCCTATAATATTTGTGCTGCATCCTGCCCTCAATATACGCTATGCTATCAAGCAAAACACTGAATTATAATAGGCCTATATGAAAACCAATTCAATTTGAACCAATGCATTAACCTAAACCCCTTGCCTACACACAGAAATAGCCTTCACTTATGTGTAGCCTGTAGCCTTTAAATAATCACATTTTCTTTAGATCAACATAAAATAATGACATGCAAATCAGGTGTAGATTAAAAGTCTCATTTGTGTGCCACAAACACTCTTATTACTCACTGTTTCTGCGTCCTCGTCGCTAGAGAAATCCGCACATTTTTTCTGATCAACGTGCCTCGTGTGCAACTCTACGTAAATTCCCTTTCGGCTCGTGGCAGGTGGCAGCGCTACATTGTGGGCAATTAAGTCCGACTTTAGCCTCGCTTTTGAAAGTTGCGATGGATCCTCCACAAAAACAGGCATGCCTTTTCAATCAACAGTCAAAATGAAAACGCAAATTTATCTGATCTCTTGGAAAACTTTATGAGAGCGCTTTCTCCGACCCGTGCACGCTCAGAGGGACCACAGGCTGCACGGGAACAGCTGCAGCAGACGAGCTGATTGACAGGTGGCTTGTTGCATGTGTGTTTACTTCCTCTCCTCTGAGGCGTAGCTACTGGCATGACATGCTCATTCTTAATAGCTCAAATTTGAGTACTTTTAAAATACTATCCTGCTTGATGTTGGTCTTTTATTGATTTATTGCAGATTTAACTTAACAGGTGTAGTAGGTCATACCTCTTCATTTGTTGCAATGCGTCTTCGCCAAATTTTTGACCCTTATGGACACATGGAATTGTGTAGCGTCAGGTGAGTTCATTATGCTGTCAGGAACCTATTGCAAAAACATAAATACAGTATTTAGCATATGATATGCAAATAGGCGGGGTATTAAGAATAGCTTGGTGAAATTAATGCTATATGTAATTAGTCCGGCACTATGTTAAATGTCATAGTGCACTATGCAACTTTTTTCTGGGGGGTGGTCAAAAACAGGTGTTTATTATTGCTAAATCACACTTTAAAAACATGCATTCTTTCTTAAAGCTACCATTTGTAAGTTTTTTGTTTTTTTCTTTACCAGTAGATGACAAATGTGACCTCTCCCCACCTCCCCTCATCTGGCCTTTGTTCAGGTTCACCAGTGGTCTCTGGTCAAATCTAACTACAAATGGTAGCAAGCTTATCTAAACTGTAACTTAGCCTGATAGTACCTATGGAGACAAGCAGGTGATACCGATATTTTTTTAGTGCCATACTGTGGAATATTCCAGGCATAGCGATAACTTCTTCATGCAGATAAGCAGATTGTGAACCCCCCTAAAGAAAAGTTACACAGTGTACATTTAAATTTACATAAATGATGAACATTGCCACATAACATACAAAAACATTCAAATACATTCATTATTAAAACAGATAAACAGAACTGTCGTGAGAAAAGGTCATTGCTTCAAGAAAACACAATATTTTTACATAACATTTTTAATACTTCCTGCACCTACAATATAGCCTAGAGCTGTGTACACACATTATTTAATATCAAAAACACAAGCTCTGGTGTCTTCCCACTGAGTATCCCATGGCTTTGAATCCTACATGAAATACTACAAAGAACTCACATAGGAATAGAAAGCCATAAGACTCAACAGTGGCTTCAGTTTTTACACAGCCTGCAAAAACAAACATGTAGAGAACATTTTTATTGAAAAGATGTGGTGTAGTAGTATTTTAATAGAGAAAGCTATTCAAATGAAGTTCAAGGTAGCAGGTTCTGTCATATCATCTAAGGTTACAATGACCCATCAGTCAATTCCTGGAAATTCAAAAAGCAATTCTGTACTTTATTCTGCCTGTATTGCCCTTAACATAACTTTTCCAAACACAAAGAATAGCGTTGCCTCAGCAGTTTAATTCATCCACTGAGCACAGAAAGCTTCAAAGCCTGTTTAGTTACCAAACATTTCTGCAAACAAAACAGTGTGTAGCCATCCACACTGAATCAATATGTGGGTGAGCAGGATAAAAGATGCTGTCAAAATGCTGTGGTGGAAAGTAACTCATTACAATACTCAAGTCATTTGAATTAACTTTTTTGGGTACATTTTTAAACATGTACTTGTACTTGTAATTGAGTGTAAATTTAGTCTTGTAATTGTACTTTATTATATTTAAAATCATAGAAGTTAGTAAGTACAGTGTCCCATTTGTGTCAACCATTTGTCCCAACCATATCTTACCACTACGCTTATTTACAAAAGACTACCATAATTGTGTTGTAACTTTGAGTATTCTGCATTCATACTTTGTACTTTCACTTGTCATTTTTCAGTGGAGTGCCTGCCACCTGCTTGTCTCCATACAGATGCCTGAAATGTTCCACAATAACTTATTTATCTCCATTGAATGAAGCAGGTCACCAGGGCAAGTTACAGGTCAGATTTGTGAAAATTCAACCCCGATCTTTGTAATACTGTATGCTTTTCATGGTACTTTTAAGAAGTAAAAGCATCTGTTATTGAATATAATTAAGCTTAAAGCCATACTGTGGAATTTACAATCCAGGCAAAGTAGTAACATCACTCTTCACCAGAAAAGATATATTGTACACCTTCACATACAATTTTGGCAGCAGCACTTGAGTTCATTTTTAGCCATGTGGAAATAGCCTACTTTTACCTGCAAAGTGCAAATTTCCATTACTCTGCACCACTGATTTGCTGTGGGGCTGCTAAAAAAGTATTTGCAATTTTGCACTTGAAGTAAATACAAAAATGTACCTTGGCTGGATAGTGCTGCTCACCATATTAATTTGTTTTACCAGATGTCTACCCCGAAACCAGTAGTCGTCTTTATGAAAACATGAAAAAATCCTGTGAACTGAGAGGAAATAGTCTACTTTGGAAGACAGAGGGGGCATTTGTTGACATTGTATCAAGTGCAATGCTGTGGTATTTGAGGCTCGGAGGGGCAGGTATTTGTCAGTCAGTGTTTCTTGTGCTTTTGCTTTCTCCGACTCTCACAACAAAAGCTCCATTGAGACAGTCTCCATTTTTGAACACAAAGCTCCCTGTGCTACAGTGCCACAGTAGAGCCAACCATCTTTATGCACCTGTTTCAAGTTGGTTAAGAATGAGCCCTGACAAGATTTCTGCCAATTCTATTAAACACACTTTTACAACTTAAATACATTACAGTTGACCTACAGGAATAATGTTAAACTACTGACAAAAACGTGCCTACATTACTTGATCAGTGCACTATTTTTGAAAGAATCATCAAAATACTCAAGTTGAACCCTATTTTTGTTAGAATATAGGTTCACAAACTATGACAATCACATGAGTCCAATTGAAAATATCACAGCTTTTTCTAGTATATTGAGAAATGCCTATCTTAGTTTCTTTATACTGGCAGAAGACATTGAACTTTGTATCAGGGTGGATAGCCTTAGTAATTGAAGATATACTGCAGTTTGGATAGCAAGTTCCACAAATGAATCTTATCTTCCTTTCTTTGTCTCAATTTGAAACCTTTGCCATTTAGTTAGAATGGTATGACCTCACATGAACACATCTTTACTGGTTAATTATAGGCTTTATGACCAATGTTTTTGTTAGATTTTAGTTCCACAAACAATATTCTATTTATCAATGACCAAGTTCAAGCCAGTGTAATTGAAATACCACAGTTTATTGCAGCTTAATTGTTGTTAATTGAAATGCCTGTTTAATCTTAGATTTGTGATAACATATTACATAAAAGACACCGAACTTTGTGCCAGTTTTTGTTTCATGTGGATAATTACAGATCTACGTAATACCATTAAAAACACTACAACACAACATAGTACCATTTCATAGCTTATTCCATCATTGAATTCATACTTGCTTTCCTTTGTCTCAGTTTTAAACTTTAACCCGTTAAAATAGTATTACCTTACAATAATACATCTTTACTGGCTACTTAATGTTATAATCTTAGAGTTAGGCTTTATGACCAATATTGTTGTTAGAATTATGGTACTCCAACTATAAGATCCGTGTAGTACCCTAAAACACTACAACAGAACATACTGCCATTTTTATTTCAAATTCCACCATTGAATTCTTACATGCCCTTCTTTGTCTCAGTTTTAAATTTTAAATCTTTAGTTACATTATTTTAGAGCACATCTTTCAAGCTAATGTTATAATCTTGGGTATTATGGCCAGTGAGGTGTAATGAAGTCTTGTTTTGCAGGTGGGAAACAGCATCAGTGCTCCTGGCAGCCTCACGCATGTCCCAGCATAAATTAGTGAAGCCTGGAGTCAGACTGGGTCCAGACAAGAAGGTGAATCTCAACCACAGGGAGGATTAGCTGTAATCCTTATACATGGTCCTTTTTTGGGGCGAGCCAATTAAAAATAGCAGGATTACATATGTTAAGATTAAACATATCTTATTTTAATTGATGAAAAAGTAAGTTTCACTATAATAAATATGATCAGTGATAGTGTTATGCTGCTGAACACAAAAGGAAGCCACATACTTTCACTATGCTGTCTGTAAAAGCAAAACATAGCCTATACAAGCAGGTCTGTCGCTAACCCTCTACCCTTAGTGAATGAAAACAGCTATTTATATAACTGCTCCTTAAGTAACTACGGTACAGATTTAGTGGTCTGAAAACACCCCAAATGTTGTAAATCTTTAACTCTTACCTTCTTGCTCTCCCTTTCTTCCTTGTCCCCCCAGCCACAGTGAGTAGTACGGCATCCCCTCTCTGCTTCATACTGTATGGAAGCAAGACAATGGATAGCGGGGGGTGGAGTTACTATGTGGACGGACAGAGCAAAAGCAGAATGAAAAAGAGAGAGAGAGAGAGGGAGAGAGAAAGGGGGATCACACTCGCACACCCAAAGCATGAATCTGAAGAAACGTTACATGAATGGCAATTCTACAAATCCGCACCCCCCCCCCCTCCTCTATACGCTCAGATGCGATGTCACAAGAGAACAGCAAGCAAAAAATCTCTCTTCACGTGGGAAATGTTTAAAAAATGAGAGAGAATCGGTCCTGGTTTTAAACAAGTCCTTTTCTTTGGGCTTTTCTTTGAATGAGTTCTTAAGATTGAAACTTGGCAGCGTTCCAGTGAGCTTTGGATGGAGGGGATAAAAGAGGGGCTAAGGTAGGGGGCGAACTATTGTGTTGCTTCGCTTCCTTTCAGTCCTGCATGGCACTCAAGTTGATCTTTACACACATGCGCTGCCTGAATATCCAAGGAGTTTTCAGCGTTACTATCAAAACTATCTACAACTTACACTTTACCAGTAAATACATTTTACATTATAATCAGCACACTGTATCCTGACTGCTTTGTTTCTTTGTCCAGCTGTTCCAAGGAGAGATGCTTATTTGGGCAGGCTGCGATAAAGACAGCAGGTGCCGTCTCACCACTCACCCCCTTTTGGTCCATTTCCTCTACAAATACCTCCCCTATAGACCCCTTCTCTCTCCCTGCCTCCTTCCCCCTCTCCCTCCCTCCCGCAGCTCTGAATGCCTTAAGAATGAGCTACTGTATAATGAGGTAAGAACAAACAAGCGATGAAAAGATAGTGTTTTTGTTTAG